TTTTCCTGCCAAAACTTTAATGGAAACCTTACGTCATGAAGTGCCTACAACACAGACAGGCACGAAGAATTCAAACTTTTTTCTCCTGAACTGGGGGAAAACTATGTCCCTGTTTGTCATGGCCTTCCCAACAATTGTGACCCTTGCCTGTCCCCCCAAAAAGTTAAATGCAATCAAACTCTAACTTGCTCTGAAGTGCCACCTTCCAGTTCCAAGACGAATTCCAGATCCTTCCTTCCTTCCTTCCTTCCTTCCTTCCTTCCTTCCTTCCTTCCTTCCTTCCTTCCTTCCTTCCTTCCTTTTTCTTTCTTTCCTTCCTTCTTTCCTTCTTTCTCTTTCTTTCTTTCCTTTCCCTCCTTCCCTCCCTCTTCCTTTTCTTTCTCTTTTTCTTTCTCATCCCTCTCTCACTCTAATATCGTTCCTTCCTTCCTTCCTTTCTCTTTCTTTCCTTCCTTCTTTCCTTCTTTCTCTTTTCTTTCTTTCCTTCCCTCCTTCCCTCCTTCCCTCCTTCCCTCCCTCTTCCTTTTCTTTCTCTTTCTCTTTCTCATCCCTCTCTCACTCTAATATCGTTCCTTCCTTCCTTCCTTTCTCTTTCTTTCTTTCCTTCTTTCCTTCTTTCTTTCTTTCTTTCCTTCCCTCCTTCCCTCCCTCTTCCTTTTCTTTCTCATCCCTCTCTCCCTCTAATATCATTCCCTCCTTCTTTCCTTACTCTCCTTATCCATCAACATTCCTGTCAGCTGGAGATGCATGCCAATAAAACAGAAAAATTAAAATACACAGATGGTTAGAAAAGATGATAAGAAAACATGGATTTTAAACCTGAACTGTTTTTATTAGGCATAATACCAGAAAAACATGATAAGCAAAGTACAGCAGCGAGGATTATATTCGCACAATATTGGAAAAATGAAACACCGTGAGATGAAGAGATAATTAGGAAGATACTGGATTGTGCAGAAATGGATAGACTACGTTGAAAATTAAACAGAAAGAAGACACAGAATATTATCAAACATGGACTTTATTTTACCAGTGGTTGGAAAAAAAGGGTTGGAGATTAAGAATGCAATCTGTATTGTTACGCAAATTAAATATCCAGACAACATGATATTTATTAAGCAGTAACAAATGTGAACAGTAAAAAATTAATAAAATTTATTTTTAAAAGAAACCAGGAAAGTTAAGACCTGACTAAGGATGAGTTAGGAAATATTTGAATCCTCTTAAAACAGTTTCGAAAGATTCTGATTAAAAAGGCTCCGTGTGCAGCCCTGGGAGTGATAGGAGTTGTAGTCCATCCATTCCGGAAGGCACCAGGTTAGCGGAGGCTGGCTTAAACTTTATTGTGGAGCAGGAAAATAGCCGGAAGGAAGGAAGGAAGGAGGCACCGATGAGCAGAAGGAAAGGGGAAAGAGATAAGGGGAAGGGGACAGATAAGATGCAGGAGGGGAAACAGATGGAGAGGGCAGCTGCGGATATGGATCGGTTGGCCAGTTGTACCAGGTGACCTGGAAAAACTTTATAGAACAACTTTGTAAAACCCGCAGCTTTGTTGCTCCCTTCCAAAGCTGAAACGAGAGCATCTCTGCAATTACAGGGTGTGAAGCCAAAACAGAATTCTACAGAATAGCAATAGCATTCAGGCTTATATCCCACTTCATAGTGCTTTTACAGCCCCCTCTAAGCAGTTTGCAGAGTCAGCCTCTTGCCCCCAACAACCTGGGTCTTCATTTTACCCACCTCGGAAGGACGGAAGGCTGAGTCAACCTCGAGCCGGTGAGGATCGAACTGCTGGCAGTGGGCAGAGTTGGCCTGCACTACTGCATTCTAACCACTGCGCCATCACGGAAACTGAATCTTTCCTACAGATTTAGTAGTCAAAACCTTTTGCGCATTTTGGTTTGCTGGCTTAGACGGGGTTCCCAGGGGCCCCACTTTTGAGAAGGGACGGGGCCCTGTATGGAAATTTGCCTGATGATTTCTGTTGTTATCCTTCTCGGACGGTGTGAGATTTCACTCACTCCTAGAATCCTGCGGTAAATGCGAGCCGGTTGCCGAAGTTCCCCAAATACAATTACATGACTCTGTGTATATTAGTGTGCGTGTGTGTTATGTTTGTGCGTCAGGGGTGGGTTCTACTTACCTTTACTACTGGTTCGCAATGGGAGTGCTTCTGCACATGCGCAGATCACCCATGATGACATCATGCCGGGTGGGTGGAGCCTCTGGCCGGTTTTACTACTGGTTCTATAGAATTGGACCGAACCGGGGGCAACTCACCACTGGTGTGGGTGCCTGCACATGCATACATCAGTCCATCTATCTATCAGAATGTCAAAAATGAGCCCTAAGTACCCCGTCATAACTTCAAACAGTTGCTCAGCAACCAGTTGTTAAGCGAGGACTACCTACATACAACTATGGGTTATGCCCCACTCTTATCTGACTGCTCCATAGGCAGCATCTCTCCCCCCCTCCTCAAAATATTTCTCACATACTGTAAGAGAACCTGAAAGCGGAGTCTAAAGAGGAATCAACCTAGAATCCTTTCGTAGCTGCCAATGGTCTTAAGTTCAACTATTCTTAAATGCCATTAACCCTTTTTCTAACTCTAGCCTGGTGCTCATCTTTAGTTTAGAAGATTCCTGTGTTACGAGCGTTTGCAGATGACCTGGTTGTTACCTTAGCCCAACCAGTACAATCGATTACAGCCTTGATGGATATAATTAACTCATATGGACAAGTATCTGGTTTCAAAATAAATACAGCCAAAACAAAGATAATAGCTAAAAATATGACTAGAAGCCAAAAAGAAGAGATAGAAAGGATAACAGGATTTGAGACAGTTAAGAAGGTTAAATATTTAGGGGTTTGTATTATGACCACAAATACGAAATTATATCAGCACAACTATGAACCATTATGGCAAAAAATACAGAAAGAGATGGAAAATTGGAAAAAATTACAACTGTCTTTGCTGGGAAGGAAGCAGTAAAAATGAATGTTTTACCAAGGTTTTTATTTCTATTTCAAATGATACCTAATACTTAAAAAAGATGAAAATTTGAAGGAATGGCAGAAGGGCATAAATAAATTTGTTTGGGCAGGGGAGAAACCGCGAGTAAATCAAAAGATAATGCAAGATACACGAGAAAGAGGAGGTCTTAAAATGCCCAATTTAAGATTGTACTACGAAGCCGCTGCCCTCTCAGCAATTACTGACTGGATTAACTTAACGAAGGAAAGGATATTAAATATTGAAGGATATGGTCTGGTCTACATAAATAGGCATGCCTATTTATTGTATGATAAGAAAGTAGATAAGATGTTTAAAAGTCATATATTAAGAAATGCCCTATTGCGTGTCTGGAAAAAGTCTCAATACAAATTAAACGATAAGTTACCAATATGGACAGTACCCAGACACGCAATAGAAAATATAAATTTGGAGCAAAAGCAGGATAAGACTACATACAAGGAACTCCTTTATAAAGAAGGAGTTAGACTACAATTAAAATCTATGGAGCAATTAAGAGAAGAAGGAATAGTTGGTTTCAATATGGGCAGCTGCAGGCCAGATGGAGAGAAGATCAAAAAATTGGTATTTTGCAGCAGGATGAGAATTTGATAAAACAAATAAGAGACAAAAGTCAAATGCATATAAAAAGGTTGTATAATGTGTTGGTGGAAATAGACTCAGAAACAGAGCTAGTCAAGGACTGTATGATAAAATGGGCACAAAATATTGGAGAACCTATAACGATGGAAACATGGGAAAAGATATGGGTTAGAAATGTAAGATTTACACAAGCCCAAAACTTAAGAGAGAACTTTTATAAAATGTTTTATAGATGGCGTTTAGATCCAAAAAAATTAGCCTGTATGTATCCAAATTTACAACCTAAATGTTGGCGATGTGAGTATGAAGATGCTACGTATTTTCATATATGGTGGACATGTAAAAAAATTAAGGCTTTTTGGATAAAAATATGGTGGATTATTCAAAATATTTCAAAGAAAAAGATTAAATTTACACCACAGTTTTTTTTGTTGGGAATAGTTACGGATTGTATTGTAATAGAGACTAAGTTGGTTTTGAATTTAATAACAGCTGCCAGGTTACTGGTGGCACAGTACTGGAAGAAGGAAGATCCACCTACCATTGAGGAATGGACATTAAATGTTGTGCATCTGGCTGAGATGGCAAAAATTTCATCATATCTTAAAGATCATTCAAATGAAAGATACATATCAGAATAGAGAAGATGGATTGACTATATGCAAAAAAAATATCCGAACAAGAAGATTCATATAGCTTATGAATGAAATATTTTAAAGTAGTTTATGTTTATAGTTCTTGAGTTATAAGGAGTTAAAGACCTAGGGAGAATATGAATGCAATAATTTGTTAGCATAATTTAGTTTTATGTTTGTGAATGCTATACCCTGTGCCTGTTCTGGGAAGTCTAGGGGTCGTGGTGGGGGGGATGGGAGGGAGGGGGGTGAGGGGGAAAGGGGGGGAGAAAATGTTTGTATTTCCTATAAAACTTTTCAATAAAAAAAAAAAAGAAGATTCCTGTGCCTGGGCTTAGCAGCAATAAATCAGTTTAATTGGACTTTCACACGTGGACCTGATCTTTCATGCCTGACACGTACTACTACATAGATGTACTATTACATAGATGTTCGTATGGTGATTTTTTTCAAACTTTGACCAACGTGAAGCTTGACCCTTCTGGCTCTCAGGAAGTGGCTCTGACAATGGGACCAAGGGGTGGTGTTGGCGCCAGGCTAACCAAGCCAGATTAGGATCTAGTCCTCATGATGTTGGGGGAAAGGGGAGGCAGGTTGTGGTTGCAATTGGTAACCTCACGAGGAAGTGTGATTCACACCGCCAGGAATACCCAGGAGGAAGGAGGCTGCCTAGACTGCATTTTTTGGACTAAGTCTTTGTGCAACTGTGGAGCTGACTCATTTCTTTTCTCTTCTTTGTTCCACAGTGGACATCAGGGAAATCAAACAGATCCGACCCGGGAAAAATTCCAGGGATTTTGAACGTTACCCGGAAGAAGCCCGGAAGTTGGACTCAACGTTGTGTTTTGTCATCCTGTATGGAACGGACTTCCGGCTGAAGACGCTGAGTGTTGCTGGTCAGTGGAGGGTAATGTAGCAAATGCTTTTTGAGGGGGGGACGGACACACAGTCAGAGGGGTCAGAGCTGAATCCCCTGACCCCGCAGAACAACAGACACACCCCTCCCAGCCTTGAAGGCCTCTCCACAAATCCCCAGTTACTAACACAGTTGTGTTGTAATTTTTGATGCGACCGAACGGGAGAGAGTTAAAAGCACACAACCGAAGGACGGTTCCGATTCATTGTTCTTAGTTTTAGCCAGAAGTAGGTAGCCTTGGCATAAAACAGGCTATCTTGGCAATACAGGTAATCCTTGGCCGCTGCACAACTGGTTGCAAGTTGAGGACTACCTGTATTAAATTTTAAGTACGGTATTAAATGTAATCAACAGTCGCGGCGAGACGCGCGGGGTTTTTGGAAGCTCCTGAAACCCCGCTGAAACTCAGCCGCTGGACGGTCCAAATCGGACCCCACAGTCTCAATTTGACTGTGGTAGCGGAGGGCACGTTCTGAGGATCCCAGGGACATCGCTAAGTCCCTGGATGAGCCACAACTGGTTGCAAGTTGAGGACTACCTGTATTAAATTTAAGTACAGTATTAAATGTAATCAACAGCAAATATTTAAATGAGGTGCTCTCTGAGCTTGGTTGTTTTCTTGCAGACGTTTCACTACCAACTAGGTAACAGCATCAGGATAAGCTCACAGAGCACCAAGGAGCCGACAGTCACCCTCCTCCTCCTTCCTCCTCCTCCTCCTCCTTTCCACAAACCCCACTCCCTTCTACAACTACTGATGATGTTACCTAGTTGGGTCATGAAACGTCTGCAAGAAAACAACCAAGCTCAGAGAGCACTAAGGACCCCACAATTCTCCTCCTCCTCCTCCCATCTCCTCCCTCCCTCCCTTCTAACACTGATGATGTTACCTAGTTGGGTAATGAAAAGTCTGCAAGAAAACCATCAAGCTCAGGGAGCATCAAGGACCCCACCATCGTTATCCTCCTCCTCCTCCTCCTCCCTGCAAACCTCTCTCCAATCCTAAATTACAAATATTCTCCTTTATAAATACTTAAATGTAGTAAAAAGGATCATAAAGATGCCCATGATAATGATACTTAACAGATCATGGGAAACTTGTATCATGTTATTCTAAGACCAGTGATGCACCGAGCACCCCTTCATGTCCCAAAGGGGCTTTTTCCAAAAGGCCCAACTGGACTTTCTCTGTTTTTCCTTGAAGACGTTTCGCTTCTCACCCGAGAAGCTTCTTCAGTTCTGACTGAATGGTGGGGAAGGGAACCGAAGAAGCTTCTCGGATGAGAAGCAAAATGTCTTCAAGGAAAAACAGAGAAAGTCCAGTTGCCTTCTGGGACCTTTGGGACAACCATGAACTGCCTCCGCCCACCTGCCCGGATGTCATCAGGGACGCTCTGTGCATGCACAGAAGTACTGCGTGCGTGCTCACAGTTCCGAACCGGTAGCGAAGGTAAGTGAAAACCGCTACTGAACTGGATGACTTGAGAATTTCCAAAGACATTTTACCCATTGATGTCAAAATGAAGACCATGCCTAGAACATTTCTTTTTATTTCTTTTTTATTTATTTATTTTTCAAACTTCTATACCGCCCTTCTGCTTTCGGACTCAGGGCGGTGAACAGCCAAGATAAAAAACATTTATATACATAAAGTTAAAAATAGATTTAAAATGATTAAATAAATTTGGCCCATAATTTAAAACTTATCAATTTAAAAATCCATATCAGATTTTAAAACCAACCATAAAATCAGGACAGACTGGTGTCCACCCAACCTGGTGTTTCCTGATGAGTTGAGATAGCAGATTTGGGGAATTATTCGCCACACATCTGGAACACATAAATGGGGAAAGTCTGGCTGGATGTAACTCTGGAGTCGGTTGCAACCTTCCCTTATTTAATTGCTGTTTATAGCCGAGTAAACATACCTTTCTCTTCGATTACATCCTGCTCAGAAGTAACGGAGATTACACGCTGCCTCTCCTACTAATAGCTTGCTATCACATTTCTTAAATTACACCCACGCTTGTTGTGGTTCCCCAGTGTTAGCAGAAAAGAGAGCGGCCCTCTTTAGATATCCCGACACGTGGTCCTCCACTTACGACCACAATTGGAACCAGCATCTCCATTGCTAAGCAAGGAGGTTAGGAGAATCGTGTCCACTTTTCCGGCCTGTTTTTGAAGTCGTTGTTAAGTGAATTTTAAAAGCTGGACAGCAAAGCAAGTGATTGGCCTACGACCTCAATTGAGCTCAACATTTCCATCGCTAAGCAAGAAAATGACTATTTTTCACACTTACGACCGTGTGTCAAAATTCAGAAACTTGGCAACTGACTGGTATTTATGACGGCTGCAGTGTCCCAGGGTCATGTGATTCCCTTTTGTGACCCTCTAACCAGCAAAGTCAAGCCAGATTCACTTAACAACTTTGTGACTAACAACTGCAGCGATTCACTTAATGACTGTGGCAAGAAAGTTCGTAAAATTGGGCAAAAATCATTTAACAACTGTTTCATTTAGCAACAGACATTTTTGGGCTCAATTGTCATCATAAGTCCAGGACTACCTGTAATCCAAACTTATTTTAATTCTGCTTATTTGTTCTAATATTTTAGGAAATATTTCATTACCGTGGTTTTTTTTTCATCGTTTCATTTAATCTCAGACTTTAGATTTGTACAGGTAATCCTCGACTTACGACCACAATTGAACCCAAAATGGCTGTTGTTAAGCGAGACATTGGTTAAGGGAGTTTTGCCCCATTTTATGACCTTTCTTGCCACCGATGTTAAGTGAATCACTGCAGCTGATAAGTTCGTAACCCGGTTGTTAAGTGAATCTGGCTTCCCCGTTGACTTTGCTTGTCGGAAGGTCGCAAAATGGGATCACGTGACCCAGGGACGCTGCGACCGTCATAAATATGTTTGCATCCGAATAAACCAGTTGCATCCGAATGTAAATCACGTGACCATGGGGATGCTGCCACGGTCATAAGTGTGAAAAACGGTCATAACTCACTCTTCAGTGCCCTCGTAACGTTGAATGGTCGCTAAATGAACTAAACGTAAGTCGAGGACTGTCTGAAGTTGTTAGCGTGGCTTATTTTCAGTTCTTGAATCTGTTTTTTTGCAAGGCCCCCGTGGCTCCCAGTGGCTTTAAGCCAACACAAATAATCTTCACCAGTGGGAAAGCCAGATCCACTTAACGACCAAGGCAGTTGTTAAGCGAGTCACCCTTCCATTTGCAACCTTTTTTGCCACAGTTTACTGAACCACCGTGGTTGTTAAGTGGATCCAGTTCCTTCCATTGACTGCTTGTCGGAAGCTGGCTGATAAATGATGATTACATGACCCCATAAATTATATGCTGGTTTTGCCCAGCACCTGAATTTTAATTACGTGACCATGGGGATGCTGAAATGGTCATAAGTGTGAGGACTGATCCTACGTTATTTTTTTTGGTAACTTTAAACGGTCATTAAACGAATGGGTGTATGTCGAGAACTTCCTGTATAATAATACAGGATAATAATAATTCTTCAGGCTAGCTAGAGTTTTGTGACCCCTAGAACATTCTAACATAATTTATTACGGCGTAAAATTTTACAGCTTATAGTCCTTTCAGCATCGTCATCTCCCTATAATAAATTTTCCAGGATTTTAACAGCGATGAGTTGGCCCTATTAATCCTCATTTTTGTTTGCTTTGAAACCCTTATCTGCATTTTTTTCCATGGGTTCAGCAGAAGGAAGCATCCGTGGACTTCCCTAAAGCCGGGTGACTAAATACATTGAGTTTTGAAGAGCAGCAGTCAAATTCCTTAGCAGGTCAATCATTTGTGGGATTGTTGAGAAGGAGACTTTTCTGCAGGAAAAAAAAAAACAGGCAAAACCACAAATCTTAAAACGAGCTCAATGTTTTTGGCAAGCAAGAAAAATGAGCTGATGAATTTTTCACAGGGTGAAAAATAACCCTAAATAGATCTGAATTTTATAAGGAGTTAAATCAATGTTTCTCAACCTCTGTCACTTTAAGATGGGTGGACTTCAATTCCCAGAATTCCCCAGCCAGCTGAGGAATTCTGGGAGTTGAAGTCCACTCATCTTAAAGTGGCTGAGGTGGGCTGTAACTCCTCTTCTACAATTGAGATAAAGTCCTAGAGAGGCCTTACGGAAGAAGAGCATTTCTACCTGACTCGGGAATTCTGGGAGTTGAAGTCCACTCATCTTAAAGTGGCTGAGGTAGGCTGTAACTCCTCTTCTACAATAGAGATAAAGTCCTAGAGAGGCCTTACGGAAGAAGAGCATTTCTACCTGACTCGGGAATTCTGGGAGTTGAAGTCCACAGGTCTTAAAGGGGCCATAGTTGTCCACCCTTGCCTTATAGGGTTAGTAGGTATGTTATTTGGGAATGACGTTGAACGCCAGAAAATGCTACTCCAAGCTTCTCAACCTAACATTCTCTAGAATGTTCTCAGTTTACAGTGCCCAGAGGTTCTTGTAATCCCAATCTTTGAAGGCACCACATGAAGACCTCATCTCTTGGTGGACATCCAAGCAAAGAGAAGATTCCAACTTCTGAACATCTTAGAAGGCCTCTGGCTCAAGAGGCCTGTCTACAAAGTGGTTGATGATGTATTTGTGGAACAGTTTAAATTGGGAATGAGCCTCCCTTATTCCTAGACAAATCATTGACTTATGGGGCACGGAGTCCTAACAGAACAGATGCCTTTTGAGGAGAAGGAGTAGATAGACATCTTTCTTGGTCAACCAAGATCAGAACTCGCTAGGAGACCTGCAAATCTTTTACAGAGACCTTATTTGGATTTAATTTATGTACAGAGAGTCCTTTGTCTTGCAGCAGTTTGTTTAAGGACCGTTAGAAATGATAGCAGCACTGAAAATAGTGATTTATGAGTGATTTTTTTTCACACTTATGACCATGATCAAAATTTAGAAGCTTGGCAACTGACTCATATTTGTGACGGTTGTTGTGACCCCCATTTGGGACCTTCTGACAAGCAAAGTCCATGGGGAAGCCAGATTCACTTAACAACCTTGCTACTAACTTAGCAACTGCAGTGGTTCACTTAGCAACGGCGGCAAGAAAGGTCGTAGAATGGGGCAAATTTCAATTAATGACCGTTTCATTTAGCAAGAGAAATGTTGGGCTCCATTCCCGTCATAAATCGAGGACTACCTGTAATCCAAACGTATTTAATTCTGCCTATTGGTTCCGATATTTTAGGAAAGGAGATTTCACTGCCATGCTTGTTTTTATTTTTTTAATCAACGGGTTTAATCTCACGCTTTAGACTTGCCGTTCTTCGTCTGCTTTGCTTTTAGCTCTTGAGTCTGTTCTTGGCAAGGCCCTCCGTGGCTCTCGGTGGCTTTCGGCCAACACAAATAAACTTCCCGTGACTAACACAACAGAGAGAGGGGTGTGGTGTACCTGAGTGCAGTTTTAAGGCATTGTTTTTAAGGCAGAATCGGCCTTCTTTCCGGTTTTCCCTCTACCAGGCAATTCTCTTTGCAGAATGTAGAAGAGAAGAGAATAACAGAGTTGGAAGGGACCTTGGAGGTCTTCTAGTCCAACCCCCTGCTTAGGCAGGAAACCCTACACCAACCACTTCAGGCAACTGGTTATCCAACATATCAAACGCTCCAATTCCTCTGGAAAGAAACATTTGGATCTGTCATGCTGCATCCTTGCAAAACATGAATTTATGGATTCATTTATTTAGAGAAGGTGTAAGGCCTCCCCCACTGACAAATTGTGATTCTGGGCGACATACGGGCAGAAATTGGGACCGGAATTTCTGGTGTCAAACAAGGTCAGTGAGTTGAGCCCAATCTTATGGCCTTTTTTTCCCCATGGTCGTTAAGCAGATCATCATGGTTAAGTGAATCATGAGGTTGTCAAGTGAATCCATCTTCCCCCATTGACGCTGCTCATTGGACGCTGGCTGGGAAGGTCGCAAGGGGAGATCCCGTGACCCAAGTACTCGAATTTTCATTACAATTTTCGGGTCATAAAATTGGGCACAATCGCAACACTGACAGGGAGTCCTCGACTTACGACCACAATCGAGCCCAAAATTTCCATGGCTGAGCAAGTCAATTGCTTGTTAAGTGAATTTTGCCCTGTTTTACCACCTACCTGGCCACTTTAAGTGAACCACGGTGGCTGTTAATTCGGTCATTAAGTGAATCTGGCTTCCCCATTGGACTTTGCTTGTCAGAAGGTCGCAAAAGGGGATGGCGTGACCCTCCCCACCCCCCACCCCCCAAGACGCTGTGGCCATTGTAAATGTGAGCCCATTGCCAGGCGTCTGAATTTGGAACACGTGACGGTCGTAGGCCATGGATCGATGCTACACCATGATTGTAGGCGTGAAAAAGGGTTATAACAAGTCATCTTTTTCAGTGCCGGTTGCTACTTGGTCACTAAACGAATGGTTGTACTCTTTTCAACCTGTCGGTCATTTACACTCTGGGAGTCGTTAAAAGCACCCGGAGATTCGCCTCCGTAGACATCTTCCTTGGCAGTAGCAGATTTTTTTTAAAAAAAATGGATAAGACCACCAATATAGGAATTGATTGCGATTAAAAAATAAAATGATGAACAGAAGGTCATTTGGGTCAGTCTCTTACACGAACCTCCCTGGAGCCCTGGTGGCTTAATATCATATGGTCTATTTGTTGGGACATCTCAGGACCGGTGAATGTAGGAATTTGGGTAACTAGGGTTATAATTTAGCTTGTTACGTGAAGCTAGACATCCAAGTAAATAGTCAATGTGAGGAACAAAGTCTTAAGCTCTGGCCAAGATGAAGATTCTGAGATAGCAATCACACTTAGACTTATATACCGCTTCATAGTGCTTTTATTGCCCCCTCTAAGCAGTTTACAGAGTCAGCCTCTTGCCCCCAACAATCTGGGTCCTCATTTTCCCCACCTCGGAAGGACTGAAGGCTGAGCCAACATTGAGCTGGTCAGGATTGAACTTCTGGCAGTGAGTTAGCCTGCAGTACTGCATTCTAACCACTGCACCACCATGGCTCTTCCTTCCATCCATCCATCTATCCATCCATCCATCCTTCCTACCACTACCACTTAGACTTATATATTGCTTCCCGGTGCTTTCCAGCCCCCTCTAAGCGGTTTACAGAGTCAACCTCTTGCCCCCAACAATCTGGGTCTTCATTTGACCCACCTCGGAAGGATGGAAGGCTCAGTCAACCTTGAACCGGTCAGGATCGAACTCCTGGCAATGGGCAGAATTAGCCTGCAATACTGTACTCTACCACTCTACCCACTATGTCCTTCCTTCCTTCCTTCCTTCCTTCCTTCCTTCCTTCCTTCCTTCCTTCCTTCCTTCCTTTCCCTTTCTCTCTTCCCATCCCTCCCTCCCTTGAATATCCATCCATCCATCCATCCATCTTCCCTCCCTCCCTCCCACTTAGCAATAGCCCTTAGACTTATATGCCGCTTCCCAGTGCTTTCCAGCCCTCTCTAAGCAGTATACAGAGTGAGCCTCTTGCCCCCAACAATCTGGGTCCTCGTTTTACCCACCTTGGAAGGACGGAAGGCTGAATCAACCTCGAGCCTGGTGAGATTCGAACTGCCAAATTGCAGGCAGCCGGCAGTCAGCAGAAGTCACCTGCAGTACTGCACTCTCACCACTGCGCCACCGTGGCTCAGATAGCCCTTCCTTTCGGCCAGGATCTCCAGGATAAGTCCGTCCATCGATTGTCCTTCGTCTCTTTTTGTTGTCTTGTCTTCTTCAGCTTTTTGCGAGGACGATGTGACCCTCTGGGTGGCCGGGCTGAATTGGCTGGTGACTGATACGCAGCGATCACCGACTCCTCTCCAGACTGAAAGGTATGGGACAGCAGGAGAAAAAAAATGGGCAGAGCGCAAAGCGTCGCCGAATTTGGAGCAAATGATTCCACTCTACTCAATCGGGCGCTTTTTTGGAGCAATCTGTCCAGTCCAGGGGTCTCCAACCTTGGCAACTTTAAGACCTGTGGACTTCAACAGCTGAGGAATTCTGGGAGTTGAAGTCCACAGGTCTTAAAGTTGCCAAGGTTGGAGACCCCTGCTACAACCTGTCTTTCGTATCCGTGCCCGAGCTTAGGAATCTGTGTGTCCACACTTGTCCCGAGGCCAAAGAACAGTGTTGATGTTCCACCTCAAAGATTTCCAGAGAGGAAAGGGTCAACAATCAGGATAGAGCCGGAAGGAACCTTGGAGGTCTTCTAGTCCAAAGAAGAGGGGGGGGGTCCACCTATTCTCCAAAGCACCTGAAGGCAGGAGGTGGAATGGAAACTAATCAAAGAGAGAAGCAACCTGGAATTAAAGAGAAATTTCCTGACGGTGAGAACAATTAACGAGTGGAACAGTTTGCCTCCAGAAGTTGTAGGTGCTCCATCGTTGGAAGTTGTCAAGAAGAGGCTAGACAGCCGTTTGTCTCTGAAATGCTTGAGCAGAGGGGGGTGGTCCAGATGACCTCCGAGGCCCCTTCCAGCTGTGTTATTCTGCCTGTGTAGCCCTTTCTAAAGCTACTTTTGTCTTCCTTCAGATGGCTGAGGAAGCAGTTCGACTCAATGGACAGATCTAGAGAAGGCAGGTGAGTAGACGAGGACCGTTTTCTCTTGGAAGAGCAGGGAGGCTTCCATGGAGGACCAGGGGTGCTTCTTCCATCCCTTTCCCTTTTTTTTTTTTTATGCTCTTGGACGAGGCACAAGCAGCCACAGTGAATGGCCTCCAGCAGAAGCTTTGCTGCTGAGTTCACTTGAGTTGCAAGAACTGCATTTGCTTGGCTGGATCAAACTTCACGGAGTCTGGCTTGTTGTGGTTTCTGTAGGGGGGGAGAGGGTCCTTGGTGCTCTCTGAGCTTGGTGGTTCTCTTGAAGAAGTTTCATGACCCAAATAGGGAACATCATCAGTGTTGGAAAGGTGTGGAGTTTCTGGGGAGGAGGAGGTGGAGGAGGAGGACTATGGGATCCCTGGATGGTTCTCTTGCAAATATTTCGTTACCAAACTACGTAACATCATCAGTGCTAGAAGGGAGTGGGGTTGCAGGGAAGAGGAGGAGAAGGAGGAGGACTGTGGGTGTTGTAACCCAGGCCCAAGTAAAGTAGTAGGAAAATCAGTCCGTGAAAAAACAAACAAGCTTTATTCGAACAGCTGAGAATGACTTCATCCCCAGCGTCGTTCAACTAAATTAAAGCAAATTCCTCCCAACACAAATTCCTCAGTCCTATCGCAAACCTTGGTCCAATTAGGCAAACTGCCAAAGGCCTTTCTTGGCAAACGTTCAGAAGTCACAGATACAAAAATAAATACAAGACGTAGACGAAGGAGACGACGAAGCTACCAACGTTGTTTTCTGGCAAAGCCCAAACGCCGTTGCTGGTCTGTTTGAAGCCTTATGGGAGGGGCCAATCATCTCTTGGCCTTACTCCCGAGTTGTCCTCTTTGCTTGAGCTGCTCTTGCCTTCTGGCAGCTCTTCTCATGCGGGCATTAGGAACAGGCTTGACAGTGCAAGCCATTTATATATAAACAGAGAACAAAGCCACTTCCTTCTAGCACTGATGATATTACCTAGTTGGGCCATGAAACGTCTGCAAGAAAACAGCCAGGCTCAGAGAGCACCAAGGACCCCACAGTTCAACTCTGAGCTATAAATATTCTCTTCTATCGTTTTTTCAGTACAGGGGCTCTAAATTTGCCCCCTTCTTAACCCTTCTTCGAGTCTGCAATTCTTGACTCGGGAATTCTGGGAGTTGAAGCCCACAGGGTCTTAAAGTTGCCAAGGTTGGAGACCCCTGTTCTAGAGCCACATCTCTCAATCTTGACCACTTGAAGATGGGTGGACTTCAATAATTTTCCCCCTCTTTTATAAAAGATTTTTAAAATTTAAAATTTTAAATATTTTTTAGTATTTATATATTCAATTTTAAATTGGTTTTAAAAGTTTGGGGTTTTAAATTTGTCGGGGCCAAAATTATTTAATTTGATTTTATTCTATTTTTTAAATTTTGTATTGTATGTGTTTTTATTGTTTGGCTGTGCACCGCCCTGAGTCCTTCGGGAGTAGGGCGGTATAGAAATCTAATAAATAAATAAATAAATAAATAAACTCCCAGAATTCCCCAGCCAGCTTTGCAGTGATTTGTCTATGATGGTGTGGGAGGAAAGATTATCCAACCTTGGCAGTGTTAAGACTTGTGGACTTCCAACTCCCAGAATCCCATGCTGGTTAGGGAATTCTGGAAGGTTAGACACCCCTGCTCCAAATCAAAGACTTCGGGACGAAATAGGAAAAAACCAAGACATAAGGAAGGTGGGGGCATTGACTGGGTATCCCCCCCACCTCCCATGCCAAGAAGCCATAAACAGGATGTGGGGCAGGAAAGGCAGGAGGAAATGGGTGTGGAGGTAGGAAGTGATGTGGAGCTGGACGAGGAGGAAGCCAGGGTCCAGACAATTTTATTTTTTCAGCCAAAGGTAGAGCCCAGAATCGCACATTCAAACCATAGGGAAACTCTGCTTTCCTACACCAAGGTTACTTAGCAAAAAGTAAAGTCACAAGGTCTGCTTTTCGTTTCCCAGAGGGTTAATATTTAACTCAATTTAATCTCGTTCACATTCTTTTAATCAATTGCTTATTTTAACCCCCTGGTCAAAGGGATTCATTCAAGGCAAAAAAAAAAAGAAAAAAGTCAGAATTCACTTTCTGGGATCTTCTCCAGCAAAGCATCTCTTTGGCTCCTGGTGTTTTTCTACCCAGAAGAATTGTTCTATTAAAGAATTCGACTATTCTATTAAAAGAATAATCTCAGGCTTGGTCCAGGCAGGAGGCCTTCGCCAGGGATGTCACGTTGGAAATATCAGCTTTGGCTGTGCAATTTACAGAGCAAAGGCTCTGGGTGTGGGGGCCAAAAATCAGGAGGTTGACCCCAAGGGCCGGATCCAAACATTATCTGGCCTTTAGGTGTGTTACGCAACTGATGAGATTCTGATGGAAGAGAATAGTTGCAAATTAGGGTTGAAGTAGGGGGGAAGTCCTTGGGGCTCTCTGAGCTGGGTGGCTTTCTTGCAGACGTTTCATGACCCAACTAGGGAACGTCATCAGTGCTAGAAAGGAGTGCGGTTTGCTCTCTGTTTATATACAAGTGACTTGCCCTGTCAGTGTTGGTAGGAATGTCGTATAGATATCAAACCAACACTGACGGGGCAAGCCGCTAGTTTATGAAAAGAGAGCCAACCACACTCGCTTTTAATACTGATGATGTTACCCAGTTGGGTCATGAAATGTCTGCAAGAAAACCATGAAGCACCCAGGACCCCACTGGTGAGAATGGCTGGCTTGGTAACCAAACCTCTGCAAGAAAGCAGGGAAACCTCCTCTAGGGGGAATTAAGAAATACGATTAGATAGAATAGAAGTAGAATAGAATAGAATAGAAGAGAAGAGAAGAGAAGAGAAGAGAAGAGAAGAAAGAGAAAGAGAAGAGAAGAGAAGAGAAGAGAATTCTTTATTGGCCAAGTGTGATTGGACACACAAGGAATTTGTCTTTGGTGCCTACGCTCTCAGTGTACATAAAAGAAAAGATACGTTCGTCAAGAATCCTAAGATACAACACTTAATGATAGTCATAGGGAACAAATAAGCAATCAAATCATATTAGGATAGATAGATAGGATAGATAGATAGATGATGGATGGATGATAAAAATAGAGAGAGATGATGGATGGATGAGATAGATGATAGATAGATAGATAGATAGATAGATAGATAGATAGATAGATAGATAGATAGATAGATAATGGATGGATGATAGAAATAGATAGATAGATGATGGATGGATGACAGAAATAGAGAGAGAGAGATGATGGATGGATGGATGAGATAGATGATGGATGGATGGATGGATGGATGATGATGGATGGATGGATGGATGATAAAAATAGAGAAATGATGGATGGGATAGATAATAGATAGATAGATAGATAGATAGATAGATAGATAGATAGATAGATAGATAGATAGATATAGATAGATAGATAGATAGATAGATAGAGATAGGTGATAGATAGATAGATAGATAGATAGATGATAGATAGATAGATAGATAGAAGATAGATAGATAGATAGATAGATAGATAGATAGATAGATAGATGATAGAAATAGAGAGAGAGAGAGTTGATGGATGGATGAGATAGATAGATAGATAGATAGATAGATAGATAGATAGATAGATAGATAGATAGATAGATAGATAGATGATAGACAGACAGACAGACTCAATGACAATCAACAGACACTGTGCTGCAAACCCCTCCCTTCCCCTGGGGCCGTGCGGAGGGGGGTGGGCGTTGTCCCAGCCAATCCAGAGGGCGCAAGGTGGCCTTCATCTCCCCCCTATTCCCCTCCCCCGCCACGAAAGGTACACATCCAGACCCAGAAGGTGAACGTGCCAACAGGCTCCTGGGCTGCAATCCCGGGACAGATGTGTTTGCACAAACAAAGTTGTTATGCAGGAAGGAGCCCCACCTTCCTTGACCTGAATTGCCTCGCCATGAAAAGTCTCAGGTAGGCATACCTGCAGCCTCCTTCCTGCCCCTCCCTCCCTGTCTGGAAGGGATCCAGGTTTTTTCAAAGCGAAAACGGATCCTTGGTCTTCCTGCGTTATTCCCAAAACACACAGGGAGGGGATCTGGCAGGGCACCCTGCCCTGAGAACAAACACCCCCCTACACACACACACACACACACACACACACACAAACACACACACGGCACGTCCCGGCCTGCAGTTTAGCTCTTAGTCTCTTTTTTTATCGTTTCAAACATTTAATTTTATTTCCCAAGTTAAAAGGCAAAATCAAGTAAAAAAAAAGAAGAAGAAACCAACTAATAACCCTCAAATACTAAACGATTTTTTTTAAAAGGGAATTCTCGTTGAAGAATGAATTTTTAAAATTGACTGAACTGGCAGAGAGGGAGAAATTGAGGGCCCAGGTAGTCCTTGATTTACGACCACGACGGAGCCCAGGATTTCCGTTTGCTAAGCGAGACATTGGTTAAGTGAGTTTTGCCCCCATTTTACGACCTTCGTTGCCACAAAGGTTTGCGACCTTTGCTAAGTGAAGCGCTACGCTTGTTAAGTTAGCCACGGGGTTGTTAAGTGAATCTGGCTTCCCCATTGACTTTGCTCATCGGAAGGTCGCAAAATGGAGATCATGTGACCTTGGGACATTGCAACCGTCATAAGTACATGCCAGTTGCCGAGCATCTGAATTTTGATCACGTGACCCTGGGGATGCCACAATGGTCATAAGTGTGAAAAAGTCATAAGTCACTTTTTCAGTGCCGTTGTTACGTTGAACAACAACGTAACGCTAACCAAACTCTTGTAAGTCGAGGACTACCTGAAAAGAGAAAAAGAAAAGAAAAAAGAAGCAACGAACTAACAACCATCAAACTCTTAACAGTAAAAATAATAAAAATATTCTTGTTGAAGAATGGATTTTAAAATTGGCTGAAGTAGCAGAGATGGCAAAATGGACTGTATTAACAGAATAGCAGAGTTGGAAGGGACCTTGGAGGTCTTCTAGTCCAACCCCCTGCTCAAGCAAGGGGAGGGAAACCAACATTGCTGGATTATACCAGTGGTGAAATGTAAAATTTGTTACTACAGGTTCTGTGGGCGTGGCCTGGTGGGGGAGTAATATGACTGAGTTTTTTTTTTTTACTTTTAAAACCATTTTTTCTACAGAGGTTGTAAAAAAAATTGCTTTTAAAGCCTCTGACGATCCCAGCTGGCTTGCCTGATCGGCAGAGGCTTTTTTTCCTTTTAAAAATTTTTTTTCTACAACCCCTTCGGCTGAAGCGGTTGTAGAAAAAATGCTTTTAAAAGCCTCTGATGATCCCAGCTGACCCGCGTGATCATCAGAGGCTATTTTTTTTTTACTTTTAAAAGCATTTTTTTGGCCAAACAGATTGTAGAAAAAATGCTTTTAAAAGTAAAAAAAACTAGTCTCTGATGATTCCGCGGCTCTGCTGGGCAATGTGGGGGGGGGGAACAGGGATTTTTGCTACCGGTTCTCCGAACCACCCGCCTCCATCGCTACCGGATCGGGCGATCCGGTCCAAACTGGGAACATTTCACCCCTGTATTATACTAATCAGCATTCAACTAGGGAAGATGTTAGGTATATATGTGTTAAGGTTTCTTTTTTCTTTTCTAAGACACTTTTTTCGTTAATGTCTTTTTTGTTTTTCTTTTTAAATATTTTGGTGTTTTGCATTTTCTAAAATTTTCTGGGGAGAAAAAATTCTTCTTTTTTTTTTTAATCATTTTCAGCATTCAACCAGAGTGGACTTTTTATGTTTAATGTTAGTGTGAATGACATACATTGGTTAGTTTACCACTTAAGTTACTGCCTCTCAAAGTGCAAAACTTTACCTATAGTTTGAGGCAACATTAACGGTTCAAATCCCTTTTTGCAAGAGAAGGCACCCAGTTTGTAATCTGCAAAAACCAGTTTGAGGACTTATCCCAAACTGGGAAGGTGGGTTTTGGGATGGGGTGGGATGTCTCCTGCTGCCCCCTGCTGCCTGCAACTGAGAACAACAGTTTGGTTTCCGCAGGGGCAAGATATTAGCATTAATATCTATTATTTTTAAAATGTTTTGTCTTGTTTTCAATGGGTTGCAATCCGATTAGAGGGGAGACGGGCAGCATATAACTTTCATTAATAAATAAAAATATAAAAATAAAAGAGCCAAAGAGGGGATCTTTATCCAAAGGGTCAGGATAATATTATTTGCAACTGTCAAAAGTTCTCCAAAGAGGCAAACCACCAGCCAATATTAATCTTTCTCTGTGGTTTGGGATCTGGGATAAATGTACGGACCAGTGGCTCTCCAGGTTTGCAACTTTAAGAGGGGTGGACTTCAACTCCCAGAATTCTGTGGCTCCCAGGATTCTATGCTGGCTGGGGAATTCTGGGAGTTGAACTTCTTAAAGTTGCAGAAATTTGGAAACATTGACGGAGAAAAATTAAAATAAAATCTGCAGTTTCAGCAGTGTGTCCCTTTAGATCCCCGAAAGTTAATTTTCTTGACACCTTTAAATTGTGCTGGCTGGGGAATTCTGGGAATTGAAGTCCACCCCTCTTAAAGTTGCAGAGATTGGGAGACCCTGACAAGAGAAAAATGTAATTAAAATAAAACCTGAAGATTCAGTGTCGTGGTGTTCACCCTTTAGACCCACCCCCAAAAAAGTTTATTTTCTTCGTATGACGTAATGCAGTCTGTAGCAGTTGGATGGGGACAAGACCTGTGTTCGAATCCTCTCTCCACCATGAAGAGAGGTGTGCCACTGTGGGCTACCCCCTTCCTGAGCTCCGAGAGGAAAGGGAAGAAATAAGCGACACAGGTGGGGGATTTGAGGGTCGTTGTGTGGGTCTGAACGCACATCCAACTTTTGTCTCTTGCAGCATCAGCCAGAAAGATCTGAAGGCCTTGTTACCTCAGGTCAACTACCGGGTTCCGAATATGCGTTTCCTACGAGATAAACTTGTGGTAAGCAGATAGTAATAGCAACAGCCCTTAGACTTACATACCACTTCACAGTGCTTTACAAGCCTCTCTAAGCGATTTACAGAGTCAGTCTCTTGCCCCCCCAACAATCTGGGTCTTCGGATCGAACTGCTGGCAGTGGGCAGAGTTAGCCTGCAAGTCTGCATTCTCACCATTGGGCCACCACATCCCTTCCTTCCTTCTTCCTTCCTCCCTCCCTCCCTCCCTCCCCATGCTCTATTCCTTCCTGCTTTCCTGCCTTCCTTCCTTCCTTTTTCTCTCCTTCCTTCCTCATGCTCTATTCTTTCCTCCCCTCCTTCATTCCTCAAGCTCTCCTTCCTTCTTTCCTTCCTCCCTCCCTCTTTCCTAGTGCTCCCTTCCTTCCTTCCTCCCTCCCTCCCTTTTCTTTCCTTCCTTCCTCCCTCCCCCCTCTCCATGCTCTATTCCTTCCTTCCTTCCTCATGCTCTATTCCTTCCTCCCCTCCTTCATTCCTCAAGCTCTCCTTCCTTCTTTCCTCCCTCCCTCCCTCTTTCCTAGTGCTCTATTCCTTCCTTCCTCCCTCCTTTCCTCCCTCTCCATGCTCTATTCCTTCCTTCCTTCCTCCCCTCCTTCATTCCTCAAGCTCTCCTTCTTTCCTTCCTCCCGCCCTCCCTCTTTCCTAGTGCTCTATTCCTTCCTCCCTCCCTCCCTTTTCTTTCCTTCCTTCCTCCCCTCCTTCATTCCTCAAGCTCTCCTTCCTTCTTTCTTTCCTTCCTCCCTCCCTCTTTCCTAGTGCTCTATTCCTCCCTCCCTCCCTTTTCTTTCCTTCCTTCCTTCCTTCCTCCTTTCCTCCCTCTCCATGCTCTATTCCTTCCTTCCTTCCTTCCTCATGCTCTATTCCTTCCTTCCTTCATTCCTCAAGCTCTCCTTCCTTCTTTCCTTCCTCCCTCCCTCTTTCCTAGTGCTCTATTCCTCCCTCCCTCCCTCCCTCCCTTTTCTTTCCTTCCTTCCTTCCTCCCTCCTTCCCTCCCTCTCCATGCTCTATTCCTTCCTTCCTTCCTTCCTCATGCTCTATTCCTTCCTCCCCTCCTTCATTCCTCAAGCTCTCCTTCCTTCTTTCCTTCCTTCCTCCCTCTTTCCTAGTGCTCTATTCCTTCTTTCCTCCCTCCCTCCCTTCCCACTTAGCAATAGGCCTTAGACTTCACAGTGTTTCACAGTCGTCTCTAAGCAGTTTACAGAGTCAGCATAATTGCCCCCAACAATCTGGGTCCTGATTTTACCGACATCGCTGGGAATCGTTGGAACTGGAGTCTCGATACATGGGAGGGATCCAGATTGAGAGAGACTGATCTGGTCTCGGCAAATTTAATTAACTCTTTCTTTTCTCTTCTGGGTCCGAGCAGGAGCTGGAGGTTCGTGGTGATATCACCTTCAGCCATTTTACGCACTTCTACAAAAATCTGATGTTCGATGCGCAGAAATCGGTAAGAACTTTTAGCCTCCATTGCAGGAGGAGATGTTGTGTTGTTCAGCAAGAGCTGAAACTCAGGAGGAGTCTGATACACATAGTCCTCAGCTTACAACAGTTCACTTAGTGACCGGAGTGACAGCAGCACTGTAAAAAGCACATGCCAGTTCCCAAGCGTCTGGGTTTTCGATCACGTGACCGGGGGGGGGGATGCCACCACGTCATAGGTAAAAAAAACTCTCACATGTCTTTTTGTAGATCAAAATTCAGGTGTTTGGAAATTGACTCGTATTTATAACCGTCGTAGTGTCCCGGGGTCATGTTATCCGCTTTTGCGACCTTCTGAAAGGCAAAGTCAACGGGGAAGCTGGATTCACTTAACAACCTTGTTACTAACTTAACAACGGCAATGATTCACTTAACAACTGTGGCAAGGAAGGACGTAAAATAGGGAAAAACCTGTTTAATAACTGTCTCACTTAGCAATGGAAATTTTGGGCTCAGTTGTGGTCATAAGATGAGGACAACCAGTAGTCTCTTTTCTGACTTACAAATTTGATTCAGAGGTTTCTACATAAATGCGGCCAAATTAGATGAATAGAATAGGAGCTGGAAGGGACCTGGGAGGTCTTCTATTCCAGCCCTCTGCCCAAGCAGGAGACCCCATACCATTGCAGACAAGTGGCTGTCCAGTCTCTCCAGTGATGGATTACCCACAATTTCTGGTGGCAAGCTGTTCCACTGGTTAATTGTTCTCACTGACAAGAAGTTTCTCCTTATTTGTGTGTTATTAGTGAGTTATTAGAGAATTAGTGAGTGCTGTTTTTGGGGACCCCCAATTGTCAAACTTTGGATCTGAGACATAAGCCCCCTTTTTCACATTGGTTGTAACTTAGAACGTTCACCAAGCGATTGGTCGCAAGTCAAGGACCACGGAAGTCCTTGACTCACGACTACAACTGACCCCCAAAATTCCCATTGCTAAGTGAGACATTTGTTAAGGGAGTTTTGCTCCATCTTTCTTGCCACAGTTGTTCAGCAAATCATTTGGTCACTAAGCAAATCCGGCTTCCCCCCTTTGACTTGGCTTGTCGGAAGGTCGCAGAAGGGGCCGTGCAGCCGTCATAAGTACGAGCCAGTGGCCAAGCATCAGAATTTTTATCATGTAACCACGGGGATCCTGCAACGGTCGTAAGTGTGAAAACCCATCATAAGTCACTTTTTTCAGTGTCGTTGCAACTTTGAACGGTCACTAAATGAATGGTGGTGAGTCAAGGATTAATCCTAACCCTTTGACATCACAGAAGGGAATTCCCACGGAACCCCCTTCCGTTTAAAAATACCTTTTCTTAAAACTTCCATCGGTCCCAGCTTTGCCAGCGATTAAAACCAGTGGATTCACATCAGTGGTGAAATCCAATTTTTTTTACTAATGGTTCTGTGGGCGTGGCTTGGTGGGCATGCCATGGCTTGGCTTGGTGGGTGTGGCAGAGGAAGGATCCTGCAAAATCCCCATTCCCTCCCCACTCCTGGGAGAAGGATATTGCAAAATCTCCATTTCCACCCCATTCTGGAGCCAACCAGAGGTGATATTTGCCAGTTCTCTGAACTACTCAAAATTTCCGTTGGTATGAATAGCTTTGAGACCAGAAATTTAAAAATTACATAAACGGGAGAAAATAAAATGTAAAATATGTGTATAATAAATATATAGAAATGTATAAAATTAAGGTTACTTGGGTTAGAAAATGCAATGTAACCAAAGAAAAAGGGGACAATGAAGAAAATGAAATAATATGAGAGATATGGGGGGAAAGATATAGAAAGGAAAGAAGACCACGAAGAAACATTTGATAAAAAGAGGATATACTTCTATGTTGTATGTTATGTGTTTGTCATATTGTGTCATAATAAAATAGTAAAACTTTAAAAAAAAAAAAAAAATTCTGCTACTGGTTCTCCAGAACCTGCTGTATTTCACCCCTGATTCACTTGTTGTTTCTTTGCTTTTCAGATCATCGAACAACTGGAGTTGTCCTTCCCTTTACGGTAAGTAGGAAGTGTGCCTCGGTTTCCCTGTCTCCTCTTGGGCCCAGGTGCTCGTAATCAAGGCATTCTCTCTTTCCTGCTTCTTTGGGAAGATTTTCCTGATTGTGATTGAGCACAGCTGCAAAGTTGACAAAAATAATATTTGCACCAAGGGGGCTTCTCCAGGGTCAAAGCAAAACAAAAGCAGCCTCAAAGAATTGACCAAAAACATACGAAAAGCAAAACAAAAACCACACCACTAGGTGTGTACACCATTACTCTCTGTAATTAAAGAGAATCTGCTTTGAGACTTGCGTTTCCATAGTCCGCTGTTTTCTGACCTCTTGAACTTTAAAGTGGGTGGACTTCAACTCCCAGAATTCCCCAGACATCCAGTCTTTTCTCAACCACAGCTATTTTCAGACGGGTGGACTTCAACTCCCAGAACTCCCTAGAATTCTCAACTTCAATAGCATTGGGACTCCTTCATCCAGCGTCTTCCAGTTGGATGAAGGGAACGTCCAGCTCTCCTCTTCAATCCTTTTGGGGTGTCTTGCTAAGCCTCTGAGATATGTTAAACTGGCATGGCTAGCTTGAGAATTCTGGGAGTTGAAGTCCACAAGTCTTAAAGCTGCCAAGTTTGAAGACCTCTGAGTGGAAGCAAGTTTGGTGAGCAAGGAATCAGAACTTTTGAGAACTACCATGAACACCCGTGGCTCAGGGAATTATCTGGAGACGGTCTTCTCCAACCTGGTGTCCAGCAGATGCCCAGCCGAACCTATAGGTGATGCTAGCTGGGAATTCTGGGACATGTGCTCCTAACTCATCCAGAAGATGCCAGAATAGGGACAAGTGATACGAAAGATGCAAACAATTGACAAAGTCCTGATAGAAGAGAATATTTGCAGTCCAGAGTTGAACTGTGGGGTCCTTGGTGCTCTCTGAGCTTGGTCAAGCTAGCACTGATGATGTTACCTAGTTTGGCAATGAAACATCTGTGAGAAAACAACCGAGCTCAGAGAACACTCTACAGTCCTCCTCCTCCTCCTCCACTCCCTTGTAGCACTGATGATGTTACCTAGTTTGGTAATGAAACGCCTGTGAGAAAACAATTGAGCTCAGAGAGTACCAAGAACCCCACCCTTGACAAAGTGCTTTTGCGTGAGGGTGTGTGGCACAGCTGCTGACACGTTTTCTTGTCTCCTGCTTCCTTTTCAGGAACATGGATCGGCCGGAACTCTGCCAAATCACCTTATACGACTTCCAGAAATTCTTACAGTATGATCAAAAGGTATTTTCTGGAGGAAATAGGTTTGCCTTTGTGAAAACCAGCAGAGATAATGAACAAAAAATTAATGCTAATGAAATAGCTAATGTTTTCCTGTTGTGTACTTTTCCTTTTGTGATGTTTTGTTAGTCCCTTGACAATGAGATGGGCGGTATGTAAATTCAATAAATACATAAATAAATAGCTGCATTTCTCTATAGGTAGTCAGTGGTGGGATTCAAATAATTTAACAATAGGTTCTCTGCCCTAATGACCAGCTGGGTAGGTGTGGCTCAGTGGTCATGTGACCATGTGGATGTGGCCAACTCAATGTCACTCACGTCAATGGGCGCTTCACCTTACTGTTACAATGTAATAAGGGTTAACCAGAGAGGCAGTTTCTGTAAGCAGGGCAATAAAGATTAGGCTAGAAACACCACCAGAATGTTTCCTGCCTGCCTGCCTTACAGGATTAGCCCTGTAAAGTGGAAAAAAACAAAATAAGATTTCTTCCAACAACCGGTTCTCTGAACTGCTTAGAAAGTTAACAACCGGTTCTCCAGAATAGGTGCGAACAGGCTGAATCCCGCCACAGTGGTAATCCTTGACTTACTTGAGCCCAAAATTTTTTTTTTGCTAAGTGAGATATTTATTGAGTTTCGCCCCATTTTACGACCTTTCTTGCCACCGTTGTTAAGTGAATCACAGCAGTTGTTAAGTTAGTAACACGGTTGTTAAGTGAATCTGGCTTCCCCATGGACTTGGCTTGTCAGAAGGTCCCAAAAGGGGATCACACGACCTTGGGATGCTGTGACGGTCATAAGTATGAGCCAGTTGCCAAGTGAATGAGGTTTGATTATGTGACTGTGGGGATGCCACAATGGTCGTAGGGGTGTGAAAAAAAAGCCATTGGTCACTTTTTCAGAGCCATTGTATCTTCAAAAAGTCACTAAACAAATTATTGTAAGTTGAGGACTTCCTGTTTTGTTCCTCCCCTCTAAACAGAATCTTGCCAAACTAGATTATTTTCATCATCAGTGTTGTACTCCAAGGATCTCCATAAGTCTGGAGGAGCCATCTTAACTCTGTTCCTTCTAGCCACATGGCCTAAACTTTGCTGTCTATTGGTTCTCTGGAATGCAAATGAATGAATGAATGAAAATGGAAGGAAGGAAGGAAGGAAGGAAGGAAGGAAGGAAGGAAGGAAGGAAGGAAGGAAGGAAGGAAGGAAGGAAGGCTGGCCCTCCCTCCCTCCTGGGAATCCAGACCACATTCCACCGCAATCAATTTGTCTCCTAGCCACTGCTTAATTTTTTTCCATTATGTTCTCTCTCTCACCTGGTCTTTCAAGTCTTCCAACGGCGCATTGATTTTGCTAAAACCTATGCAGTGCATGTCAAAGTGGCAGGAGTTTGCAGGTGCCATCCTGACTCTTTTTGACCTCTCCTGAGGATGCCCCCCCTCCCTCTCCATTCAAACCCAGCTCTCCTGCTGCACAGCTTCCTGGTAACTCTGCCCTCTGCCTTTTCTCTGCAGGAAGCCTGGGCGAGTGACATCGGTAAGGTACGCAGGTTTATGTGCAGCTACCTGCAGGATCGTTTTGCTGACATGACGGAGCCCGTCTTCCAGCTGGATGAAGTGAGTGTCTGGCTCTCTTCCTCAATCATCGGGGGGGGGGGGGGGAGAGGGTGGGTCTTTTTAAACCAGCATTTCTCAACCTCAGCAACTTTACGATGGGTGGACTTCAACTCCCAGAATTCCCCAGAGGAATCTAGAGAGTCCGAAGGGGAAGTCGCTTAAATGTGAGCCAGCTGTCTGCTGCAGCTGCCAAAAAAGCTAACACAATCCTTGGCTGTATAAACAGAGGCATAGAATCAAAATAATGTGATTTGCACCACTATATAAAGCCTTCGTAAGGCCACACCTGGAATCCTGCATCCAGTTTCGGTCACCACATTACAAAAAAAGATGTTGAGACTTTGGAAAAAGTGCAATGAAGAGCAACTAGGATGATTAAAGGCCTGGAGACTAAAACATACGAAGAACGGTTGCAGGAACTGGGCGTGGCTATTCTAGAGAAAGGAAGGACTGGGGGGTGGGGGACGGACATGATAGCAGTCTTCCAGTATTTGAGAGGCTGCCCCAAAGAAGAGGGGTGCAAATTATTTTCCAAAGCGCCAGAAGGAATTGGGTAAATCTAGTCTAGTGAAAAGAAAGACTAGGGGGGATACGATAGCAGTAGTCCAATATTTGAGGGGCTCCAATAATAATAGTAATAATAATAATAATAATAATAATAATAATAATAATAATAATAATAATAATAATAATAATAATAATAGAAACAGAAAGCTTTATTTTGGCAGCTCAGGAACAAGCCCTAGCCACAAACTGCATGAAGGCAAAAATTCAACATATTACCACCAACAGCAAATGCCGCCTCTGCAATGAGAAAGATGAGACAGTCGACCACCTGATCAGTGGGTGCAGCAAAATTTCACAAACTGACTACCTACAGCGCCATGACCGTGTTGCTAAGATCATTCACTGGAAATTGTGCCAGAAGTTTGGATTTGAGTACAGCAAAAACCACTGGGAACATCAGGTTGAGAAAGTTTTAGAGAATGAGAAACTCAAGATCTTGTGGGACTTCAGGATTCAGACTGACAGGCACTTGGTCCACAACACACCTGACATAACAATAGTTGAAAAGAAAAAAGTGTGGTTCATTGACATTGCAATACCTGGTGATGCACGGATTGAAGATAAGCAGCAAGAAAAAAATCACAAAGTACCGGGACTTGCAAATTGAAGTTGAGCGACTGTGGAAAAAGAAATCGTGTGTTGTCCCGATTGTAATTGGAGCCCTTGGAGCAATACCCAAAGGGCTACCCCGCTATTTAGAAATTCTAAATTTGCCGGACTTGAACATTTTGACTCTACAAAAAACCACCTTACTCGGAACAGCTTACATCCTCCGACGATACCTTAACAGTTCCTAGGTCCTTGGTTAGGACTCGAGCTGCTGAGCTATTAACCAGCCTCAAAGGCTGTGAATCTCACTAAAGATTAACCAATAATAATATTTATTTTATTTATTTATTAATTTTATTTCTATACCGCCCTTCTCCCGAAGGACTCAGGGCGGTGTACAGCCTTATTAAAAGCACAAAGACAAACAAAATTTAAAAATAATTAAAATTATTAAACAATTGGCTCAATTATAAAATTGAGCCTACATAAACGGGGGGGTCAAACTATTTTCCAAACGCCAAAAGGTAAGACAAGAAACAATGGATGGAAACTAACCAAGGAGAGAACCAACCTAGAATTAAGGAGAAATTTCCTGATAGTTAGAACAATTAATCTGTGGAAGGACTTGCCTCCAAAAGTTGTGGATGCTGGAGTGGAGGTTTTTAAGAAGAGACAACCATTTGTCTGGGATGGCATAGAGTCTCCTGTTAGAACAGGGGGTTGGACTAGAAGACCTCCAAAGTCCCTTGTCAGGTTTCCAAGTGATGAAACCCATTCAAAAAAGAAATAGGCAAAGTCCCATCTTCCAAAACAAACTTCTTTTATTTAAGTAGGAATCAAATTGGCAAAGTCTGTTGTAATTCCGGATCTGACACAAACCGGATTTATACACCACATAATATTGTAAATTAGAAACATCCCTCAAAAGTCACATTCTCCAATAAATACTCAATCCACATTTCATGGTGTCTTCCATTCTCGCCAGGAGCTGCCTCTGTTCCCACAGGAAAGAAACTCACCTGCCCAAAACAATCTTAGAGTCCTGCATCCAGTTTGGTCACCACACTGTAAAAAAGATGTTGAGACTCTGGAAAGAGTTCAGAGAAGAGCAACCAGGATGATGAGGGGACTGGAGGCTAAAATATACGATGAACGGTTGCAGGAACTGGGCCTGGCTGGTCTAGTGAAGAGAAGGACCAGGGGAGACAGGAGAGCATCTTCCAATATTTGAGGGGCTGCCACAAAGAAGAGGGAGTCAAGCTATTTTCCAAAGCCCCTGAAGGCCAGACAAGGAACAATGGATGGAAACTGATCAAGGAGAGATTTAACCTGGAAATAAGGAGGAATTTTCTGACAGTGGGAACAACCAACCCATGGAACAGAAGTTGCCTCCGGAAGTTGTGGGAGCTTCATCACCGGAGGCTTTCAAGAAGAGACTGGACTGCCATCGGTCAGAAATGGTGCAGGGTCTCCTGCTTGAGCAGGGGGTTGGACTAGATGACCTATAAGGTCCCTTCCAACTCTGTTAATCTGTTAATCTGATTTAATCCTCACTATCTATTCGCTCTTCCCCCCACCTTAAGAATGTGGCGAGCCTGAAAACCCCCCTTACCAAGTAAAGAGAAAGAAAAGGAACAAATGATTATAATAGAGAACTAAATAAAATGGCTACACATATGTCAAATTTGGGCTCGACATCCCTTCCAACTGGGTTATTCTGTAATAGTTTTTCTTTCCCTCTTCTTTGCACAGTTCCTGACGTTCTTGTTCTCCAAAGAAAACATGCTGATGGATTCCAAGGGTGAGCAAGTGGTCCCTGAAGAAATGAACTTCCCCTTGTCGCAGTACTGGATCTCGTCTTCTCATAACACGTAAGAGTTTCTCCGATTCTTGGGCCAATTATGGATGGATTAAGCCTGGAAAGGAGGCAACTGAGGTCATGCTAGATAGGACTATTCATTGCATTCCACCAGGCCTGTGTTGGCCAAAATGCCAAGGGCTAGTAAACTCTCCTTTCCCACAGCCAATTTGGAGCCAGAGCAGGGATCTCCAAACTTGGCAACTTTGAGACTTGTGGACTTCAACTCCCAGAATTCCTCAGATAGCCTGAAGAATTCTGGGAGTTGAAGTCCATAAATGTTGTGGCTCCATTGCCTGAGCCTGGGCTATCAACAGATGCAGACTCTGAGAGTGAGGGAGAGGAGTTGGCAAGGCCTCCCTCTGCAGGACCCTCCTCTCCGGCAATGCCTCCGGAGGACACCGAAGGCCAAGAGATAGGCCCAGAGCCAAGCATGTCCCCGCAGCCACAGGTGGACAGCGACGAAGGAGATAAGTGCTGGCTGGATCCTCGACAGTGGCACAGGGAGAAGCGTGCACAGCAGAGGGGAAGGCGTGCCAGAGAGTAGCTGAGTCACTGGACCACACCCCACAGGGTATAAATGTGGGTGAGGTGGCCGGTTCAGTTTGTGACCAGCAAAAACTAGAAGTAACATCTTCAGTGCTGGAACGCAAAGGGGTTTGAGGAGGAGGAGAAGGAATTGGAGGATGCGGAAGAGGAATTGGAGAAGGAGGAAGAAGAGGCCTGTGGGATCCTTGATACTCTCTGGGCTTGGTTCTTTCCTTGCGGACCTTTCATGACCCAACTAAGGAACATCATCAGTGCTAATGCTGTTGCACTGATGACATTACCAAGTTTGGTAATGAAATGTCTGCAAGAAAGCAGCCAAGCTCAAGAGAGCATCAAGGACAGTGGTGAAATATAAAATTTGTTACTACCGGTTCTGTGGGCGTGGCTTGGTGGGGGGGGGTAATATGACTGAGTGGGCGTGGCCAATTTTTTTTTAACTTTTAAAACCATTTTTTCTACAACCTCTTCGGCTGAAGAGGTTGTAAAAAAAATGCTTTTAAAAGCCTCTGATGATCCCAGCTGAGCCGCACAATCATCAGAGGCTTTTTTTTTTACATTTAAAAGCATTTTTCCGGCCGAAGAGGTTGTAGAAAAAATGCTTTTAAAAATAAAGAAAAGCCTCTGACGATTGCGCGACTCAGCTGGGCAATGGGGAGGGGGGGGCAGGGATTTTTGCTACCGGTTCTCCAAACCACCCGCCTCCATCGCTACCGGATCAGGCAATCTGGTCCGAACCGGGAGCATTTCACCCCGATCAAGGACCTTTCCTATAAATCCATCTAATAAAATAAAGAAAGAAAATAAGTCTTCGAGAGATTGTGGACTTGTGGGGGGCTGGTCCAATGCATTCCCAAATTCTCCCCACAGCCTTTCACAACCCACAAACTTCCCTTTACAGGAAGTTTCAGTCCAGTTGTTTCTCCTCCTTCCTTGCAGGTATCTCACGGGGGATCAGTTCTCCAGCGAGTCCTCCCTGGAAGCCTATGCCCGCTGCCTTCGGATGGGCTGCCGATGCATTGAATGTAAGCTTTTTTAAAAAAAAAAAATTGATTTTTTATTAATTACATTTCTTAGTGCTTAATAAAAACCGTCTTGTCTGGGTATTTAATTTGCTTAACAATTCTGATGATATACTCAATCTCCACCCCTTTTTTCCAACCACTGGTAAGACAGATTCCATGTTTGATAGGATTCTGTGTCTTCTTTCTGCTTAATTTTCAATGTCAATCTATCCATTTCTGCACAGTCTAGTACAGTGTTGGCTAACCTTTTTGCCATTGTGTGCCAGAAGGGGAGGGGGCGGGGGAGGTTCGCACGTGCACGTGCCCACATCCATAATTCTATGCGCCCCGCCCTGTGCATGCATGTGCAACCCCCCCTCTCCCCACTCCCACTCCTGTCACGCAATGGCCCGATACGCCTGTTTTTCTTCCTCACCTGGCTCCAGATTCTCTCTATGCACCTGGGGAGGGCGAAAACAGCCTTCCCCACTCCCTTGGAGGCCCTCCAGAGGCCTGAAACGGCCCATTTGCCAACTTCCGGTTGGACAGGAAGTGATATTTTTGCTGTCCCCAGTCTCCAGAGCCTTTCTGTTAAGGAATTCGCAGAGTAACCCTTGAGTAGCAAGGATGTGCACATGAAAGCGACTGAGAGTAGTTACAAATAAACACAGTCAACACATAGATACACTGAGTTGTGTTTACTTTTAGGAAATAGTAAGTAAACAGTCCAGGTCATACACATATAAAGCAGGAGATAGCCAAAACGACAGTCCAGGGATAATCCAATAACAAAGTCTTCTTACCAGTCGTTGTAGTCATTGACAATAAACAGTTCTTCTGGATTTGTAAACAGTAGCATACAGAGATATCAGAGAGCAAGAACAGCAAAGAGAAACAAACCATGTTTCTAGCTCCCTCTTAAGGACATTGGCTACAGAGCTAACCAATCGGGACACAGTATGATGCAATACAGCAGTCTTAAAGCTACATTGATGGTTTTACATATTGCCAAACAACAAGTTAGGTAATAATCATTTCCTAACACCCCCCAAAAGGCCACAGCTTCCCCCTTCTTGGCATCCCAAACTGCAAGGTCCTACAGATGTTGGAAGACCATCACATCTGGACAGCCCTTGTGAAAGACCATGTTGCACGGTTGAAGGTGTCTGTGATGGCCGCAGGAGGGGAATGCAGTTTGTGTATGTTTGCAAGGAGCCTTTATTAGATTTAATCGCAGGAGGTTGAGATGATTAATTTACTCATTGGATGGAGGGCTAGAAGCTTCCTCAGCTGGGCACCCTCAAGAAGCGTGCGAAGATTGGAATTCTTGGGGGGGGGGAAGAAATGTACACCCCCCCACAAACAACCTTCTTTCACACACAACGCACGGACTGGGGATTTGGGGGCCTTTGAATCTCGACGCAGCCAGAAGGTGCCCAGTGGAGGAAGCCCAATTCATGTCATGGTTTAAAAAAGGTGGGATTCTAATTTTAAGAAACAAATCCAAGCTTTGATCTTCTTCTGCTCCAGTGGATTGCTGGGATGGCCCTGATGACCTGCCCATCATCTACCACGGCCACACGCTGACCTCCAAAATCAAGTTCCTAGATGTCTTGCACACCATCAAGGAGCACGCCTTCACGACCTCCGAGTAAGTAAGGCCTGTTGCTGCCTTTATGCACCTTGGGTCTTGCTTCCTCCTCCTTCTCCTCCCCCCACCCCCATCCTCTTCTTCTCCTCCTCTCCTTCTCTTTTCTTCTTCTCCTTTTCCTCCTCCTCCTCTTCTTTTTTTCCTTCTCCAGTTTCTCCTCTAACTCCTATTTTTCTTCCTCCTTCCCTTCTCCCCTTCTTCTCCTTCTCCTTCTCCACCTCTTATCTCCTTTCTCTTCTTCCTCTCCTCTTCCTTTTTCTCTCTCCTCCCCTTCTCCTCCTTCCCCTTCTACTTTTCCTCCTCCTCCTCCTCCACCTCCACCTTCTCCTTTCTCCTCTCCTCTTCTTTTTTTCCCTTCTATTTCTCCTCTAACTCCTATTTTTCCTCCTCCTTCCCTTCTCCCTTCTTCTCCTTCTCCTCCACCTCTTATCTCCTTTCTCTTCCTCCTTTCCTCCTCCTTTTTCTCCCTTCATCTCTCTCCTCTCCTCCTCCCCTTTCCCTTCTCCTCCTTCCCCTTCTCCTTTTCCTCCCTCCTCTTCCACCTCCTCCTCCTGTCCTCTGCCTCTTCCTCCTCCCTCCCTCTCCTCCTCCTCCACCTCCACCTTCTCCTTCTCCTCCTCTCCTCTTCTTTTTTTCCTTCTATTTCTCCTCTAATTCCTATTTCTCCTCCTCTTCTTCTCCTTCTCCTTCACCTCTTATCTCCTTTCTCTTCCTTCTCTTCTCCTTTTTCTCCCTTCCTCCATCTCTCTCCTCTCCTCTCCTCCTCCCCTTCCCCTTCTCCTTCTCTTTCCCCTTCTCCTCCTCCTCTTCCACCTCCTCCTCCTCTCCTCTGCCTCTTCTCTTCCCTCCCTCTCCTTCTCCTCCTCTCCTCTTCTTTTTTCCTTCTATTTCTCCTCTAATTCCTATTTCTCCTCCTCCTTCCCTTCTCCCCTTCTTTTCCTTCTCCTCCACCTCTTATCTCCTTTCTCTTCCTCCTCCTCTCCTCTCCTCCTCCCCCTTCTCCTTTTCCTCCCTCCTCCTCTTCTGCCTCCTCTCCTCCTCCCTCCCTCTCCTCCTCCTCCACCTTCTCCTTCTCCTCTCCTCTTCTTTTTTCCTTCTATTTTTCCTCTAACTCCTATTTCTCCTCCTCCTTCCCTTCTCCCCTTCTTTTCCTTCTCCTCCACCTCTTATCTCCTTTCTCTTCCTCCTCCTCCCTTCCTCTCCTCTCCTCCTCCCCCCTTCTCCTTTTCCTCCCTCCTCCTCTTCTGCCTCCTCCCTCCTCTCCTGCTCTTCCTCCCCCTTCTCCTTTTCCTCCTCCTCCTCCTCTTCTGCCTCCTCCCTCCTCTCCTCCTCCTCCTCCTCCTCCTCGTTCTTCTTCATTGGAGGGCAGAATGTGTGAAGGCGAGAATGAACCTCACAGAATGACTTCAGGCCCTCCATAAAAATTGTCCCTCAAGGGGTGGAGAAAGTTGTTCCAGACACTGGAAAGGATGTTTTAGTTGACTGAAGGGAGCAGCCAGATAGAAGCTCCGCCCTTTGCTCCCAAACCCACTCGGAAAGCCAAAAAACTTGGTACCCCCAAATCTTTGTCCCCATCCCTTTGCCAAGCACCTCCTGTTCTCAGGAAGTCCTGCCTCAGGCCATCCCCCTCCAAACTGCTTAGCCATGATCGGCTTTGCTCTGCAGAACAGAGCATCCTTGGACATGGCTCTAGATCTTCTTCTTTGTCGTTGTTGTTAGTTGCATAGTCGTGTCCGACCCATCGTGACTCCATGGACCACGTTCCTCCAGGCCTTCCTGTCCTCTACCATCCTCTGGAGTCCACTTAATCTCACGCCGACTCCATCCAGCCACTTCGTTCTCTGTGGTCCCCTTCTTCTTTTGCCCTCCATCGTTCCCAGCATTAGGCTCTTCTCTTCTTTGTCATTTAATGATCCCCTAATTCCTTGCGGGGTGGAGTCGGGGCAACTGAATGGAGCTGAGTGTTTACTGGCCGGATGCCTTTCCTGTCACCAATGCGGAGTTTTGTTCAGCAGATATATTCTCTTTGTGTCCAGAGAGAGAAATATCTGCCTCTACCTAGGATCGAACTCACAGCCGCCTGATTGTGTGGCAAGAGCTCCACCTCTAGGCCACTGCACCACTCCTGGATATTGCCCTAGATGTAAACAAAAGAAGTGCAGGACTTTTCGGGGCCTGCCTGATGCCCTTTCCTTTTCCCACAGGTATCCCATCATCCTTTCCATCGAGGATCACTGCAGCATCGTCCAGCAGAGGAACATGGCGTCCCACTTCAAGAAGGTCTTTGGCGACATGTTGCTGACCAAACCGGTTGACGTCAATGCTGACCAACTTCCTTCTCCTGCTCAGCTCAAGAAAAAAATCCTCATCAAGGTAGCCCAGTCTCTGACTCCCACCTGGGAGAAATTTTGAGCCTTCCCAGCCCCTCTGCCCTCTTTGCGCGCCCTGAAGCAATCTCTCTGCGTCTTCCATGCTCAATTACGACTACCCACTTACACCGTGCATGGGGGCCAGAGATATTGCTGTAGACCAGAGGGTCTCCAAACTTGGCAACTTTAAGACTTGTGGACTTAAGGCGCCAGGTGCCTTCAGAAGATCTACAGATGGTCTCCACCACCCTGGCTTGCTCATATCAGCCTTCTCCACCCAGGCCCTCTCAATGCTTCTCAACCTTGACCCCTTGAAGATGAATTCAACTCCCGGAATCCCCCAGCCAGCAGAACCATTTAGAGATGTCTGGGGAAAAGACAGAGAACTCTCTGAGTCCCAAACAGGGATCTCCTCAGCCAGGGATGTCCAACCTTGGGAACTTTTAAGATTTGTGGACTTCAACTCATAGCTGCATGGCTGGCTGGGCGATTCTGTGTTCTGTCCCCCTTCCCCACACAGGCAAACACACAACCAGGCACGCCTGCCAAGATTTTATTAAGCAATCAGACTAGAAACCCTTGCAGATAAGAGTTTTGGCAGTAAACTGCGAAATGCCTGCCAAGTCAGTTTTCACTCACAGTAAGCAAGAGAGAGTTTATCCTCAGTCTGGTCCAGTAGCAAAAAGTAATCCACGAAGCAAGAGTTAACCAAGGTCCAATCCAAATATGTACAAGCCAGATTCCAGGTAATGTGATGTGACTCTCAGGTTTTTAACTTTGACCGTCACAAAGCCTGAAGAGCAATCCCACCCACTTTTATTCCTGGTGGGGCGTGGCTTCGTGACTCAGCTCAATCCCTGGCCCTCCCACACCTCTTCCTTTGCTGTGCACGCTTCTACCTCCGACGCTTCCTGGGATCAAGCCACGATTCATCCTCCTCGCTCCCTATCAATTGGTGCTCCGATATGCCTTCCTCCTGGCACAGCCCAGGCTGTTCCTCCTGGCCTTCGGATGGAACCTGAGGCATTGCCAGAGAGGAGGGTCCTGGAGAGGGAAGCCTTGTCAGTTCCTCCCCATCACCTTCTGAGTCCTCTTCCTCTGTTAGGACAGGCTCGGGAGTCGGGGTCACAACATTCTGGGAGTTGAAGTCCACAAGTCTTTAAGTTCCCGAGGTTGGACCCCCTTGGTCTAGATCAGTATTTCTCAATCTTGGCAGCATGAAGAGGTGTGGAGTTCGATTTCTAGAATTCCCCCACTGGCATATGTGGATTGTAAATCCCAGAATTCCCTGGCAAACATGCTGGTGGAGGAATTCCGGGAGTTGAAGTCAACTCATCTCCAAGCTGCCAAGATTGAGATCCACTGGCTAAAAAAAATAAAGAGTGCTTCGTTTAGAAGAGAATATTTATAGCTCAGGGTTGAACTGAGGGGTCCTTGATGCTCTCTGAGTTTGGTGGTTTTCTTGCAGACGTTTCATGACCCCACAAGGTTATGTCATCAGAGCTCACTCCTCCTCCACAGTCCTCCTCTTCTTCCTCTTCCCCCTTCATCTCCTCCTCTCTGCTTGGTTGTTTTCTTGCAGGTGTTTCATTACCCAGCCAGGTAACATTGTTGGTGCTAGAAGGTGCAAACCCCACTCCCTTCTAGCACTGATGATGTTACCTAGTTTGGTAATGAGACATCTGCAAGAAAGCAAATTCCAACAGCATCAAGGACCCCACAGCCTGTGATGATCCGTGGCTTTGCATGAAGGCAACACAGCCAGAGACACCCCCAATGTTCCGTTTTCTCTCTGACCTGGAGAAAAACTCTCCCACAACTCTCCTGCAGCTTCTGGCTGCAGATATTCCAGTCCAAATGCTGTAAGCAGAATGACTCCAGCAGGGCAAGATAATGAGTTCCAGAAGCGAAGAATCACTGAATTCCAGCAAGCCAAGATGTTAAAACAGTCTGGAGGAATGCCAGGAATGCAGGCCACAACTCTCAATACTAGATGAATTCAGTGTTTGTTCCCGACAAACTCCCCTCCCAACTGCCTCTCCTTTAAACTCCATCCCCAGGTGTGCCTCATGAAGGGAATTGGGGCCCTCTCCTTCCTTGTAAGCCATGCAACCCACATTGCGCTCTTCTGCATTCTTCCCTGCGTGCCCTAGGATGTGGAGGGGGTGGGCCTTGGTCTTCATCTGACCCCCATCTCCCTTGTTCTACCTCTCGCTTGCTCTGCCAGCTTGACTTTGCCCTTCCTCAGTTTCCACCACAGCCAACGGAGCCACTCTCCCGTGCTCTCTGTCAGCTGTTCGTCTTCCGTCTCAGATTCAGACTCCGACGGGGGGCATGACACAGTCCTTCTTCTCTTCCTCCTCCACCTCCTCCTCCTCCTCCCTTTCTCCTTCTCCTCCACTCCAAACATCCACTCCCTTCTAGCAGTGATGATGTTATCTAGTGTAGTAATGAAATGTCTGCAAGTAAGCCACCAAGCTCAGAGAACACCAAGGACCCCACAATCTCCTCCTCTTCCTCTCCGTAAACCCCACCCCCTCTACTAGCACTGATGATGTTATCTAGTTTCGTAATGAAACGTCCCCAATAAAACAACCAAGCTCAGATAACACAAAAGAACCTTCAGTGTTTCATTTGTATCCCAAAGAGAACATGTTTTATTTATTTTATTGAATTTCTATACCGCCCTACTCCCGAAGGACTCAGGGCGGTGAACAGCCATAAAATAAAATACATACATATACAAAATTTAAAATCAAATAAAATGAATTAAATAAATTTGGCTGAATTAATACCCATAATTTAAAATACCCATATTTTAAAATACATTAAAATTTAAAATTTGCACTTAAAAGGGAGAAGATTTAGGCGAGGCCAGCTTGATGAAATAACAGAGTCTTCAGCTCGCAGCGGAAGGTGCGCAGATCCGGAATCCTCCGTATCTCTGGGGGGAGCTCGTTCCAGATAGTAGGTGCCCCCACAGAGAAGGCTCTCCCCCTGGGGGCCGACAGCCGACATTGTTTGGCCGACGGCACCTGGAGGAGCCCCTCTCTGTGGGAGCGCACTGGTCGGTGGGAGGCTATTGATGGTAGTAGGCGGTCCCGTAAGTAACCAGGTCCTAAGCCATGGAGCGCTTTAAAGGTGGTAACCAGAACCTTGAAGCGCACCCGGAAGACCACCGGGAGCCAGTGCAGCTCACGCAGGAGAGGTGTTACATGGGAGCTCCATGCCGCTCCCATAACCACCCGCGCGACGGCACTCTGCGCCAGCTGAAGCCTCTGGGTGCACCTCAAGGGGAGCCCCATGTAGAGAGCGTTGCAATAGTCCAGGCGGGAGGTGACAAGGGCATGAGTGACAGTGCGTAACGAGTCCCGATCTAGAAAGGGATGCAACTGGTGAATCAGGTGAACCTGATGAAAAATCCTCCCGGTCACGGCCGTCAAGTGCTCTTCTAAAGACAGCCGTGAATCCAGGAGGACGCCCAAGTTACGAGCCCTTTCCGTGGGGGCCAATGATTCGCCCCCAATAGTCAGTGATGGCGTCAACTGACTATATCGGGACGTTGGAAACCACAGCCACTCGGTCTTGGATGGGTTGAGCCTGAGCCCGTTTCTCCCCATCCAGATCCGTACGGCCTCCAGGCACTGGGACATCACTTCAAGGGCATCGTTGGGGTGGTCTGGGGTGGAGATGTACAGCTGGGTGTCGTCAGCGTACAGATGGTACTTCACCCCGAAACCACGGATGATCTTGCCCAGCGGCTTTACATAAATGTTGAACAAAAGGGGCGAGAGAACCGATCTGCGGCACCCCACATATAAGGGGCCTCGGGGTCGATCTCTGCCCCCCTGTCAACACAGACTGCGACCGGTCAGAGAGAAAGGAGGAGAACCACCGTAAAACGGTGCCAGATGAGCAATCCTGAGTTGGATTTTTTTGCCCAAACATGCAATCTTTTGGGTCCCTCCATCATCTTCCCATCTCCTTTACCCACTACGTTCAGAAAACGGTCCCTTTGTGATGGAGATGAGCTGCTTCTCAGTTTGATATGGATGCGTATATAAATAACTAAAGCTGTCTATCAGGAACCCTCGGACATGGGCACATGGGCCTGAGTGGCGCAGCAAACTAATGCGACTGTTAAAAAAGTAGTATTTAGCTTCCAGCTGCCTGCAGTTACTGCAGGTTCGAATCCCACCAGGCTCAAGGTTGACTCAGCCTTCCATCCTTTCTAAGGTAGGTAAAATGAGGACCCAGTTTGTGGGGGCAATAAGCTGACTTTGTATAAATATACAAAAGGATGAAGGCTATTGCTTAGCGCATTGTAAGCCGCCCTGAGTCTCCGGAGAAGGGCGGCATATAAAATAAATAAATAAAAAATATTCCAATCTTGGCATCAAAATTCTCTTCATTTTCTCTTCCGGCCTCAGCACAAGAAGCTGGTGGAAGGCAACCTCTATGAAGAAGTCTCCACGGCCAGCTACTCGGAGAACGACATCAGCAACTCCATCAAGAATGGCATCCTGTACCTGGAAGATCCCATTGACCATGTGAGCTCCTGGGGGTGGGTGGGCCACGTGGTGGTGATTGAGGCTTCCTGGTGTCTTCAGAAGATCTCCAGATGGTCTCCACCACCATGGTTTGCTCATATCAAACTTCCCCAGCCAGACATTTGCTAGATCAGTGTTTCTCAAACTTGGCCCCTTGAAGATGGGTTGACTTCAACTCCCAGAATTCTGGGAGTTGAAGTCCACCCATTTTCAAGGGGTCAAGGTTGAGAAACACTGATCTACAGTACAGGTAACTTTGGCAGCCAGAAAATTGGGAAGCCACCACAATGGATGGAAACAAGAAGTGACGGATGGAAACTAATCAAGGAGAGAAACAACCTAGAACTAAGCAGAAATTTCCTGATAGAACTATTAATCAGTGGAATAGATAAATAGATAGATAGATAGATAGATAGATAGATAGATAGATAGATAGATAGATAGATAGAGATAGAGATGATAGATAGGGAGAGAGGGAGAGGGGGGAGGGAGAGATAGATAGATGATAGATACCTTGTTTCCCCCAAAATAAGAATTCCCTGATAACAAGCCCAATATTAACAGCCTTTGGTTGATAAAGACTGAGTTATTTGAGTAAAATAAGCTTTGTATAAAGTTTGTGTGTGCTGCATTCTTTGGGGGTCCTTAGCTGGGGCAAAACACCATTTTACTTGCTCTGGAGGGGAGATTATCTGGTTCTCGCCCTTTGGAGTCACAAATTCCCATGTTCCCATGGACCAGGGGTTTGGTTGAAAGATGGGAATTGAGCTAATAGGTGCCCAGACCATGTCTTAAATAGTCTGTTTCCATCATACTCAGCTGTACAGGCAGTCCTCAGTTTACGACTACAATTGAGCCCCGAATTTCCGTTGCTAAGCGAGATAAACTGTTAACTGAGTTTCGCTTCATTTTACGACTTTTCTTGCCACTGTGGTTGGCAATCTGGCTTCTCCATGCGCTTGGCTGGTCGGGAAGGTCGATCACCTGACCCCGGGATGCTACGACCGTCATAACTATGAGTCGATTAAGTGTGTCTGAATTTTGGTTGCGTGACCATGGGAGGATGCTGCCACGGTCGTAAGTGTGAAAAACGGTCTTAAGTCACTTTTTTTCAGTGCCGTTGCAACTTTGAATGGTCACTAAACAAACTGTTGTAAGTTGAGGACTTATCTGTACAGCTATCAACACCATGCCGTGTTGTTTTGGGGTGAAATGCTAGGATTCTGCTTGGGGGGATTTGCACTTGACCTTTACTTGATCTTGTGTCCAAAAATACTTTTATCCCTTCTGTTTTCTCTTGCTTTGACAATACGCCCCCCCCTCTTTCTCCGTCACAGACCTGGAGCCCCCACTACTTTGTCCTGACAAGCAACAAGATCTACTACTCGGAGGAGACCTCCCACTACCAGTCCCATGGGGAAGAGGAGGAGGAGGCGGAACAGAAGGAGGTATTCTGCTGATGGAGGCTCTTTTGAACGGCTTGGCCTCCATGAGGACTAGTGGATTGTGAAGAAATCCCTTAGAGATGGCTGGGGAAGCCAAGTTTTTGCCAGTCTCATTGTGGAGCGATAAACATTCATTATGGTTAGGAAAGAAAGGATGGAGGCTAACTTCCCTCCCACTCACTTACCCACTTGTTGGGGAAAAGTTTGAATACACTTTTCCTGCTCATTTTGCAAAGTTAGGCTTTCAGAATGCCCAATAATATAGCAATAGCCTTTAGACTTATATACCGCTTCACAGTGCTTGTACAGCCCTCTCTGAGCGGTTTAGAGAGTCAGCTTCTTGCCCCCAACAATCTGGGTCCTCATTTTACCCACCTCGAAAGGATGGAAGGCTGAGTCAACCTTGAGCCGGTCAGGATCGAACTGCTGGCAATGGGCAGAATTAGCTTGCAATACTGCACTCTACCACTCTACCACTATGTCCTTCCTTCCTTCCTTCCTTCCTTCCTTCCTTCCTTCCTTCCTTCCTTCCTTCCTTCCTTCCTTCCTTCCTTCCTTCCCTCTTTCCCTTTCTCTCTTCCCATCCCTCCCTCCCTTGAATATCCATCCATCCATCCATCTTCCTCCCACCCTCCCTCCCTCCCACTTAGCAATAGCCCTTAGACTTATATGCCGCTTCCCAGTGCTTTCCAGCCCTCTCTAAGCATTTTACAGAGTCAGCCTCTTGCCCCCAACAATCTGGCTCCTCGTTTTACCCACCTCGAAAGGACGGAAGGCTGAGTCAACCTTGAGCCGGTCAGGATCGAACTGCTGGCAATGGGCAGAGTCAACTTGCAATACTGCATTCTAACCACTGCACCACCACAGCTCCTTCAGTACTTTGAGTCTTTAGTCCCCCTGCATTCTAGTAGACGGGGGGAATGCTGTAGATACAGTATATCTTGATTTCAGCAAAGCTAGTGATGCTAGCTATCCTTGTTGGCAAATTGATAAAACATGGGTTGGGTTTTAGCACTTAGACTTATATACCACTTCATAGTGGTTTGCAGCCCTCGCTAAGCAGTTAACAGAGTCAGCATTTTGACCCCAACAATCTGGGTGCTCATTTTACTGACCTCGGAAAGATGGAAGGCTGAGTCATGCTTGAGCAGGTAAGGATTGAACTGCTGGCGGTCGACAGAGTCAGCCTGCAATGCTGCATTCTAACCACTGCGCCACCACAGCTCTGTATAAAGGATGTTGTGTAGGATTTGCAAGCTCCTAATCTTTGCACTCGGTGATCACACAGCATTGCTATGTTATTACCCTGTTTCCCCTAAAATAAGACCTCCCCTGATAATAAGCCCAATCGGGACTTTTGAGCGCATGCACGAAAATAAGCCCCCCCCTGAAAATAAGCCCCCCCCGAAAATATTTAAACACATATGCAGCCGGTCCCCACCATTTCCTCTGGTTTCTTCCAAGTGCCCCAAAATAATAAGATCTCTCCAAAAATAAGGCCAAGCGCTTATTTTGGGGTTCAAAAAAATATAAGGCAGGATTTTATTTTCAGGGAAACATGGTAGATATCCCCCAATGGGGTCCCTGTTGGTCTCTCAGCTGGGTTGTTTCCTTCAGAAGTTTCATGACCCAACTAGGTAACATCATCAGTGCTAGAAGGGAATGGGTGTTTGGAGTGGACGAGAAAGAGAAAGGGAAAAGGAGGAGGAGGAGGAGAAGGAATGATAGAAGAGGAGGAGAAGGAGAAGGAAAAGGAAAAGGAGGACTATGGGGTCCTTGGTGCTATTGGAATTTTTTTTCTTGTAGATGTTTCATTACCAAACCAGGTAACATCATCAGTGTTAGAAGGGAGTGGGGTTTGCACCTTCTAACACTGATGATGTTATCTAGTTTGGTAATGAAACACCTGCAAGAAAACAACCAAGCTCAGAGAGCCCCACGGGCCCCCCCAGAGTCCTCCTCCTCCATTCTGCACACCCCACTCCCTTCCAGCACTGATGATGTTACCTAGTTGGCTAACGAAAGGTCTTTAAGAAAACAATCCAGCTCAGTTCAACCCTAAGCTACAAATATTCTTTTTTTACCAGTAAGAGAACTAACCAGTGTTAGTCATCTAACGTTTCGCACTGAGCGTTCTCAGGCCGTGAGACCCAGTTTGCCACTTGATCAGGCAGGCCAGTCTATTTTCATTCGGCACAGGTTCGGTCCAACAGCATATTTAAGACAGACTGCAAGCGAATTTGTCATATAGAAAGAAAATGCTGGTTAGAAACCTTGTGCCGGTTCGATCCCACAGCCGCCATGCTGTTCGTGAAATCGCTTTAAATATATATCCTGCTTTTCATCCTTAAATTGTCAAATGGGTTTTAGTTTTCAATGTTTTAAATTTTTGGGCCACAGTTATATAATTCTTTTAATAATTTTTAAATTTTGTATTGGTATGTGTTTTAGTTCTGGCTGAGTCCACTAGGAGAAGGGTGGGATATAAATTGAATAAATGAATGAATGAATGAATGAATGAATGAATGAATGAATGAATGAATGAATGAATAAATAAACAAACCAAAATATTCATCTATTAAGGTAAAGGTAAAGGTTCCCTTCGCACATATGTGCTAGTCGTTCCTGACTCTAGGGGGCGGTGCTCATCTCCGTTTCAAAGCTGAAGAGCCAGCGCTGTCCGAAGACGTCTCCGTGGTCATGTGGCCGGCACGACTCAACGCCAAAGGCTCACGGAACGCTGTTCCCTTCCCACCAAAAGTGGTCCCTATTTTTCTACTTGCATTTTTTTACCTGCTTTTGAACTGCTAGGTTGGCAGAAGCTGGGACAAGTCACGGGAGCTCACCCCGTTACGCGGCACTGGGGATTCGAACCGCTGAACTGCCGACTTTTCTGATTGACAAGCTCAGCGTCTTAGCCACGTCCCACTCATTCATCTATTACTTGCAGTTAAAACAGTAAAATGTTTTAAACTTAAGATTTTTAGAGTCAGCCTAAGGAATTCTGTAGGACCTTCTTCAAGGAAGAAGCCCCCAGAATTTGGCTGATATGCAGCGTGCCTTTTTCAAAACGTGCCAGAACACAGATAGTCCTCGACTTATGACCACAATTGAACCCAATGTTTATATTGCTAAGTGCGAAATTCGTTAAGTTTGTTAAGCCCCATTTTACGACTTTTCTTGCCAGGTTTGTGAAGTGAATCCCTTCAGTTGTTAAATTATAACACGGTTGTTAAGTGAGTCTGGCTTTTCCCCGTTGACATTGTTTGCCAGAAGGTCGCAAAAGATAATCACGTGATCCCAGCGACACTGCGACCGTCATAAATACGAATGATTTTTTAAGAACCTGAATGTAAATTATGTGCCCACACAGGGATAATGCAACAGTCGTAAGTGTGAAAAACGGGCATAAGTCATTTTTTTCAGTGCTGTTGTAACTTCGGTCACTAAACGAACCGTTGTAAGTCGAGGACTCCCTGTAGTTCGGACAGCTCTTAGGAATATGCCATGTCTCATTTACAACTGCTGTTCTCTCTCTCTCTCTCTCTCTCTGTCTCTCTTGTGCGTCCTTCCTCCCTGTTTCAATCCCGCATGTCCTCATTCCTTCTCTCTTGTTCCGTCTTGTCTCGGGCGGTTCCATAGGAGTTTAACAACAACGAGCTGCACTTTAGTGAGAAATGGTTCCATGGCAAACTGGGCGGGGGCCGCGACGGGCGTCAGATTGCCGAACGCTGCTGCTGCACGAATACTGCACCGAAACCGGGGGCAAAGATGGCACTTTCCTCGTCCGCGAGAGCGAGACATTTGTGGGCGACTACACTCTCTCTTTCTGGTAAGACCCCCCCCCTTCCCTCAACACCCCAAAATCTTTGACCGTTAAGATTGGGCTTGCACCGCCGTGCTCTTAAGACCCTCTTATTCCAGCAAGCCGGCCTGGCCTAATTTTTCTCCCCTTTCTTTTAAATTTTAAATTGAAATTTTAATTTGTTTTAAATTTATTGGGATTTTAATTGTCGTGGACCAATATTATTTCATTTGGTTTTAAATTGTTTTTAACTTTTGTATTTCTGTATTTTCTCTTGTGCCTGTTCACCGCCCTGAGTCCTTCGGGAGTAGGGCGGTATACAAATTTAATAAAACTCAAACTCAAAACTAAGCATTTGAATTGAATCAAGTAACATTTGTCGTCATTTTCCTGCATAGGCAGTCCTCGACTTACGACCACAACGGAATGCAAAATTTCTGTGGCTAAGCGAAAGATTTCTTACGTGAATTTTGCCCCGTTTTACGACCTTCCTTGCCACCGTCGTTAAACGAATCACGGCACTTGTTAACTTAATCCCACGGTGGTTCAGCGAATCTGGCTTCCCCATTGTCTGTGCTCGTCAGAAGGCCTTTAAAGCCCCATTTTACGACCTTCCTTGCCACCGTCGTTAAGCGAATCACGGCACGTGTTAACTTAGTCCCACGGTTGTTCAGCGAATCTGGCTTCCCCATTGTCTGTGCTTGTCAGAAGGCCTTTAAAAGGGGATCATGTGACCCCGGAACGCTGCAGCCGTCATAAATATGAGACAGTTGCCAGGGGTCTGAATTTTATTCACCTGGGGATACTGCAACGGCCATAAGTGTGAAAAACGGTCATAAGTCACTTTTTTCAGTGCCGTTGTAACTTGGACGGTCACTAAATGAACTGTTGTAAGTCGAGGACTTCAGTATACACTACAAAGCATGCATTAAAATGAAATTCCGACACACGGCTCTTGAAAATAAGAAAACGGCAACCAGCATCCCAGAGATTATTAATCACAATAATGATAATAATAATGTAATAATAGCAGCAATTTGGTGACCCAGGACAGGGGTTCATTCGGGGGGGGGGGGGGTTGAAGGGTGCAATGTGGGTGGGGCTTCACCAGATTGGATGGGGTTAAAATTTGGGGGAGAGCAGTCGGACACCTTCCTGCCCTAAAGTTCAGGCATCGTTTTGTGTCCAAAAATCATGAGAAAAAACGGTACAGGTTAGTCCTCGACCTACGACCACAATCGAGGCCGAAATTTCTGTGGCAAAGCGAGTCAGCTGTTAAGTGAGTTTTGCTCCATTTTACGACCTTCCTTGCCACCGTTGTTAAGTGAATGTTAAGTTAGTCACACGGTTGTTAAATCGAATCCGGCTACCCCGTTGACGTTGCTTGTCGGAAGGTCGCAAAATTCGAAGGTCGTATTTTTGTCATAAATACGAGTCAATTGCTGAGCGTCTGAATTTGGATCACGTGACCGCGGGGATACTGCAACGGTCATAAGTGTGAAAAACGGCCACACGTCACTTTTTTTCCAGTGCTGTTGTAAGTTCCAACGGTCACTAAATGAACTGTTGTAAATCGAGGACTACCTGTAAGTGCAAGGTGAAAACGTGAAAATTTTACCCATTAAACTTCCAACCTTTTCATCTTCTCCGCCGCGTTTTGCAGGCGTTCCGGACGGGTCCAACACTGCCGCATCCACTCGCGGCAAGAAGCCGGCACCACCAAGTTCTACCTGACCGACAACCTGGTTTTTGACAGCCTTTACAGCCTCATCTGCCATTACCGCGAGGTGCCGCTGCGCTGTAACGAGTTCGAGATGCGCCTGACGGACCCCGTGCCACAGCCCAACGCCCATGAGAGCAAGGAGTGAGAAGCCAGGGCTTCCCTTCCTTTTCCTTTCCTTCCCTATTTCTTTTCTTTTCCTTTTTCCTTTCCTTTTCTTTCCCTCTTTTTCTCCTTTCCTTTCTCTTCCCTTCCCTTTCCCTCTCCTCTCCTCTCCCTTCCTTTCCTTTCCTTTTTCCTTTCCTTTCCTTTGCCTCTTTCTCTTTTCCTTTCTCTCTCTTTTTCTCTTTTCCTTTCTCTCTTTTTCTTCCTTTTTTTCCCTTTCCTTTCCTTTCCTTTCCTTTCCTTTCCTTTCCTTCTCTTCCCCTTTCCTTCCCTTCCCTTCCTTTTCTTTCCCTCTCCTCTCGTCTTTTCTTCCTTTCCTTTCCTTTCCTTCCCTTCCCTTCCCTTCCCTTCCCTTTCCCTTCCTCTTTTCTTCCTTTCCTTTCCTTTCCTTTCCTTTCCTTTCCTTCTCTTCCCCTTTCCTTCCCTTCCCTTCCCTTCCTTTTCTTTCCCTCTCCTCTCCTCTTTTCTTCCTTTCCTTTCCTTCCCTTCCCTTTCCCTTCCTCTTTTCTTCCTTTCCTTTCCTTTCCTTTCCTTTCTTTCCTTTCCTTTCCTTTCCTTTCCTTTCCTTTCCTTTCCTTCCCTTCCCTTCCCTTCCCTTCCCTTCCCTTCCCTTCCCTTTCCTTTCCTTCCCTTCCCTTCCCTTTCCTTTCCTTTCCTTTCCTTTCCTTTCCTTTCCTTCTCTTCCCCTTTCCTTTCCTTTCCTTCTCTTCCCCTTTCCTTCCCTTCCCTTCCCTTCCTTTTCTTTTCCTCTCCTCTCCTCTTTTCTTCCTTTCCTTTCCTTTCCTTTCCTTCCCTTCCCTTCCCTTCCCTTCCCTTCCCTTCCCTTCCCTTCCCTTCCCTTCCCTTCCCTTCCCTTTCCCTTCCTCTTTTCTTCCTTTCCTTTCCTTCCCTTCCCTTCCCTTCCCTTCTGATGCTCCTTGTCACCCCAATCCTGGAATTTGGGGGAGGAGGGGGATCAGGAGATGACCATCCCTGGAGAGCCCCCTCCTGCAGAATCCTGAATAATGCTGGCTCGAATCCAAGCCTCATCCCTTCTTCGCTCTCAAAGGCTTTCTTAGCAGCAGAGCTCAGAGCAGCAGAGAGGGTGTGGGAGCTTCTGAGCACGCACAGAGTGCCTTCAAAATTTAAGGCCTCCAAAACAAGGAAGGACTGAATAATGGTAGGCAGGTCGGTCCCTCTTTAGCATTCCTCACTGCTTGAGTTGGGAGAGAGCTTTTCATTGTTTTAAAAATTAATTTATTCTTAATTTACATTTAATTGTTTTTAATAAAATGAGGCAGAGCTTGGATGTGTGGTGCAGTGGCCTAGAGGCGGAGCTCTGGCCTCACAATCAGGAGGCTGTGAGTTCGATCCTAGGTAGAAGCAGGTATTTCTCTCTGGGTACAATGAGAATATTATCTGCTGAATAAAACTCCGCATTGGCGACAGGAAGGGCATCCGGCCAGGAAACACTCTGCTAGCTCTGTTCAGTTGCCCAGACTCCACCCCGCAAGGGATTATGGGGTCGTTAAAAGAAAGAAGATGAGGCAGAGCTTGGATGTTTCCTGGCAGATCTGTGAGCCCTTCACCCTTCGGTCTTGACCCCTGCGTGTGTCTGAGTTGGCATCTCTTCTCTCCCCCACCCCACCCAGGTGGTACCACCCGAACCTGTCCCGTCTGCAGGCCGAGCACATGCTGATGCGGGTGCCCAGGGACGGCGCCTTCCTGGTGCGCAAGAGAAGCGAGGCCGACTCCTACGCCATCTCCTTCCGGTGAGCCTGGCCATGTGCCCCGAAGCCCCGGGGCTATAAGCAGGGTTGTACAGATAGTCCTCGAGTTACGACAGCTCGTTTAGCGACCGTCTGTTTGTACCTCAAGGGGCTGACCTTTCTCCCTGCTTCTCCCCTTGACCTTAACGTGATTTGGGGATCCGCCTGACAGCCTTTGTGTCCCGTCCCCGTCCCCCCGTCTCCCCCCCCAGGGCCGAGGGGAAGATCAAGCATTGCCGAGTCCAGCAGGAAGGGCGGCTTTTCACGCTGGGCAGCTCGGCGGAGTTCGAGAGCCTCCTTGACCTGGTCAGCTACTACGAGAAGCACCCGCTCTACCGCAAGATGAAGCTGCGGTACCCCATCAACGAGGAGACCTTGGAGAGGATGGGCACGGCGGTGAGAGGCTCCCTCTGTCTGGTCCAGGGGTTCCCCACTTGGGCCACCCCAACCCCCAGAATTCCCCAGCCAGCATGGCTTCCCTTTTGCCACCAGCCCAAACTGTTATTTTCACAAAAAAGTAGAAGGAGAGGGAGGGGAGGGGAGGGAGGAAGGAAGGAAGGAAGGAAGGAAGGAAGGAAGGAAGGAAGGAAGGAAGGAAGGCACCAAGAAGATGGATGAATGAGGAGAGGAGGGAGGAGGGAGGGAGGGAGGAAATAAGATATAGAGAAGAAAGGGAAGGATGGAAGGAAGGAGAAAAAGGAACGAAAGAAAGAAGGAAAGAAAGAAGAGAAAGAAAGAAAGAAAGAAAGAAAGAAAGAAAGAAAAAGAAAGAAAGAAGAAAACAATAAAATGAAGGAAGGAAGGCATTGAGAAGATGGATGAATGAGGAAGGAGGGAGGGAGGGAGGGAGGAAATAAGACAGAGAAGAAAGGTAAAGGTGGAAGGAAGGAGAAAAAGGAAGGAAAGAAAGAAAGAAAGAAAGAAAAGAAAAAGAAAAGGAAGGAAGGAAGGAATTGAGAAGATGGATGAATGAGGAGGGAGGAGGAAGAAAAAAGACAAGAAAGGGAAGGATGGAAGGAAGTAGAAAAAGGAAAGAAAGAAAAAAGAAGGAAGGCATTGAGAAGATGGATGAATGAGGAGGGAGGGAGGAAGAAAAAAAGACAAGAAAGGGAAGGATGGAAGGAAGTAGAAAAAGGAAAGAAAGAAAGAAAAAAGAAGAAGGAAGGCATTGAGAAGATGGATGAATGAGGAGGGAGGGTGGAAGGAAGGAAAAATAAGGCATCAAGATGGATGAATGAGGGAGGGAGAAAATAAGGCATAGAGAAGAGTAGAAAGGGAAGGAAAGAAAGAAAAAGAAAGGAAGGCATCAAGAAGATGGATGAATGAGGAGGGAAGGGAGGTAGGTAGGAAGGAAATAAGAAATAGAGAAGGAAGGGAAGGAAGGAAGAAAAAGGAAAGAGAAAAGAAAAGAAAGAAAATGAAGGAAGGAAGGCATTGAGAAAATGGATGAATGAGGAGAGAGGGTGGAAGGAAAGGAAAATATAAGGCATCAAGAAGATGGATGAAGGAGGGAGGTAGGAAATAAGGCATAGAGAAGAGAAGAAAGGGAAGGAAGGAAAGAAAAAGAAAGATAGGAAGGAAGGAAGGAAGACCCAATCCTCCCTGATTTTACCCAAATCAAGCATTAAATTTATTTCTCCTGGAATAAATATGAATGCCAAGCAGTGGATTAGCAGGACTACCTGCCTGGGGTGTTGTTATTTCTGATGAGTTCTGCATGGACAGCATGAAGTTGGAAGGAGCTTTCTAGACCTACTGCCATCATAGAGATCTGCCTCTTGCACATTTAGAAATGATTTTCTAACTTGGAGGCGGGATAGAAATAGCAGTGAAGGAAAACACACAGCTGACAATAGTTTGGAGAAGGTGTGAGAGTTATTTTCAGTCTGAGCTACTTTTTTTACTTTAGTTACTTTAGCACAAAGAAGGTCATTCCTTCTTAGGAATAGATAAGGCCCTAAAGACTTATTTATTCCAGCAAGCCGCCCTAGCCTAAATGGTTTTTAATGGGATTTTTTAAATTTTATAGACTTGGGGTTTTAAAATGGGAGGCCGATTGATTTAATCTCTTTTAATTATCTTAACTTTTGTATTGTATGTATTTTAATTTTGGCTGTCCACCGCCCTGAGTCCCTTTGGGAGAAGGTGCGGTATACAAATTAAATTAATAATAATAATAATAATAATAATAATAATAATAATAATAATAAGCTTACATCCTCCGACGATACCTTAACAGTTCCTAGGTCCTTGGTTAGGACTCGAGCTGCTGAGCTATTAACCAGCCTCAAAGGCTGTGAATCTCACTAAAGATTAACCAATAAATAATAATAATAATAATAATAATAATAATAATAATAATAATAATAATAATAATAATAATAATAATTATTATTATTATTATTATTATTCAAGGATATATATTTTTTCTCTCTCTCTCGATTTTGGGGGGGTCTTCCTCCATGTTGGGGTCCTTAGAAATGGAGTGGACCAGAGTTTCTTACCTCAGCAACTTTAAGAAGAGTGGACTTCAACTCCCAGAATTCCCCAGCCAGCACAGCTGTGCTGGCTGGGGAATTCTGGGAGTTGAAGTCCACTCTTCTTAAAGTTGCTAGGATGGAAAACCCCTGCTTTCAAAAATGGGGCCAGGGTTTGAGTTATAAATCTTTCCTGACAGGAGCTGGATTATGGGGCACTGTATGAGGTGAGGAGCCCTCACTTTTACGTGGAAGCCAACAAGATGCCCGTGGCCAGGGTAAGTGGGCGAGGCTGGGGAGTTATTTTTGCATTTTTTATGTGTTGCGGGGTTTTTTGAGTGTATTGTGAGCCGCCCTGGGTCTTTGGAGAGGGGCGGCATATAAATTGAAAAAGAAGAAAGAAAGAAAGAAAGAAAGAAAGAAAGAAAGAAAGAAAAAGAAAAAGAAAGAAAGAAAGAAGAAAGAAAGAAAGAAAGAAAGAAAGAAAGAAAGAAAGAAAGAAAGAAAGAAAGAAAGAAAGAATAGATTTAGCCATCTTCTCCCAAAGGTGCTTTTTCCAAAAAAAAAAAAAACACCTTTCCTGTTTTTCATTCCTTGAAAAGATTTCGCTTCCCCCCCAAGAAGCTTCTTCAGTTCTTCCGAATAGACAGCTACATTAGTTCAGAACTGAAGAAGCTTCTTGGAGGAGAAGCGAAATGTTTTCAAGGAAAAAACAACAAGAAAGTCCAGGTGGAACTTTTTTGGAAAAAGCACGTTTGGGACAACCATGATTTGGATGATTGAGTATCTTCTCATATTAGATGCTCAGTTTATGGATTTAGCTCTCTTCTCATCGTTACAATTAAAAACACAACCTACAACAGTTCATTTAGTTGTTCAAAGTTACAACGGCACTGAAAAAAGGGACAATTTTTCACTCTTACGACCGTTGTAGCATCCTTGAGGTCACGTGATTAAAATTCAGAGGCTTGTATTTATGACGGTCGCAGTGTCCCGGGGTCACAGGATCCCCTTTTTGTGACCTTCTGACAAGCAAAGTCAACGGGGAAGCCAGGTTCGCTTAACGACCATGTGCCTCACTTAACAACTGCAGTGATATCATTTAACAAATATGACAAGACAAGTCGTAAAACAGGACAAAACTACCTTCATAAATGTCTCGTTTACTAACATCCATTCCAGACTCCATTTTGGTCATTTTACCTTTTGCAGTGTACCGTAAAGGCCTTGTATGACTACAAAGCCCAGCGAGAAGACGAGCTCTCCTTCTGCAAACAAGCCATCATCCATAACGTTGACAAGCAGGATGGGGGATGGTGAGTCCCAGATGAATTTGGAAGGAGGAACTTCAAGCGGCCTTTGCTGGGTAACTCCAAAGAAGCCAGGAATCTCAGCTCGGGAAGAAAAAAGGGCCCCAAAATATAACAGAGTAACCAAGTTGGAAGGGACCTTAGAGGTCTTCTAGTCCAACCCCCTGCAGAAGTGTTGGAGCAACCACAACTTCTGGTGGCCAGCTGTTCCACTGATTAATATTTCTCTCCATCAGGAAATCCCTCCTTAGTTCTAGGTTGCTTCTATCCTTGATTAGTTTCCATCCATTGTTTCTTGATGTCCCTTTAGATCTTGGGGTTCACGACTTAATGCTTTGATGATTTCCTCCCCTGGTTTTTTTTCTCCTTTGTTTAAAAGACCTTCAGATACCTAGAGAAGGACATTCAGGGTTTATTCTTGGCTAATGCCCTGCAGGGTCGTTGTTTTGCAGAGGAACTGACAAATGGGACCGACGTGCCCAAAGGAAAGGAATTAGAATACGTCATACGCAACTTTGCTTGGCGATGATGGCTACATGATGGGCTGATTAATCCTTGCTCCTTGGAAGCGCCCATCTTGATCTAACTTAGCTGATCATCTAGAACAATTAACCAGTGAAACAGCTTGCCACCGGAAGTTGTGAATGCTCCAACACTGGAGGATTTTAAGAACAGACTGGACAGCCATTTGTCTGAAATAGTATAGGGCTTTCTGCCTGAGCAGGAGGGTGGACTAGAAGACCTCCAAGGTCCCTTCTGTTAAGGATATTCTTGGCTCATAACCGATGTTATGGGTTATTGAGCAGAGTACCCCTTGAGTATGCACATGAAAGCGGCTGAGAGTGAATAACCACAGTTAATATACTGACACACTGAGCTGTGGTAGTCTTTTACTTTTTAGAAAAAAGCAAGTCCAATAACAATCCAAGTCATACATAGATAAGGCAATAGTTAAAATATCAATTCAGGGATATTTCCAAGTACAAAGTCTTCTTACCAGTTGTTGTCATTACACAATAAAACAGTTCTTCTTGAGTTTCAAACAGGAACAAGTTCAGTATTAAAACATTCAATAAATAGTAGAAAGCAACAAGTAGCAATGATCAAACAGTGATCATACAGAGAGAACAGGTAGAGAGTAACAGCAAATAAGCAGATAAAATGGTGTAGTGCCCACAAGCCATGATTCAGGCTTCCCCTTAAGTACATTGGCTACAGAGCTTAGCCAATCAGGATACAGGATGATGCAATACAGTCTTAAAGCAATATAATACTTTTTGACAAACATGTATTGGTAGTTTATATATTGCCTGACCAACTAGTTAGGCAATAGCCATTTCCTAACATGGGGTCTCCTGCTTGAGCAGGGGGCTGGACTAGAAGACCTCTAAGGTCTCTTTCAACTCTACTCTGCTTGATTGAGCAAAATTTGGGAGCTCGGCAACCAGCTTGTATTGATCACTGTTTCAGGCTCCTGGGTTCCTCTAATCTCCCTCACTTAACAACTGCATTGATTCGCTTAACAACCACGGCCAAAAAAAAAAGGGTCGTAAAATCAGACACAACTCCCTTCACAACCGCCTTGCTTAGCAATGGAAATTCCGGTCGCGACTTCGGTCGTAAGTCGAGGATCACTTATATTCGCGCACCAGGCGCTGTGCCGAGAGAAATGTCTCGTTGTCTGTTCTGTTCTGTTTTGCTTGTGTGCCATTGTGTCCCCCGCCTTCACAGTCCCCAACTGTGTTTCTCCGCTTTCTTTCCTCCCTCCTTCCCTCCCTCCCAGGTGGCGAGGAGATTATGGCGGGAAGAAGCAGCTCTGGTTCCCTGCTAACTACGTGGAGGAGACCTTGAGTGCCTCCGTGCCGGAGCAGGACGAAGCGGTCAGTTCCTGTTTCGGCCAGCTTTCTCTGGGAAACTGCTACGAATGTAGAGAGGACAAACCATGTTGGCTTCATCCTGGCTAGCTTTTCCCTCTGGGCAGAGGTGGGCTTCGCATACGGTAGCTACCGGTTCGCCCAGCACCGGAAATGTGAGCGTGCGCCATCCGCGGATGCATGCGGCGTCACAAAACACAGCAATTTGCACACGCACGCCATCCACACATGTGTGCGGGGTCCAAAACACAGTGATGTAGGGCGGGATTGCGCCAGCGTGGGCCCACTCACAAGTCGTCACTACCGGTCCGCCTGAACCGATCCGAACCGGCTGAATCCCACCTCTGCTTCTGGGAATGTGGGACTCCACCCAGCACATCTTCAGGAACCGAAGATGGAGGTTGCAGCTCCATCTTTTCCAAGAAGGGAGTGCGCAAATACAGGTAGTCCTCAATTTACAACCACCATGGAGCCCAGAATACGTTGCTAAGCGAGACATTTGTTACAACACGGTTGTTAAGCGAATCCGGCTTCCCCGTTGACTTTGCTCGTTGGAAGGTCACAAAACGGGGAATACGTGACCCCAGGACGCTTCGACGGTCATAAATAGGAATCAGTTGCCCAACGGCCGAATTTTGATCACGTGACTCGCGCGATGCTGCAACGGTCATGAGTGTGAAAAATAGGTCATAAGTCACTTTTTGGGGCCCATTGCAGTGATCTAAACGGTCACTAAATGAATTGTTGTAAGTTGAGGACTACCTGTACAGTTAATACTCAACAGTTTGTTTAGTGACCGAAGTTACAAAAGCACTGAAAAAAGTGACTTATAACCATTTTTCACACCTACGACCATTGTAGCATCACGTGATCAAAATTCAGACGCTTGGCAACTGACTCATATTTATGACCGTCGCAGTGTCCCGGGGTCATGCGATTCCCCTTTTGGAACCTTCTGACGAGCATTGTCCATGGGGAAGTCAGATTCACTTAACAACCGGGTTACTAACGTAACAACTACAGCGATTTGCTTAACGACTGTGGGAAGAAAGGTCATAAAATGGGGCAAAATTCGCTTAACAAATGTCTCACTTAGCAACATAAATTCTGGGCTCGATTGTGGTTGTAAGTTCGAGGACTACCTGTATTTGCACTCCCTTCCCAGAAAGATGGAGCTGCGCCCTCCATCTTCGGTTCCTGGCTGGGGAATTCTGGGAAATGAAGTCCACACAGCTTAAAGTTGCACAGGTTTTAAAAAAAAAGTATTTTGGTTTAGGAGCTACCAGAACAGTCAGTGAACAGAAGTGACCTTATTTTTTTTAAAAAATAAGTTTTTTTCCATTTTAACATTTCTGCCCTCCCCCTTTCCTCTTTCTCCACCCCCCTCCCCCCATCCCAGTCGGTGGAGAACAGCCCTCTGGGGAACTTTCTGAAAGGCTTCATCGACGTCCCGTCGTGCCACGTGGGTGAGTGTCTTGCGCGGAGGGTCCGTGGCTGGCGGTGAGTAACGGAGCGCTTTGGAGGAGGTTCGGTCGGGCGCCCGAGTCTCTTTCCTCGGCCCTGGAGGTCTCCCTCTGTCCTTTGGGGACCCTGCCTTTATTTTTATTTTATTTTATTATTATTTTATTTTATTTTATTTTATTTATTTTATTATTATTTTATTTTATTTTTATTTTATTTTATTTTATTTTTATTTTTTTATTTTATTTTTTTTTATTATTATTTATTTTATTTTTTTATTTTATTATTTTATTTATTTTATTTTTTTATTCTATTTTTTATTTTATTTTATATTTTATATTTTATTTTATTCTATTTTATTATTTTTTATTTTATTTTACTTTATGTTATTTTTATTTATTTTATTTTATTTTTTATTTTATTCTATTTTATTTTTTATTCTATTTTTTATTTTTATTTTATATTTATTATTTTATTTTATTCTATTTTATTTTATTTTTTTATTTTTTTTATTTTATTTTATTATTTTATGTTTTTATTTTATTATTTTATTTTATTTTATTTTATTTTTATGTTATTATTTTATGTTTTTATTTTATTTTATTTTTTATTACTTTATCTAATTTTATTCTATTTTATTTTTTTATTCTATTTTTTATTTTATTTTATGTTTTATTATTTTATTTTGTTATTTTATTCTTTTATTTTATTTATTTTATTCTTTTATTGTATTTTATTTTATTCTTTTTTTATTTTATTTTATTTTTTATTTTATTTTTTTATTCTACTTTATTTTACTTTTTCATTCTATTTTACTTTATTTTATTTTATTTATTTTACTTGATTTTTTATTTTATTTTACTTTATTTTATTTTTTATTTTATATTTACTTTATTTTTTATTATATTTTATTTTATTTTATTTTTATTTTTTATTATATTTTATTATTTTATTTTACTTTATTTTATTATTTTATTTTATATTTTATTATTTCATTTTATTACCATCTTATTTTACGTTATTTTATTTTATATTATATTTTATTTTCAGATGATCGTTTGCAACGTCCACCCATTCGTTCAGTGACCATTTGAAGTTACAACAGAACTGGAAACAAAGTGACTTTGGACCATTTTTTACAGGTACCCCCCCTTGCAGACCCCCCCCCATGGTCAGATGATAAAAAAAAAAATATTCTCGTTTTGATGCAGCTTTTTACAAACGTTTTGATTGTCTTGAGCTCAATTGTCATCTGGCTTCTCCATGGTCAGAGGGGATGACGTGATCCCCAGGACACTGCAACCGTCATAAGTACATGCCAGTTGCCGAGCATCTGAGCTTTGATCATGTGACCACGGGGTGGCTGCAATGGTCGTAGGTGTGAAAAACAGATATAACTCATTTTTTCCAGTGCCCTTGTTAACTGCAAATGGTCATTAAACAAATAGTTGTATCAGTGGTGAAATCTAAAATTTGTTACTACCGGTTCTGTGGGCGTGGCTTGGTGGTGGGCGGGGCAATGTGATGGTGGGCGTGGCCATTTTTTTTTTTAACCTTTAAAAGCATTTTTTCTACAACCTCTTCGGCGAAAAGGTTGTTAAAAAATGCTTTCAAAAGGCTCTGACGATCCAAGCCGAGTTGCCTGATCGGCAGAGGCTTTTAAAAAAAGCTTGGATCGTCAGAGGCATTTAAAAGAAAAAAAGGGGTTTTTTTTCTTTTAAAAGCCTTTGACGATCCCAGCTGAGCCGCGCGATCATCAAGAGGCTTTTTTTTTACTTTTAAAAGCATTTTTTCAGCCGAAGAGGTTGTAGAAAAAATGCTTTTAAAAGTAAAAAAAAAAAGCCTCTGATGATTGTGCGGCTCAGCTGGGCATTGGGGGTGGGGTGGGGATTTTTGCTACCGGTTCTCCGAACCACCCGCCTCCATCGCTACCGGATCGGGCGATCCGGTCCGAACCGGGAGCATTTCACCCCTGGGTTGTATGTTGAGGATAACCTGTAACCATGAAGGCAATGGTGAAATCCAATTTTTTTTTTTACTACCGGTTCTGTGGGCGTGGCTTGGTGGGCGTGGCAGGGGAAGGATACTGCAAAATCCCCATTCCCTCCCCACTCCTGGTATTTTCCGGTTCTCTGAACTATTCAAAGTTTCCGCTACCGGTTCTCCAGAACCTGCTGGATTTCACCCCTGCATGAAGGTGATCTGCTCCAGCTCTTGCTCAGGGGAAGAGAGATATTTTGGACAGAGGACCACTGAGCTGCTGTTGAAGACCACCAGTGAAGCCATTCCTTCATGCGGCCGCCAGTCGATCCAGTTGTCCTCATCCAATTATTTTGCCCCAAATGGGAGACCAGCAACCCTCCGAGCCCTGCATGCTTCCCCCCCACCCCCGGTCCTGCGTTGGGGGGCCTCTTCCAGTAAAGCCGCCCCCTCTGATGTCCTTGTAGTTATCTCGAAAGACGCCAGGAGCCCCAAACCCTTTGTCTTCACCATCCATTCTCAGCAGATGACCCACCCATCCCAGTCGCTGGACGTCGCCACGGATACTCTGGAGGAGCTGAACGACTGGGTGGCCAAGATCAGAGAGGTCACGCAGAACGCAGACGCTAGGGTGAGTCCTCCTAAGGGGAGGTTTCTGGCTGGAAGATCCGGCCCCTCAAGTTTTGGGGTTGGCTCCACGAGGTGCCCGTTGAAGTTATGGAGTCTCAGGACTTTGGGAAAGTTGGTCCTGGGGTCGGATGCGATGGAATGGGACTCGGGGTGCACTCAAAGGGCTTTTTCTATCTCTGTTGGCCAAACGGAAGAAGACACAATCACAGAAAAACAAAGTTGGAAGGGACCTTGGAGGTCTTCTAGTCCAACCTCCTGCTCAGGCAGGAAACCCTACACAATTCCAGACAAATGGCTGTCCAGTCTCCTCTTAAAATCCTCCAGTGTTGGATCACCCACAACTTCTGGTGGCAAGTTGTTCCACTGGTTAATTGTTCTTGCTGTTAGGAAGTTTCTCCTTAATTCCAGGTTGCTTCTCTCTTTGGTTAGTTTCCATCCATGGCTTCTTGTCCTGCTTTCAGGTTGATTCCACCCCCCTTCTTTGTGCCAGCCCCCCAAATACTGGAAAATGCTATCATATCACCCCCCCTGCTCCTTCTTTTCATTAAACTAGACACACCCAATTCCAGCAACTGTTTTTCATATGTGATAACAGAATAACAAAGTTGGAAGGGACTTCAAGAGGTCTTCTAGTCCAATGCCTTGCTCAAGCAGGAGACCCTATAGAATTTGAGACAAGTGGTTGTCCAGTCTCTTCTTAAAAGCCTCCAGAGATGAAACACCTACAACTTCTAAAGGCAATAATGACTGGTTAATTGTCCTCATTGTTAGGAAGTTTCTCCTTAGTTCTAAATTGCTTCTCTCCTTGGTTAGTTTCCACCCATTGCTTCTTGTCCTGCCCCCTGGTGCTTTGGAGAAGAGCTTGACTCCCTCTTCTTTGGGGGCAGCCCCTCAAATACTGGAACACTGCTATGCTGTCACCCCTAGTCCTTTTCTCTAGACTAGGCATACCCAGTTCCTGCAACCGTTCTTCATATGTTTTAGCCTCCAGTCCCCTCATCCTCTTTCTTGCTCTTCTCTGCACTCTTTCCAGAGTCTCCACATCTTTTTTTGTATCATGGTGAGCAAAAAGGGCGGCCTTACGGAGGCTTTCTATTGTAAAGACCAGCTCCCAATATCTCACCTGGGGCTCTTCCCTCTGCAAGCCTCCAAAACATAATTCGCTCCTGGTCTCGGAGTCTGGCCCACCTCTTTTGAATTTTGCCAAGGCAGCTCTTGCGTCTTTTTATCTTCGGGCCGTGAAGTCACGGTTGGTTTCTTCTCTGGGAAACTTAACGTGGAAGAACCGTGTGTTCAAACGTCTCCTGTGTATGGCGGGGTGGAATAGATGCTCCCCGGGGGTCTCCTGATCAGGGTCTGTCTGTCTCGTGTCCAGATGCAGGAAGGGAAGATCATGGAACGGAGGAAGAAGATTGCCCTGGAGCTCTCAGAACTGGTCGTTTATTGCCGTCCGGTGCCCTTCGATGAGGAGAGTGAGTTGCTTGGACCCTTCGTCCCGACTTCTGCTTCAGAAGAGGCTGACTTGAGGCTTGGGTGGGGGCTCCTTTCTTTCTTTAGCATGTGGCACCTACAGCCATCATCCAATCACTGTTACAGGCTGTCCTCGACTTACGACCACAATTGAGCCCAAAATATCTGTTGCTGCAGCTGCTTATAAAATGGTGCTGAAGTGAATCTGGCTTTCCCATTGTTGACAAGGGTCTGAATTTTGATTACCTGAGCATGGGGGTGCTGCAATGGGCGTAACAGTGAAACATGGTCATAAGTCACATTTTTCAGTGCCGTCGTTAAGTGAACTGTATACAAATTTAGCATCCCCTAAATAAAGCATCAGCAAAGAGAGAGAGTGTGTTCTGCCCCAGCTACGAACCCCAAAGAACGCAGCACACACAAAGTCCGTTCAAACCTTAGTTTACTAAATAAACCAGTTTTTTACAACAACGGCTGTTAATTAACTGCATTAACAGCTGCCAAAACTTCAAAGAACAATAACTGAAAGTTTACTATGGTTGGCAGAATGCCCAGAAGAAATTTGCAGGAAGCTGATAAGATAAGCAAGACAAGACACGAAGGTATGTGAACGAAGTTGTTCCCTGCAAATTGCTTCAGTCGGCATTCCTCCTTAAATAGGCTAAGGGAGTGGCCAATTAGCCCCAAGCCTTACTCTCAAGGAGACCTCCTCCTGAGGAGCCACTCCTGCCTTTTGGCTGCTCTGCGCGCCCGTGCATTGAGAAGAGGCTCCTCCTCTTCGTCCTCTTCACTTAAAGGAGCTTCTGGAGGTTCTGAAGGCCCTGGCTGAATCCCCGCCTCTGGCACCACATCTTCTCCAGCCTCCTCACTGTCCGACTCAAGCGCCAGCTGCACAGGGTGCTGGCACAACATCACACCAGCCTCCTCGCTGTCCGAATCAGCTATTAGCTGCACAGGCCACTGACGGGCCACAACAGCCTGTCCTATGCTATCCTGTTCTCTCCAGAGTTATTTTCAAGTTGGGAGGGGGAGTAGAACGTCTAACAAATTAGCATCAGAGTGTGTTCTAATAATGTAGGAAATACTAATGCTCTGATGGTCATTTCGAAAAATCCTTTCTTGCTGAGCACGTAGAAGCCAAGAGGAACATACTTGGCAAATTTCAAGTTTGTAGGCTTTGCGGTTCTGGAGATTTCGTGAGTAATGCGTGAGTGATTTTCGCTTTTATATATATAGATAGATAGATATAGAGATATAATATATTGAGGTATGTGGACAATACAATGCAGGTAATCTTTAACTTAACTATTTATTTAGTGACTGTTCAAGTTACAACAGCACTGAAAAAATGACTTATGACCATTTTGCACACTTACGACTGCTGCAGCATCTCCATGATCACATGATCAAATTTGGACACTTGACAACCGATTCATATTTATGACAGCTGCAGTGTCCCGGGGGGGGGGGGGGGGGGTTTCACATGATCACCTTTTGCGACCTTCTGACAAACAAAGCTTGAAATGGTCTACGGCAGTGATGGCTTACCTTTTTGCCGTCACGTGCCAAAAGCAGGGGGAGTGGGGGGGGTCACGAGTGCGGGTGCCCACATCCATAATTCAATACGCCCCGCCCTCCTGCGCATGCGCACATGACCCCCCCACACTTCCCCCTGCTTTTGGCACGCGATGGCACGGTGGGCCCGGCAGGCCTATTTTTTGCCCTCCCCAGGCTCCAGAGGCTTTCTAGGAGCCTGGGGAGGGCAAAAACATCCTTCCCCATCCCCCCAGAGGCCTTCTGGACGCCGGAAACAGCCAGTTTCCCGATTTCCAGTGGGACCGGAAGGCCTGAAAATCAGTTGGCCGGGGTGCGCATTCATGCTGGAGCTGAGCTAGGGCAACACTCGCGTGCCCACCAATATGGTTCTGCATGCCACCTGTGGCACCCGTGCCATAGGTTCGCCATCACGGGTCTAGAGTCTCTTGCTTGAGCAGGGGGTTGGACTAGAAGACCTCCAAGGTCCCTTCCAGCTCTCTTCTGATTGATTGATTGATTAAGTTAAGATTTATTTAACAACCATATTACCAATTTAACAACTGCAGTGATTCAGTTAACATCTGTGGAAAGAAAGGTCGTAAAATGGAGCAAAACTCACTTAGCAACTGTCTCGCTTAGCAACAGTTATTTTGGGCCCCATTGTGGTTGTAAGTCGAGGACTTCCCGCATTCCCCCTCCCCACTCTGCAAGGGTGGCGCTGAGCCTCAGAGGACCCGTATCCGTGACAGCTGACTCCTTGACCTGTTTTCCTTTCCAGAGATCGGCACAGAGAAAGCCTGTTACCGGGACATGTCTTCCTTCCCGGAGACCAAGGCGGAGAAATACGCCAACCGCAGCAAGGGGAAAAAATTCCTGCAGTACAACCGGCGACAGCTCAGCCGCGTCTACCCCAAGGGCCAGCGCCTCGACTCCTCCAACTATGACCCCCTGCCCATGTGGATCTGTGGCAGCCAGTTAGTGGCCCTCAACTTCCAGACGCCCGGTAAATTCATTTCAATATTGAATGGATTCGATCGGGGGGGGGGGTGTCCAAATGCGGCCACTTTAAGACTTGTGGACTTCAATTCCCAGAATTCCTCAGCCAAAGCATGCTGGCTGAGGAATTCTGGGAGTCGAAGTCCACAAGACTTAAATTGGCCAGGTTTGGAGGACTACCTGAGAGTATGAAAAAACCCTGTGAAGCCAGAGCAGGAGCCCCAGGGTCCTTGAAGGACATCAGTTCAGTCTTTCCAGGTGGATCGGATAGGAAACACCTGACCAGGTGAGCTGCTTCAACTTTACTGTAAGGCTACATTAACAGAATCTTGCAGGCCTGGGAGCATAAATCTCCCACTGTCTCTTTTTATAGCCTGATAAATTAGGGAGGAACCTTTCTGAGTTTCTTCTTCTACCCATTATACAGCTGCAGGCTATGCCATCTCTTCTCTGACTGTCCCCTAGGCAGCATTCCCCTCCACCCCCCTTTACAGACTGAGAAAGTAGGGAGGGTCCAGTGGTGGGATTCAGCCAGTTCAGGCCAGTTCGGGTGAACCGGTAGTTAAATTGCTGGATGGCCCTGCCCCTTCCTTCCCCCTCCCCTTCCAGGAGTCCCCACGCCCTCCATTTTTACTCCCAGGAAGGTGCAGGGAGGCCTACTAGGGTCAAAACAGGGCATGGGGGGTGTTCCCCCCGTGGCCCATTTTTGCCCCCATGTGGGTTCAGGAAGCCGAGTGCTGCCTGTCACACCCCCTGGCCACACCCACCATGGCCACGCCCACCGAGCCGGTCATTAGGGCAGAGAACCGGTTGTTAAATTATTTGAATCCCACCACTGGGAGGCTCCCTTCGGAGGCTCTTTCTCCAACTGTTATGCAGCTGCAGGCTGTGCTGTCTCTTCTCTGTTCCCTGGATAGCCATTCTTCCCTCCGTCTGCCAAGGCCTTTCCCACACACCGTTATGTTCTCCAAAGGCCCTTCGTCCCCTGCTCTGACCTCACGGGGTCCCCTTCAGCTGTTCTTTCCTCTGAATCCCGGTGGGTCCTTCCTTCCAGACAAACCGATGCAGCTGAACCAGTCGCTCTTCATGCTGGGCGGGCGCAGCGGCTACGTCCTGCAGCCGGACATGATGCGGGACGACGTCTTCGACCCTTTCGACAAGAGCAGCCTGAAGCACGTGGAGCCCATCACCGTCCAGTTGCAGGTCAGTCAGCTGGGATCACGTGGGATGCCCCCCTCCGCCTCTCCCTCCCCCCCGGCTTGGCTACCGCTTTTGCGGGTCCTGCCTTGTCTGCCTAACCCACCCCGTTCTTTCTCCCTCCAGATCTTAGGGGCCCGGCACCTGCCCAAAAATGGCCGCAGCATCGTTTGCCCGTTTGTGGAGGTGGAGGTGTGCGGCTCGGAGTTCGACAACAGCAAAAACAAGACGGATGTCGTAGGTAGGAAATCAGGAAACGACGTTGCGTGTTCCAGGTTTGTCTGAACGCGGCCAACACTTCCAACACCAGGGGACGTGTGTGAACCAATGTTGGAGAGGGAGGTTTACGTTGTCCCTGAACCTTCTCTTTCACGGAGCCGCACCTGACCAGGTGCATCACGTATCACCTGGGACACATCGATCAATGGAGTAAATTCAGAATCGCTGACGGTCCCCCAGGCTGGTGCATTCAAGGGAGTCCCCAAAATAGGAGAGCGGGCCTCCTTCCTCCCAGTTTTCTTCCCATCATGCTGCTGGGTTTGAGGCAAGAAGGTAGAGGAGGGCCCAGCTAGAGCCATTTCTGTAGCTTGGAGGGTCCTTCGGGTTGGGTGGGGCCAAACCTGACATCTGGATGATGATGAGGATTGGGACTAGGATTAGGATAGCCAGTTTGGTCTGGTAGTTAAGGCACTAGGCTAGAAACCAGGAGACCGTGAGTTCAAGTCACACCTTAGGTATGAAAGCCAGCTAGGTGACTTAGGGCCAATCACCAGGAGACTGAGAGTTCTAGTCCCACCATTGACAAGAAAGCCATCAGGGTAACTTTGGGCCAATCACCCGGAGACCAATGAGTTCTAATCCTGCCATAGGCATGAAAGCCTAGTGGATGACTTTAGGCCAATCACCAGGAGACTGGAAGTTCTAGTTCTGCCTTAGGCATGAAAGCCAGCTAGGTGACTTTGGGCCAATCACCAGGAGACGGTGAGTTCTAGTCCCACCTTGACAAGAAAGCCATCAGGGTAACTTTGGGCCAATCACCCGGAGACGGTGAGTTCTAGTCCTACATGAAAGCTGGCTGAGTGACTTTGGGCAAATCCTTCCCTCTCAGCCCAACCCACCTCACAGAGTTGTCGTAGCGGGGAAAATAGGAGGAGGAAGATACATTGGATATACTCTCGCCACCTGGAGTTATTATGAGCCTTGGTGGTGCAGCTGGTGGTGCACTAAGTGCTGTTATTGTAGCGCTTAGCTGCCAGCTGCCTGCAATTAGTGCGAGTTCAAATCTCACCAGGCTCAAGGTTGACTCAGCCTTCCATCCTTCCGAGGTAGGTAAATTGAGGACCCGGATTGTGGGGGCAATAAGATGACACTGCTTATGGGGGGGCCAAAAGCCCTAATAAGTAGGTATATACAAAAGAATGAAGGCTATTGCTATAAGTGCATTGTAAGCCGCCCTGAGTCTTCGGAGAAGGGCGGCATATAAATTGAACTAATAAAATAATAAATAAAATAAATAAAATTTGTCAAAACAACAAAGGTGGGCTATAAAATAAATAAGTACATTTTTAAAAAAAAATTGTTCCAGGTCAGAAAGAGCAGAGTTGAAATTGCCGAAAAGGTGCTTTAAGCATCGGAGCAGCAGATTTTTAGCCTCAAAGGTGCAAAACTGTGCAAAAACTGGCTCATGTTCTACTCACATTTACCATGTGTAAATCTGAAGAACGGTTGCAGGAACTGGGCCTGACTAAGTCTAGTGAAGAGAAGGACCAGGGGAGACAGGAGAGCATCCTTCCAATATTTGAGGGGCTGCCACAGAGAGGAGAAAGGGGGTCAAGCTACTTTCCAAAGGACCAGAAGGCAGCATAGGTGGTACCTGGCTCAATAGTAGTAACTGTGAGACGGATCTTGGAGTCCTAGTGGATTATCACTTAAATATGAGCCAGATGTGTGCTCCTGCAGACAAAAGAAGCCAATGCAATCCTAAATTGCATGAACAGAGGGATACAATCAAGATCAAGGGAGGTACTAATGCCACTCTACAGAGCCTTAGTAAGACCACACCTAGAGTACTGCACCCAGTTTTGGTCATCACACTATGAAAAAGATGTTGAGACTCTAGAAAGAGTGCAGAGAAGAGCAACCAGGATGATGAGGGGACTGGAGGCTAAAACATTCGATGAACGGTTGCAGGAACTGGGCCTGGCTAGTCTAGTGAAGAGAAGGACCAGGGGAGACATGATAGCAGTCTTCCAATATTTGAGGGGCTGCCCCAGAGAGGAGGAAGGGGGTCAAGCTATTCTCCAAAGCCCCTGAAAGCCAGACAAGGAAGAAGGGATGGAAACTGATCAAGGAGAGATTCAACCTGGAAATGAAGGAGAAATTTCCTGACAGTCAGAACCATCAACCCATGGAACGGAAGTTGCCTTTGGAAGTTGTGGGAGCTTCATCACTTGAGACTTTCAAGAGAAGATTGGACTGCCATCTGTCAACAATGGTGTAGGGTCTCCTGCTTTGGGGGGGTGGACTAGATGACCTCCAAGGTCCCTTCCAACTCTGTTATTCTGTATGTAAGTTTGGGCTCTCCAACCCGCGGAGCAACTTCATGTGGATGTTTATTTTTTTTGTCCTTTCCTTTCCTCCCAGCCGACAACGGCCTCACCCCCCTCTGGCTGCTGAAGCAGTTCATCTTCGACATCACCAACCCCCAATTCGCCTTTCTCCGCTTCGTGGTTTACGAGGAAGACATGTTCAGTGACCCCAACTTCTTGGCCCAGGCCACCTTCCCCGTCAAAAGCCTCAAAACAGGTACCGGCTCCGCCCCTCCCATTTCCCCCCCCCCACACCCCCTCGCGAAATTCGCATGCTTCTCCCGGGAAGTAAACGGCGGGTTCCCAGGGGATTGCCAATTGTGATTTTCCCAGCCGCTTTCCGACAAGCGGAGTCGATGCGGGAAACCAGGTTTGTTTAACGACTGCACCATTCGCTTGACAACTGCAGCGCTGCACTTAACGACGTTGACCAAAAAAGGTCATAAAATGGGATAAAAGCTCACTTAACCGCTGCCTCGCTGAGCAGTGAAAATTGTGGGATCAATGCTTGACCGTAAATCGAGGACTACACCTGTATAGGTAGTCCTCGCCTTACAACAGTTTATTTAGTGACCGTTTGAAGTTACGATGTCACTGAAAAAAGTGACTTATGACCAGTTTTCATACTTATGACCGTTTTACCATCCCCGTGGTCACGTGATTTGCATTCTGATGTTTGACAAGTGACTCACATTTATGACGGTTGCCGTATCCCAGGGTCACGTCACACACACACACACACACACACACACACCCTTTTGCGAGTTTCTGATGAGCAAAATCAACGGGGAAGCCAGGTTCACTTAACAACTGTGTGACTCACTTAACAACTGCAGTGATTCACTTAGCGACTGTGGCAAGAACGGTCATACAATGGGGCAAAACTCCCTGAACAAATGTCTCGCTTATCAACAGAAATTTGTGGCAGTCCTCAGTCTATAGGTAGTCTTCGGCTTACGACCAATTGTGGTCGTAAGCTGAGGAGTGCCTGGAGATCATTTGCTTGGCTGTCCAGCTTTTGGACGAGATGGATTTGGGATTTTCTCCTCCACCTTTGTTGTCCACAGGCTACCGGTCGGTGCCACTGAAGAACAGTTACAGCGAGGATCTTGAGCTGGCTTCTCTGCTGCTCCACATTGAAATCATCAACGCCAAGGTGAGTTTTGGGGTCCTTCCAGAAAGAGCATCGGGTGTGGCGGCATATGAGCTGGAGGCCGGACAGGGTTGGGCTGGCAAGTCCTGAAGAAAGAGACCACTGGAAGATTGTAGAACATCTGAAAGCGTTCCATTTCAAGCCTGGCCAAGATTGTAGAACATCTGAAGATTGCCCAAGCCTGGGCAAACCAGGAGACCCAGCAACCTGGAGGTACCTTTCTCTCTTTTGCAGGAAGAAGATGACGAGAACTTGTATTCCTCCATCCAGCAACTCCGGGACCGAGCGAACGAGCTCTCCAACCAGGTTTCGAACCTGGAGCACAGCAACAACTGCGACGCGCGCTACCAGCAGCGGCTGGATGAGCTGAGGTTGGCGCAGGAGCAACTCATGGAGCTAACCGAAGCACGCAACAGGAAGTGAGTGGCCGCCGGAAGTCTTCCTGCTCTCCTAGATGTAAATTTACCAAGAGGGTCTGTCGTAGTTGTGGTGGCTTCTCTGTTGTTCCGCTTTCTGGGAGTGGTGGGGTAAACTTTCCCCAATTAGCAACCCGAGAAGAGGAATCGTACTGGGGATTAATCCACTGTGGGGGCCTCGGTTGTTTTCCTGCAAATGTCTCATTACCCAACTAGGTAACACCATCAGTATTAGAAAGGAATGGGGTTGCAGGGAGGAGGAGGAGATGATGGTGGAGGAGGAGGAGGAGGAAGAGGAGGAGAATGATGAGAATTGTGGGGTCCTTGGTGCTCTCCGAGCTTCATTGTTTTCTTATAAACATCTCATCACCCAACTAGATAATATCATCAGTGTTAGAAGTGGAAGAGGAGAATTCTGGGGTCCTTCGTGCTCTCTGAGCTTAGTTGTTTTCTTGCAGATGTTTCATTACCCAACTATGTTAGGTCATTGGCCACTGATTCTCTCACCCATAGTTCAAATCCATCTCTTACACAGACTCTCTGAAACTAGCTGTGACATCATATCTTCCTTTCCTCACTATAGTTATAGTGAGGAACATATAGTTATATATGTTAATTATAGTTGACAACTATAGTTATAGGGAGCTATCTGTCAGCACTTCAACCTGCATTAACTCTAGTGCTGACATAAGAAGGAGAAGAGGGGGCAACTGGCAAGAGGACGCTTGACTTCTCACCTACTTATTTTCCCTGGAGATGATGTTTCCGAGGAGATGAGATGGGAGGGAGGACATTCCTGGGAGCTGAAGTGGGAGATATGGGGAGAGTGATTTGGGAAGAGGGCTAATGAGACGCAGAGAATTGGGGAATGGAAAGGGAAGGTTTTAGGGTCAGGAAGTCAGTGTTGGCTATGCCACGATCGGGGACAGGTTGTCGTGCTTAATAAAATGAAAGATTTCTTCAAAGACTATTTGTTTGGAAATGCAATTTATTTTAATTGAGATGACATCGAAACCTGACACTATCAACACTTCTTTACCAACCTTTGGTCCATGGCTTTCTACGTTTTGAACCCAGCTCAGTTGTCTTGCAAAAGCCAAGCCCGGTGCGAGGCCTAGACCCAACTCTAATATGCCAGGCCCCACTCCCCTAAGTCCTCAACCAAGGGCCTCTCACAAGGGCCCAGTGGTCATGAGAGAACATGGATTGCATCCAGGTGCTCCACATTTCCTTTCTACTGGGATTCTTGATGATGTCACCTAGATGGGTCATGAAACGTCTGCAAGAAAACAACTCGGCTCAGAGAGCACCCTGGAACCCACAGTCGTTGTCGTCGTCCTCCCCCTCCCGGTCTCCCTCCTCCCCTTCCTCCCCCTCCTCTATTCCACAAAACCAATTCCATTCCACTACTCTTATCTAGTTGGGTTGTGAAAGATGTACAGGAAAACAACCAAGCTCAGAGAACACTCTGGAACCCACAGTCTTCCTCTTCCTCCTCCTCCTTTCCACAAACCCCTCTCCCTTCTACTACTGATGATGTCATCTAGTTGGGTCATGAAACGTCTGCAAGAAAACAACCCAGCTCAGAGGCACTCAGGACCCCCCAGTCCTCCTCCTCCTCTTCTCCTCCACTCCATAAACCCCTTTTCCACACAGAGGATGCTACCTAATTGGGTAATAAAATTTCTGCAAGAAAACAACCAAATTCAGAGAGCATCAAGGAGGGAGGGAGGGAGGGAAAGAAAGGACATCACTGAAGAGGTTACCTAGTTGGGTCACGAAACGCCTGCAAGAAAGTCACCAATCTCAGAGAGCACCAAAGACTCTCCAGTCCAACCCTGAGCTGCAAATAGTCTCTTCCATTGACTAGTCCAGTGTTTCTCAACCTTGGTAGCTTGAAGATGGGTGGACTTCAACTCCCAGAATCCCCCAGCCAGCGCTCAAATCACAACTTTTTGCTTTTCCATAATAATATGAACAAGCCATTTCTATAGAGATCTATCAAGTGAAAAGTAAAGGTTCCCCTCGCACATACGTGTTCTGCCCCAGCTACGGACCCCAAAGAACACAGCACACACAAAGTCTGTACAAAACTTAAATTTACTAAAATAACTCAGTCTTTTCCAAATAAAGGCTGTTAATAAACTTTCTTAACAGCCTACAAAAAACCAAAGATAAAGTAATCACCATCTTACTAAAGTTGGCAGAAAGCCCAGAAGCAATTTGCAGAGAATCCAGACGTGAAGGAGAATGAACTAAAGTTGTTCCCTACAAATTGCTTCAGTCGGCGTTCCTCCTTAAATAGGCTAAGGGAGTGGCCAATTAGCCCCAAGCCTTACTCTCGAGGAGACCTCCTCCTGAGGAGCCACTCCTGCCTTTTGGCAGCTCTGCGCGCCCGTGAATCGAGAAGAGGCTCCTCCTCTTCGTCCTCTTCACTTAAAGGAGCTTCTGGAGGTTCTGAAGTTCCTGGCTGAATCCCCGCCTCTGGCACCAAATCATCTCCAGCCTCCTCATTGTCCGACTCGAGTGCCAGCTGCACAGGCTGCTGATGCAGCACCACACCTGCCGCCTCGCTGTCAGAATCAGCTACAATCCGCACAGGCCGCTGATGGGCCACAACAATACATGCTAGTCGTTCCCGACTCTAGGGGGTGGTGCTCATCTCTGTTTCAAAGCCGAAGAGCCAGCGCTGTCCAAAGACGTCTCCGTGGTCATGTGGCTGGCATAACTCAATGCCAAAGGCGCATGGAACGCTGTTCCCTTCCCACCAAAGGGGGTCCCTATTTTTCTCCTTGCATTTTTTACAGGCTTTTGAACTGCTAGGTTGGCAGAAGCTGGGACAAGTCACGGGAGCTCACCCCTTTACGCGGCACTAGAGATTCGAACCGCTGAACTGCCGACTTTTCTGATCGACAAGCTCAGCGTCTTAGCCACCGAGCCATCAATCAAATCGTTAAAACCCCAAATCGAAGTTTCATTCTTTTCCACTTCAAGCACGAAGTTCAGAAGCGGTCTCCAAGTGGAAACAAAAGTACTTACGTTCTCTTTTTTTTCCAACGCAGGTTGATGGAGAAGAAGAAGCGAGACCGGCAAATGGCCAACAAGCGTAACTGATCGGCACCGGACTTCCCTGGTCTGCCGCTGTGTCTCTTCTTCAGCCTTCCAAGAGACATCCTTCAGGCCCTTCACCGAATCCTGCCGGCTTCCCGGGCCGCGGGGACAAGGCCCCCTCGGCTGGAATTCTCTTTGGGCATAGAAAGCAGGAATCCTGGCCTACTATTTTCTCATGAAACCGGCCGGCTCAACCCTTCCTGCCTTGGAAGAATGCCGTTCTCACCGTCATTCTCTTCTTTGACACATTTCATCAGGGCTCTGTCTTAATCCACTTTTTTTGTGGGGGGTCCCCTTTCCTGGTGGATCGGGAAAGAGGAGCCTTTATGATGTTTTTTTTAATTATTATTAATTATTATTCTTTTTTTTTTGGCTTTGGTGCAACTAAGGCAGTTAGCAAAGTGCCTCTAATCTAACTTTCCCCAGAGAATGTGGGTTTTGCACAGGAGAAACTCGGTGGGGCCAGATGAGAAGGGGAAGAGATTGGGGGGAGGGGGGGCAGCAGAGGGATATGAGGGAGTCTCAGAGGATTGGCCTGCCGGATCCTAAAGGATCCCTGCCACATTCAGCTCTTGAGGATCAAGTCTTGGACGCGAGCGAGAGAGGCTGAGAGCAATTTCCCAGTGGCGTTGTGTTCTGCTTTGCAAGCCTGCCTTCCCATCCTAAATTCCAAATTGTGCCAGAGGCAAAGCCCCACACACCTCTCTCCGCAGACCATCGTGGTGCCCAGTGGGCAGCCTTGGGTATATTTATTTATTTATTGTGGAGTATGGAAGAAAAAAAATCTCCCCTTCCCCACCAATAACCGTCCCGGAAGTCTGTGGAGGCCGATTCGGAGAAATGTCACTTGCAGAAAGAAATATTTTCATTTTTGCTATTCCTTGTGGCCTCCTTTCCCTTGGAGACGCCCTTTCTTCTTCCTTGACGGTCACGTCGGGGACAATCTAAGGCAGGCAGGCGTTATTTGGAAACCAAGTCAGGGAAAGACAAAGCCGCCGCAGAGACGTGGCACCTGAAGAGCAAAGCACGATCCGGGCGCAAAAGATAGTCCATCGTCCTTTCCCCAAAGCGGCCTCTCCAGATTCCTCTTCGGGATCCCCCCAAAAAGGCGCTTGTCTTTCGGCTGAACTGCTTCCAGCCTTCGGCTCTTCTTTAAAAGGCATAATCTTTATTTTTCTCTTGCTGCGATCTGCATTTGGTCTTAACGCTGGCTGTTGAAGGGAGGGGGGGGGGGGTGGGGGGGCAGGTCGGGGGTCCCAGGCAATTCAGATGGAAAGAGAGAGAGAGATGGGGAGAAAGGTTCTTGTCATGTTTTTGCCTGTCCTCAACCTGGCCTGGAGCGATGGGTTGAGGATGTGCCTCAATTATAGTAGTGGGGATGGTTAGAAGGTGATTGGTTGGGAGGGGAAAAAAAAACCCTGTGCTTTTGTGGAAGGAATACTTGGATTAAAAGATCACGCGTGATCAGCTTTCCAACAAGCCCAACTAAAACAGCAGTTCCAATTGAGACTTAAAAGGGGCGTATAATTTAGCCGGAGGGGTCCTGGGTGCTCTCTGAGCTTAGATGTTTCCTTGCAGACGTTTCCTTACCAAACTAGGTAACATCATCAGTGCTAGGAAGGAGTGAGGATTGCTCTCATTTTATATACCTATAACAGGGCAAGCCTCTTGTATTTAAACAGAGAGCAAACCACCTAAGGAATTCACAGTCCTCTTCCTCCTCCTCTCCACAAACCCCACTCCCTTCTAGCACTGATGATGTTATCTACTTGGGTCATGAAATGTCTGAGAAAACAACCAAACTCAGAGGACCAAGGACCCCTCATTTCAACCCTGAGCTACAAAGATTGTCACTAATTTAGTCTCTTTTAAGAATGTTCTGCATGCAAGATAACTTTTTGTGGGTGTACTAAGGCAAGAGTGTCCAACCTTGACAATTTTTAAGACTTGTGGATTTCAACACCCAGATTAGCCAGCATGATTGGCTAGGGAATTGAAGTCGGGAGTTGAAGTCCACAGGTTTCAAAGTTGCCAAGGGTTGGATATCCCGGCTCTAAGGACAGTTGGTAAGTGTCACAGGGAAAGGATAGGAGTGGTGCAGTAGCCTAGAGGTGGAGTTCTCACCTCACAATCAGGAGGCTGTGAGTTCGATCCTAGGTAGAGGCCGATATTTCTCTCTCTGGACACAATGAGAATTTATCAGCTGAACAAAACTCTGCACTGGCAACAAGAAGGGCATCTGGCCAGTAAACATTCCGCTAGCTCCATTCAGTTGCCCAGATTCCACCCCGCAAGGGATTATGGGGTCGTTAAAAGATGATAATGAAAGATGATGACAGAGAAAGGATAAAGAAGATGCCCAGATAATTTCAAGAAGCCTTTTTTGACCGAATTTGGGATGTATTTGGTTAAACTCGCCTCGCGAAGGGACCGTCGCTACAGGGACATCTCCTTGGAGAATTGCACTAAAGGGTGAAGTGGGTTTTAGAGCAGGAAATAACCTTGAAACAGGAGCGTTTACATATCTTAGAGGACTATGCAACGAAAGGAGAATTCATGACAATAACAGACTCAAAAGACAGGAGTCCAATCTGCCACCTGTTCCTCAAAAGCTGCCAGGCAAACCACAAAGGAGGAATAGTTCTCACCAGGTAGTTCATCCAACATAACAAGCCAGCTGAGAGTAGTAGTTAGCACTTAAAAAAAAAAGAATTATTATTCCACAGCAAGAATACCGAAAATCTGTAATAGAAGTGTCAGAAACGGGGAAAAAAATGCAACTTGCAAAGGAAGTCCCATCTCCAACTGAGTGTGTTTCTGGTGAATTTCAGATGGAGGTGCTAGGAAAGTCAGAACAGGGTTCAAAACCCTATTAGAGAACCTGGCACAATTCAGGATTTAAAGTGCAAGGAAATAGAGCAAATATTTGCTGGGCCACTTTGCAGGAAAGTTGACCTGTTTGCTTAGGAGAGGGTGGCACTTAAAATTCTCAAAAGTTTGAGAACTTTCCTGCAAAGTTTGGTTCTTGCAAAGCTGTCAGATTTTTTGTGTGTGTGTGTTATCCTTGTCCTTCCCTCTTTGTCCTCACTACTAACCTTGGATGGAGAGGAAGCAGCTGGTTGCACACCTGTTAGTAGAGAACCGGTGCCATTTAAGCGAGCTCCTTAGGAAGGTCACACCTTGAGTCTCTGCTTTTAAAATGCAGTCAACCGTGGATTAAAAAAAAAAAAAATTAGCTGGGTTGAAAACGAGATATAAATCAATTGCCCGTTCTGGTGACTTTTGCAAGAATGGCGAGTTCAAATTATGACTTTCAGTTGGGGGGGGTGTCCCCTTGTGCTTCGTTTCAATGAGTGAAGCATAAGGGATTAATTAATAAGTGAATAATTAACCAGTGGAACAGAAGAAATCGTGGATGCCTCCATCACTGGAGGTTTTTAAGAAGAGACTGGACGGTCACTTGTCTGAGATGGTATAAGTTCTCCTGCTTGAGCAGGGGGCTGGACTAGAAGACCGCCAAGGTCCCTTCTAGCTCCTATTCTAAAGGGAGGGAGCCCCAGGGAAGCCTCAAGCAAAGAAGGAAGCGTGAGAAGGAAGCAAATTTGCAACCTGAATGGACATCAGTTGAGCAACTCAACAAGACAAACGCAGCAATTCCTGGGTGGGTGGGAGTCCTTGCCAGTAGCCCAGTTCAAACTGCCCCCCCAACCCCTTTTTTCTTCCAGCAGAGGAACCCCTAAGAAGCACAAGAGAGTTGGCACACCAGCACTGTTGCAAAATCATGCCCCCCCTTTTTTTTTTGGTGCCACTCTGGGGAGGGATTCTGTTTCTTTCTATGAACAAATAAATCTATTTAGCCAGTATTTATAACAAGAAGTTGTCCGTGTGAATTTCTGTTAATTTTCTCCATAGGAAGGATTTCTCGCCTCTCAGCCTCCTGTTGCCACGGACTGGCCTTATGTACTGCTATGGGTAGTCCTTGATTTACAACCTTCCATTTAGTGACCGTTTGAAGTTTCCGTGGGGCTGAAAAAAAGCGACTTAAGACCATTTTTCACACTTACGACCGTTGCCGCATTCCCAGGATCACGTGATCAAAATTTGGACACTTGGTAACTGGCTCATATTTATGACGGTTGTGGTGTTCCGGGGGTCACGCGATTACCCCTTTTGTGACCCTTTGATGAGCCAAGTCGGTGGGGAAGCCAGATTCACTTAACAACCGTGTTACTAATTTACCAACTGCAGTGTTCATTTAATGACTGCGACAAAGGTCGTAAAATGCAGCAAGACTCACTTAACAAATGTCTCATTTAGCAAAGGAAATTTGGGGCTCAATTGTGGTCGTAAGTCAAGGACTACCTGTAATTGTAAGCTGCATGATTGATTAAAGATCATCTCTTGATTGCCAATAAAGGGGAAGGGCTACTGACTAATGCAGCCTAATGGAAAATGTCAAATAGTAAAAACCCAGCTGTCTATCATATCCTCATCACTTCCCACATCAACAGTCAAGGAGAAAAACAGCCAGCAGTGCCAAAGGCATGGAATTAGGAACTCTCTTCCCTCTTTAATTCCATTCAGCAGCCAAAAAAAAAAAGCCAATACAATCCTTGGTTATATAAACAGAGGCGTAGAATCCAAATCACGTGAAGTATTAGTACTGCTTTATAAAGCCTTAGTAAGGCTACACCTGGAGTACAGCATCCAGTTTTGGTCACCATGTTACAAAAAAGCCGTTGAGAGTTTGGAAAGAGTTCAGGGGAGAGCAACAAAGATGATTAAAGGCCTGGAGAGTAAAACATGAAAAACAGTTGCAGAAATTGGGTATGTCTAGTATGATAGCAGTCTTCCAGTATATGAGAGGCTGCTACAAAGAGGAGGGGGTCTATTTTCCAAAGAACCAGAAGGCAAGACAAGAAGAAATGGATGGAAACTAATCAAGGAGAGAAGCAACCTGGAATTAAGAAGAAACTTCCTAACAGTGAGAACAATTAACCAGTGGAACAACTTGCCACCAGAAGTCCTGGGTGCTTCATCACTGGAGATTTTTAAGAAAAGATTGGGCAGCCACTTGTATGAAATGGTAGGGTCTCCTGCTTGAGCAGGAAGTTGGACTAGAAGACTTCCAAGGTCCCTTCCAGGCCTGTTCTGATTGAATAGTATTCAGACCTTGATTTTTAGGAAAATAACAGGCAAACACACAAGTCAAGTTAAAAATAAGGCTCTATTGGAAGACATTTTTTAAGAGACATTACATATACAAAAAGTTCTTTTTTTCCCCCTGAGATGAAAGCAAAGAAGGGCTACAGATTGAAAAGATAGAGAGAATACAATTCAGCATGTGGTTTTTCTTTGAAAGGGCAAAAAGCATTGAATATTCCAGGGGCATCCAACCTTGGCAACTTTAAGACTTTTGGACTTCAATTCCCAGAATTCCCCAGCCAGCCATTCTGGGAAGTTGGAAGTCCCCAAGTCTTAAAAATTGCCAAATTTGGATGCTCCTGGATCAAACCAACATAACTTACAAAAACTACACATTTACAATATTTTTAAAAAATTATTCTAAGCAAACAAACCGAATCTGGCCCACAACCAAAATAAAATCAAGGTAGCTGCAGCATAAATGCCACCTCTTTATTGCAGTAATTAACTTGCCAGTGTGCCGAGATCTGTTTAGCGAGACGGATCTCCGACATCTATACCAAGTATTACTATCAAGTATTATTTTCTCCCCCAAGAGGCAGCCTTGTTTTGAAAAGTGCCGTAATTGGAAGTGCTGATCTGAAGCTGAAGTGCGAGAAATTTCAGCGACAACGTATTGTATTACAGTATCTTATCAGAGAGGAAAGAAAAGTGCATCCAGCTAAAGAGCTAAAATTTATACACCTGGCCATGTAGATAAGGCACTTTTTCCCCTGCTCCTTGCAAGCTTTATTTCATAGTATTTACGAGGACAGAAAGTAAGAAAGCTATTTTGTTTGGGGGTGGATGGGAAATGAGGATCAGTCAGGGGAATGAGTGTGCAAATCACACATAACTGAGCAAGACAGCCTTACAAGTGTTCAGTTGAAGGATTTTCGTAGCTGATGCTTCAAGAAGAACTTTTCATAACCTTGGCACTTAGAGATGGAAATTAGAATTAGATGAGCTGATAAAAGAGAACAGCTTACAGGAAAAAATATATAGGACTTAACGGTAGGAAAAGTCATTTATATATCTTGGAATTTTCATAGGCAAATCCAGGGATGTATTTGTTTGCATCAGAAAATAGAAATTAGCTAAGGAGCCCAAGGCTCACTAGATATTTTTCTGAATGTGCTGCTGGGGCACTTTGTGAGATTTAAATTATTAAAATAATAATTCATTTAAATTAATTAAACCTGAGGCCCAATTTAAGCTGAACCTCAAAGTTGCTGCCCTCTTTTCTTTGGATGGGAGCTGATTGTACACAGTACGGCCGCATCAAAAATGGAAAAACTAAAACAATAAACGGGAGGTTGATTGGGGTAATATCCCAATCAACCATATCCCATCTCCCATATCCCTCGGACCGCTGAAGGTGCAACCTGAGGCGCCATCATGGAACTTCAGCCTGGAGCCCCTAATCTTTAAAAATGTCATTTTTTAAAGGGTGGGCGCCATAATGGGTGCCCTGGGACCATTAAAAATGGCCATGTGCAAAGAGTCACAGACATTTTGGTCACTTAGCATTCCTAGACAAAGTCAGGGCAGAGTTTGTGAGCATTCCTTGTCCACAAATGCCCATTAGTCGGTTCAGGAAGAGGAATTCTCACCGGATTCTGTGGAATCGGATCAGGCCGGAAATGGGGCTGGGAGTTTCCTGCTTCCAGGATTACAGCCCACGCAGTCTTCCTCCCCCCCCACCCCCAATCTGACCTTCAGCTTCTGTGTTGCTAGCTGTGGTCCATGGAAGGGGCAGGGCACATCAGTCCGAAGTTTACAAGCCACAGCTCAGTGGAGTGAGAAGTGAGGTATGTCGATCACACTCTTCTACCAACCATGTTCCTACCCTGCGGATCGATGCGGGGTTGGGGGAGTCTCGACCGCAGGGGCTTCTGGCTGGCAGGACTGCCTTCTAGTCCCTGAGAAGGAGCACTGTGAGCAGCAGAGCAGGAGAGAAGAGCTGCAGGAAAGGCCTGGAGGTTCGTTCTTCTGGGGACACGAAGCCGGGGGCCTCCGGCGTGGGCGTCATTTGTAAAGGGCCATCTTCTTGCTCTGGTACATGTACATGTAGGCGTCGCAAAAGAGGCGCTTGGCGACTCCTTCCATGTCCCGGGGCTGCTCCATGGCCAAGGAGGACACGGGCATCTCCAGGTATTTGGCAACCTCCGGGCACAGAGTCACCGTGGGGATGTTGTAGCCGTTCTCGTCACCTGAGTGGAGGAGGGAGAGAGAGACGGTGTCAGCACTTCAAGCTGCATTTACTCTAGTGCTGACATAAGAAGAAGTGGAGGCATCTGGAAAGGGACATTTGACTTTTCACCTACTTATTTTCCCTGGAGATAATATCCCCTAGGAGATGGGATGGGAAGAGGGAAATTCCTTTGAGCTGGAGCAGTAGATTAGGGGGTAGAGTGACTTGGAAGATGGCCAATGAGTGCAGGGGAATGGGGAACGGAAAGGGAGGGTTTTGGGTCTGGAAGTCAGTGTTGGCTTCGATGAGTCGGAGGGAGAATGTTGTGCTTAATAAATGGGAAGTTTTCTTCAAAGACTTTGTTTGAAATGCAATTTATTTGAGACGACCTCGAAACCTGACAGACGGATTGGAGGGTCAGACGTTTTGGCTTGCCTGGGAAAGAGGGGGATCACTTTCCAGAGATCCCCACAAAGCCCTCAGGCACCCCAGTGTTTGGAGCTGAACATCTGCTCCCCCAAGCCCCCCAAGGAAGCAGAAGGAACATTTGGTTTAGTGGTGAATGCACCAGGCTACAAGCAGCAGTCAGGGAATTCTAGTCCTATTTTAGGCATATAAGCCGCCTGGGTGACTGTGGCCCAGTCACTGGGAGACAGAAAATTCTAGCCCTGTCAGGCATGAAAGCCAACTGGATGATTTTGGGCCAATCACAGGGAGATGATGAATTCTAGATCCACCTTAAGCATCAAAGTTGGCCAGTGACTTTGGGCCAATTACCAGAAGACAGTGAGTTCTAACTTCCATCTCAGGCATGAAAGCCAGCTGGGTGACTTGGGTGAATCACCAGGAGACTGAGAGTTCTAGTCCCGTTTTAGGCATGAAAGCCAGCTGGGTGACTTTGAGCCAATCACTGGGAGGCCGTGAGTTCTAGTCCTGCCTTGGACATGGAAGCCAACTGGCTGACTTTGTACCAATCACTGGGAGATGGTGAGTTCTAATCCCGCCTTAGAGATGAAAGCTGGTTGGGTGATTCTCTCAGCCCAACCCACCTCATAGGATTGTTGCTACGGGGAAAATTGGTGGGGAAAAAATATTAAATATGTTTGCTGTTTTGCATTACTTACAAATAAAGGCAGGGAATGAACGAACGAACGAACGAACGAATGAATGGCTCACCGTGTCGGTCTGCCATGCTGTCAAAGAACATCCAGTTCTCTTCCTCCGGCCCGTATTTCACGAAGGAAACGTAATGGCTGGTCTCAATGCAGAGAACGGCAAAGAGCTCCAGTTTCTCCCGGGGCACCCGCGCCCTGTCCCGAGCGAATTCCTTGGGGACGCGCAGTTTGGTCATCTGATGGCCTCTTCGCTGATAATGGGAGTGAGCCTGAAAGTGAGCGAGGGGGAACTGGTGAGGTTTCTCAGGCAGGAGACCTTGATATTAGGAACACAGGATTTACTTAACACACACACACAGAGCTTCCCTTGAACAAAACACTCTGGTTGCTTGTGAGATGGAGGTGGAGAATGAAATCTCTGAGACACCTAAAAAAAGGAAGGTTTGTAAAGAGGGGAGGACCGTAACACCCATATGCATTGGATAAAGTCTTCATACCAATTTTCAGGAAATTTATGGTGATGGCTGGAATGAAATAAAATGAGCCTATTTGCCTTCGACTAATTGAATAATTAACTGGACACCACTTTAAAAGAAGAGTGGAAAACAAAACAATTTTGCTGGAGGTGAAGGAGGAAAGAGGTGAATTAGTTAAAGGAAAAGAGAGCAATAGCATGTATTGGTAATATGCAGGTCATCCTTGACTTACAACCACAACTGAGCCCGAATTTATGTCGCTAAGTGAGACATTTGTTAATTGAGTTTTGCCCCATTTTACAACTTTTCTTGCCATATTTGTTAAGTGAATCACTGCAGTTGTTAACAACTTCCCCATTGACTTTGCTCGTCAGAAGAGCGCAAAAGGGGGTCATGTGACCCCGGGACACTGCGACCGTCATAAATGTGAACCAGTTGTCAAGCATCCACATGTAAATCACATGACCCTGGGGATGCTGCAATGGCCATAAATGTGAATAATGGTCGTAAGTCACTTTTTTCAACTTCGAATGGTCACTCAATGAACTGTTGTAAGTCGAGGACTGCCTGTATATTAAATGTACATATTAAAAGAAAGCTCTTGGGATAGTGGAAACTATCATTTGATCTGATATCATTTGATCTGGGCCTGAATAAACTGAAGCTGAAATGCAATTGATTTATCTTAACAAGACAGCCCTCCAACATCTGTCTTCAAATCAACCACAGAATAATTGCAAGAAAGAAAGATAAAGCTTCCTGAATGGCCTTCACAGTTCCCACACTTGAATGGTATTGAGAATTGTATTTGCACAAAACTGGAAAGCAGATAAAATTCCGTTGGAAGGAGAAATTATAAAGAAAATTTTAGAATGTGCAAAAATGAATAGATTAACACTGAGAATAAAAGATAAAGAGGAGTCGATGTATTTCAAGACACGGGATAAATTTTATGATTGGTTATAAAAGAAACATGAATAAGGACACAGAGATAAAATAGATAGAGAATAGATGGGAGAAAACAATTAGAAAAATAGATACCCAGATGATGTCAAGTGAAAGGAGAAAGGGGAGGGGGAGGGGTAAAAGGGAAAAAAGTGAGATATTATAAAAATGTACGCAAATGATGAAATAAAAATAAATAATAATTGAATTAAGAAATTGAAATGAGAATTAAGATGATTAGGAAATCGGGGCTGCTCGAATACCACTTTAGATTGAACTGAAAAGGGAAACAACAGGAGAGAGGGGAAGGGAGAAGAGAGGAGAGAAGAGGAAAGGAGAAACAAGAAAGGGAAAAGGAAAGGAAGAAGAGGGAGGGGAAAGAGGAGTAGCGGAGAAGGTTAGAAGGGGGAAGAAGAGATGAGTGGGGGAAGGGAAGGGGAAGTAGGAAAGAGAAGGAGAGGAGGAACGAAGGAGGAGAAAGAGGAAGGAAGAGAAGAGGAGAAGAAGAAAGGTTGGAGTAAAGATAAAGGGTAAAAGAGCAGCCCTAAAAAAGTAAAAATGAAAAATGAAAGTTAAAAGAAAAGATGAATAAAAAATGATGGAAATGACTGTACATGTAAATGTGTTTCTGAAAAATAAAAATAAAAACTTTATAAAAAGAAAAAGCAAAAAAAACCACACACCTGACTGCAACACGAGTCACAAAACTGCTTCAGCCCCGTGCCAGCGAACATCTTGTCTCTGAAGCACGCCGAGCACTCCAGAGTGGCGATATCTCCGCAGACAAAACACTCCCGGGGACCTGAAGTGTGAATGCAACCATCAGCCCCTGCAACTTTCATCCGTTCCCTACAATTCACAGGAGACCAGACAGACCCCAGGAACCCGGAGGCCTCTTGGCTGCCCCGGTCAGAAGCAAAGCATCTCCCTGATCCAAAGCCTAAATCCTACAGAAAGGGAAACCTCAGAAAATTTCCTTTCAGACCAGAGGCCTGCCCTCATTGTGGCAACCATTCTAATGATACAGGGTATTTTTTTTTTATTAGTTTATAATATAAAATACAACAATACCAAAGAAAATAGTAGGGGAGGGAAGAGAAAGTGTAGGAAAAGGAAAGGAAAAGGAAAGGAAAAGGAAAGGAAAAAAGTACAAAAATGGAAAGATACTTTGATTCCCAAAATGGATGAATGGCTGCAAAAGTTGATGGAGTTAGCAGAGATGACTAAATTGACTGCTTTGATTAAAGAAAAAAAACCCACACAATTACTTTTGTTTCTTCTTGGAAACCGCTTCTGGACTTTGTGCTCGAGGTGGAAAAAAATGAAACTTTGATTTTGGGTTTTACTGATTAGATAGGTTTTTTGTTATAGAAATGGCTAGTTTATATTATTATGTAAAAGTAAAAAGGATTGGTACTTTTATCTCTCTGTCTCATCTATCAATCTCTATCTATCTATCTATCTATCTATCTATCTATCTATCTATCTATCTATCTATCTATCTATATTTATCGATCTATCTATCTATCGAAGATAATTTAAATAGCTGCCTACTCACTAACAGTGACTCTAGGTGGCTTACGGATAATAAAAACACAATGAAAGAAAATAAAAATAATAAAAAGTAAAAATAATAAAAATACCCTCCCACACACACCCAATTATTTTATTTTACTGCACCAAAGGGAGTTCAGAAGTCAACACAACAGTTCTAATGATGATTTCCTGTTACCTGACACTGTGCATGTTTCATGACCCATGGATACCGGACAGTTCTGACCCGATTCCAAAGTTCCACCCCTTCCCTCTTCAGTCGTGTGACTGGATTTCAGGGGCTCAGCAACTGCCCAGCTTGCAGCTGGGGCCTTACTCCTTGTGGCTATACACATCAGTGGTGGGTTTCAAAATTCAAAACGGGGAGATGGTTTATTGAGCATTTTATGCCCTTCTCCCCCCCCATCCCCCATCCCAGAGGACTTACTGTCCAGCAGCAGATCAGTGATATCCAGCTCCAAGGAAGGGATGATTTTGCTGAACATTTTGTACTCCTTCCCAAAACGAGGCATTTGGAGAATAAAGCAGGACGGGATCTGGAGGGGAGAAACGCAGATGGGAATGGAGCCGTCTGGAGATCAGCAGCCCCCACAGAGGGTGGAGGGCCCGTGGGCACCAGTTCAGCTTCTGCCAAGTTCACCCCCAGCATGTGGCCCTGCTCTTTCCCACAGGCCACCCAGGTAGATCTGTCTCTTCTTAGCTCTGCCTACAAAGCTCTTTCTTTCTTTCTTTCTCTTTCTTTCTTTCTCTTTCTTTCTTTCTTTCTTTCTTTCTTCCTTCCTTCCTTCCTTCCTTCCTCTCTCCCTCCCTCCTTCCCTTCCTTCCCTCCCTCCCTTTCTTTTGCTTCCTTCCTTCCTTCCCTCCCTTCCTCCTTTCTCTTTCTTTCTTTCTTTCTTTCTTTCTTCTTTCTTTTTTTTCTTTCTCTTTCTTTCTCTTTCTTTCTTCCTTTCTTTCTCTTTCTTTCCTTTCTCTTTCTTCCTTCCTCTCTCCCTCCTTCCCTTCCTTCCTTCCCCTTCCTTCCCTCCCTTTCTTTTCTCTTTCTTCCTTCCTCTCTCCCTCTCTCTCCCTCCTTCCCTTCCTTCCTTCCCTCCCTTTCTCTTTCTCTTACTTCCTTCCTTCCCTTCCTTTCTCTTTTCTTTCTTTCTTTCTTTTTTCTTTCTTTCTCTCTCTCTCTCTTTCTTCCCTCTTTCTCCCCCCCTCCCCCCCTCTCTCCGTCTCTCTCTCTCTCTCTCTTAAATTTCTAGGCCATCCATGTCACCACCAGGAAATCCTGGGAAGCTTACAAGAAGATAAAAAGGACAATATAAAGCATTAAAACAGTACATATTAATATTGAGATTAACAAAGAGGGTTAAAGAGGGAAGCAATAGGCAACGAAGTGGGGATGGAATCGTCTCTTAATCCGCTAAACAACTCCAGGATGAAGTGCCCCCCCCATCAGGATTCCAGGCCAATCAGCAGAGCCAGGGGCCTTAAAAGCCTCTTAGGAGGGTTGGGGCCAACCTCACATTGGGGGCAAGATGTTCCAGAGGGCAGGAGCCACAGCGGAGAAGGCCCTGCTTCTGGACCCCTGCTCCTGTGACTCCTGGAGCCACAGCATGCTGCCTCTGCTGGCACGGGTGATACACGTCAATCCCAGTGGGGTGAGACGGTCCGTCAGGTAACCTGCATCCCTGCCATGAGGGGCTTCACCTTGAATTGCACCTGGAAGCAGACTGGTAACCAATGCACCTCGCAGAGCAGTGGTGTCCCAGGGGCCATTCTTGGGGGCTCCAAAACTACCTGCGCTGCTGCAGTCTGCACCAGTTGTAGCTTCCGAATGCTCTTCAAGGGTAGCCCCATGCGGAGTGCATTACGGTAGTCCAGTTGTGAGATGACCAGGGACTGAACGACTGAGCGCAGGGAATCCTGGTCCAGTTTTTGCTCATTGGCCGTGACTTGTGTCAAAGTTTCCAGAGAGAAGGTTCTTCTAGGCCTGGCCCGGAATCTGAGACCTTGGCCAGACCAAGCCCAGGCCCAGGCCCCCCTCTTGAGGCCACTCCTCAAGGCAGTTTCTTAACTGTGCCTGGGGAATTCTGGGAATTAAAGTCCACCCATCCTCACCGCCCTGAGTCCTGCTGGAGAAGGGCGGTATAAAAATCAAATAAATAAATAATAAGAGGCCGAAGTTGAAAACACTGCTCCAAGTTTTACTGAATGCAACTCCCAAGTCCTTGCATGTAGCAAGAAGAAAGCCAGCCACAAGCTCTCAAGACCATGCTGCTTGGGGGAGGGGGGGGGCAGCACTTATGAAAGAGGAGGAGGAGGAGGAGGAGGAAGAGGAGGAGGAGGAAGAGGAGGAGGAGGAAGAACTCACCTCCACTAGCTTGAGGTCCGAGGTGAGGAAGGAATGCTCTAGCAGCTGCTGAACGTTGGGTACCACCAAATTCTCCTGCTTGTCCATGAATATCTGGTAACAGTAACATTCCTGTTCTTTCAACCTTCCGGACCTGAAATCAGAAGCACTCTGGTGAGCCACCGACTCTGGTCCAACCCCGAAAAAGGAACCAAAGGAAATCTGGAAGTTTCAACTACGCAGAGATAAGCTGCAGCCTCCACACACTTTCCTTGTTCAACCAAGAAGCACTAGCCGTGGTGGGAGTGCAACAGGAGTGAAATGCTCCTGGTTTGGACCGGATCGCCCAATCCGGTAGCGATGGCAGCAGGTGGTTCGGAGAACCGGTAGCAAAAATCCCTGCGCCCCCGCACCCCCCCACCATGCCCAGCTGAGCCGCACGATCACCAGAGGCTTTTTTAAAATTATTTTTAAAAGCATTTTTTCTACTTCTTCCGCCGAAAAAAATGCTTTTAAAAGTAAAAAAAAAAGCTTCTGATGATCGCGCAGCTCAGCTGGGATGTCAGAGGCTTTTCAAATCATTTTTTTCTGCAACCTCTTCCAGGGAAGAGGTTGCAGAAAAAAATGCTTTAAAAGTCTCTCTGACGATCCTAGCTGGGTTGCTGATAGTCAGAGAGACTACTTTTCAAAGCATTTTTTAAAACGATCAGGCAACTCAGCTGGGATCATTAGAGAGACTTTTAAAGCATTTTTTTCTGCAACCTCTTCAGAGGAAGAGGTGGTTAAAAAAATGCTTTGAAAAGGCTCTGACGATCCCAGCTGTGTTCCTGATGGGCAGAGGCTTTTCAAAGCATTTTTTTGCATTTGCAGAAAAAATGCTTTGAAAAGTTAAAATAAAAAAAAAGTTGGCCATTTCCACCCAGTCACATTACCACCACCCCCACCAAGCCACGCCCACAGAACCGGTAGTAACAAATTTTACATTTCACCTCTGGAGTGCAACCCAGAGAAGATACTTCCTCCCTCCTGAGCCAGCGTGGGGTTTATCTACCCCCGATCTCTTTCCAAAATGGCACGCAGAAAAACCTGAACTTCCAAGTTTCAGTTTATTTCTCTGCTCCTTGAGGTTTCAAGTTATCACCAATAGGTCACACTGGAAAGTCAGAAGATAAATTCACAAGTGTCTGTGGAGATTCTCCATCATCCAAGTCCTGGTTGTCCCAAAGGTGCTTTTTTTTTCAAGAGGCAACTGGACTTTCTGGTTTTTCTTTTGAAGACGTTTCGCTTCTCAAGTTCTCATCAAAGAAGCTTCTTCAGCTCTGACTGGATGGTGGGGAATGGAGGGATTGATACTCCTTGCAGACAGCTGGTCTTTTGCATCCTTTTTAGAGGGTCCTTGAGGCCACCTGGACACAGGATAAACCTCCAGGTGGCCTCAACGACCCTCAGAAAGGGTGCAAATGACCAGCTGTGTCTGCAAGGAGAAAGAGAAGGAGGTGGTGGAGGTGGAGGTGGAGATGAAAAATCAAACTTTGGCCAGACTGTTTTCAGATAATCCAATATCCTTCTCTGACAGGTTTATTAAGAGGGGGAGGGGGAGGAAGACTATGGGGTCCTTTGCACTCTCGGAGGTTGAGTGTTTCCTTGCAGACATTTTATTACCCAACTAGGCAACACCATCAGTGGTGGACGGAAGTGGGGCTGGCTCTCATTTTGTATACTAGTGACTGGCCTCGTCAGTGTTGGTGGAAGTGGTCATTTCTGGTGGTCAATTTCCTGCTTGCAGAAGAGGCAGCTCCCTGAGACTTCTGAGGCCTGTGTCAGCTATTCCACACTTGGTTTCTACTTAGAGGAATTCAAGCCGAGGCAGGTCTGACCGGCTGCCTTTATAAGCCCTTTTCCAGCACGGACCAGGCCTGGTTGGGGCCTTCTTCCAACTCCCATCTACTTCTCCCTTGCCTAGAGAGCAGTGGTGAAATCTGAACCGGTTTGCTACTGGCTCGCTGGCCGCATATGCGCACCAAGCGCGCACTAAGGGCGTGCATGTGCAGTTCGCACCAAAAGTAGGCTTGGGGAGGTAAGTAGAACAGCAGGGGGGAATCAGCAGTGGCGCGCGATCTTGGGAAGTTTTTTAAAAAACTTTTTTAATGCATCTTTTAACTACCGGTTCTGGTGAATAGGTAGTAAAAAAATTCTTTAAAAAAGTAAAAAAAAAGGTTCCAACAACCACAGCTGTGCCGTGCGATCATCGGAACATTTTTTTTTTTTTTTTTTAAAGGCCTTTTTTACTACCTATTCACCCGAACCGGTAGTAAAAAAAATGCTTTAAAACAGTTTTTAAAAAAGGTCCCGACGATCGTGCGGCACAGCTGTGATCTTGGGAACCTTCTTTTAACTTTTTAAAGCATTTTTTAACTACCAGTTCAGGCGAATAGGTAGTAAAAAAATGCTTAAAAAGTAAAAAAAAAAAAAGTCCCGACAAATAGCTGAGCTGTTTTTACTACCGGTTCGGCGAACCCATAGCATTTTTTACTACCGGTTCGGGTGATCCTGCCTGAACCGGTAGCATTTCACCCCTGCTAGAGAGGCCTCTCTTACCAAGTCACTGGTTACCACTAGTCCATATCTCAAAGGTCACGGAGTCCCTTCCAACGCTATTTTTCCCCCCCTTCAGGATAACCCAAGTGAGGATGGAAGGGTGGTGTGATAGACTCACTGCAGTTTCAAGAGTGGCTCCAGTCCAAGAATGCGATGCATGATCAGATTCAAAAACTCTTCGGGGTCTGAAAGAGCAGAGGGCACCCTAGGTCAGATGCAGGGCCATGTGACACACAAACCCCCCTTGCTCCCACCCTCCACGGAGAACAAAGGCTGCTGCAGCCACAAGCACAAATCCTTCTCCGAATAAGCACTCGCCCCACAGAATCTCCCTTATGCTCTGCTAGCCAGATAAGATCGCCAAGTGGTAATTTAATCACAAAAGAAAGGATCATAGGAAGGCAGAATAGCAGAGTTGGGAGGGACCTTGGAGGTCTTCTAGTCCAACCCCCTGCTCAGGCAGGAGACCCTATGCCATTCCAGACAAATGGGTGCCCAATCTCTTCTTGAAAGTCTCCAGAGATGGAGCCCTCACAACGTCTGGAATTGCCATTCCACTGTTTAATTGTTCTCTGTGTCAGGAAATTTCTCCTTAGTTCTAGGTTGGCTCACTCTTTGATAAGATTTTAAATATTTCTTTGTCCTGTCTTTTCATCCTCTTCCCCAGGTTTTTGTAAAGATCTAAGGATTAAATTGGGTGTAAACCCTATAAAATAATACATACTATAGGAAAGAAATTCTGGCCGCTGGGAACGGATGGGGTTTAATCCCTCCTCTGTTTCTGGAATGCCTTGTCCAGGCTGAGAGTCATCAGTTCCTGCCACAGCCAGCCTTTAATAATTTACTAGCAATTGACCAATCAACACACAGAATAACAGAGTTGGAAGGGACCTTGGAGGTCTTCTAGTCCAACCTCCACTTAAGCAGGACCCTACACTATTCCAGACAAATGGCTCTCCAATCTCTTCTTAAAAATTGCCAGTGATGGAGCACCCATAACAGCTGGAGAGAAGCCCTTCCACTGGTTGATTGTTCTAACTGTTCTAAGGCTCTTAATTTCATGCTCTGTAGCGCTGCACGGAATTAACTAAGAGAATTTTTAAAACTTATTTTGCCTTTTCTCCAAGAAAGAGGTGCTCTCTGATTTGGCACAGTCCAGCCAGTTCTAGTTCATTCGATCATTGTTTATTTCTACTTGGAAACCATTTGTAGACTTTGTGCTTGAGGTGTGAAAAAAAATGAAACTTTGATTTTCGGTTTTATCAATTCGATAAGTCTGTTCTTATAGAAATGGCTAGTTTATACTATTATTTAAAAGTTAAAAAGTTGAGGTTTGATATTAATGCCTTATTCTACTGCACCGAAGGGAGTCGGAAGTCAATGCCTTTTCTTACTTTTTCCTTTTCTTTCCTTCACTTTTCTCTTCCTTTTTTCCTTCCCGATCTTTCCTATTATTTACTTTTGTATTTTCACTGAATGCTATAGCATAAACTAATAAAATTGTTACATATAAAAGATAAAAGACAGATCATCAAACCACTGCTCAGCATGGGAATCTACTCGATAATCTCTGCCTCCTGCCCTATCCCTCCCATGAAAATCACAGCAGCCACCTTCATTCCCCCAATTTTGAAATCAGAATCTCACAATTTCAAATCAAGAGAGAGAGAGAGAGAGAGAGGAAGGAAGGAAGGAAGGAAGGAAGGAAGGAAGGAAGGAAGGAAGGCACCTTTTTCCGAAGTAGCAAAACTGGAAGACTGTCCCTTTTCTGTCAGCTGATACCGAAGATCCATCACATTTTTGGCAGCGACAAAGCCGGTCCTGTTTAAGACCCAGGCAAAAAGGAAAATTTCAAGACACAATCGAAAACTAAATGCTGGCGGCCACTATCTGCACACCAGGTCTCCAAATCCCAGTCCTTTGCATTCAATTTATTCTACTTCTGAAAGGTGAAGGAAAAGAAACCTGCAGCTACGTCATGGCTTGAATTCAGGCCACTAAAATCCATGCCATGCCTGGTCCAACTGCTACAGACAGTTCTTGACTTACGACCGTAATGGAGCCTGGAATTCCCATTGTGACGGTCATGAATCAAGACACCCAAGTGGCCGATCTCATTTTATGATGTATTTTGCACTATTTTTCTCCAAATAGGTGTTTTTGGCTGGAGCTTCTTGTCCTACCCTCAGGTACTTTGGAGAATAGCTTGACTCCCTCTTCTAGGGGCAGCCCCTGAGATATTGGAAGACTGCTATCATGTCTCCCCTAGTCCTTCTTTGCACTAGACTAGCCATGCCCAGTTCCTGCAACCGTTCTTCACACACGTTTGAGCCTCCAGTCCCCTGTCCATCAGAGGGTTTCTGAAGCAACTGATCAGAGGATCCAGAGAGCCACTTACTGCCTCAGAGGGTTGACGATCTTGTCCCGGAGGATCTCTTGAATGCGCCCATCAGCAGGGAGAGGGGGCTTATACAGCATGGAATCCAACACCGAGGTGCAGGAGAAGAGACTGTAGCGAGAGAAAATGTGCCAGTCAGTCCAACGCGTCAGGGTGGAGGACAGAGAGATTTAGGGAGAAGGAGACGGAGGGGAGGGAAAGCAAAGCTATCAACAAGCAGTCCCAAAGGCGGTACCTTCACCTGCAGGGTGAAGGAAGCTCGGTAGGGCTGCCAACCTGAATAGGGCAGCGTCCATGTAGCAGGAGTTACAGTGGCCTTGGATCCCTCTCATCCGCCCTCGGAGGACATTCACAGCCACCTGGTCTCTCAGGGGTGGGGAGTTGCTCAGAACAGACAGGCTGTCCGCCTCACCTGAAACAGAGCAGGATTCTCTGTTGAAAATTAATAATAATAATAATAATAATAATAATAATAATAATAATAATAATGAGGAGGAGGAGGAGGAGGAGGAGGAGGAGGAGGAGAAGGAGAAGGAGAAGGAGAAGGAGAAGGAGAAGGAGAAGGAGAAGAAGAAGAAGAAGAAGAAGAAGAAGAAGAAGAAGAAGAAGAAGAGAAGAAGAAGAAGAAGAAGAAGGAAGAAGAAGAAGAAGAAGAAAGAAGAAGAAGAAGAAGAAGAAGAAGAAGAAGAAGAAGAAGAAGAAGTAGTAGTAGTAGTAGTAGTAGTAGTAGTAGTAGTAGTAGTTGTTAACAAAGTTCTGGAAAATGAGCAAGTCAAGATCCTGTGGGACTTTCGGATCCAGACAGACCGACTTCTGGCCCACAACACACTGACATGGCTATTATGGAGAAAAAAAATATGTGGTTCATTGATATTGCTACACCAGGTGATGCAGGAATTGAAGAGAAACAGCTAGAAAAATAACGAAATATCGCAATCTGCAAATTGAAGTCGGGCAATTGTGGAGGAAGAAATAAATGGTTGTACCAATAGTAACAAGAGCCCTTGGAGCAATCCCCAAAAAACTGCCTAGATACGTGGACATTTTGAACTCGTCAGACCTTTGCAAAAAACCACCTTATTCAGAACTGCTTACCTTAACAACTCTTAGGTCCTTGATTAAGACTTGATCTGTTAAGTTTTTACCAGTCTCAGACTGGAATCAAACTGAAGATTAAATCTTAAATATTAATACACTGACAAAATCTCCACCAGTCAATTGCCAGCAACGAGACCTTGAACATCATCAGACAACAACCTCTGCCTATCCCAGGTCCTTCGGAAGGGCCCCAAAAACACCAAACCGAGTCTAAACATCTGACTGACTGTGTGACAAACCTAGTCTAGGTTCTAGTCCCATCTTAGGCATGAAAGCCGACTGGGTGACTTTGGGTCAATCACCAGGAGACGGTGAGTTCTAGTTCCACGTTAGGCGTGAAACCAGGCTGGGGAACTTTGGGCCAGTCCCTCTCTCTCAGCCTAGCCCACCTCATAGGGCTGTCGTTGGGAGGGAAACAGGAGGAAGCAGCAGTGCTAGGTATGTTTGTTGCCTTGAATTAGTTATAAATAAATAAATAAACGTATACCCTCATTTTCTTGCCCTGACCAAGGGCTCAAACCGATGCCCATTGAGGATTCTATGGGCTCAACATCCGGCCGCTGCAGGGAAGGGACTTACTGAATTCAGAGGGCTCCTGAAACAGGCACTTGTTTCCCTGGAAACGCGAATCTGGTTGGCACGACTCCAGCCGCACAAAAAGGGCCCGATGGGGAGGACAGGTAAAGTAGCGCACACCATGCCACTCTCCGTCGGAAAGACCGTTGTTCTCTTCATCCTGTCAGGGAGGATTACAGGTCCCTATTACAGGTAGTCCTCGACTTGCGACCACAATTGTGCTCAAAATTTCTGTTGCGAAGCGAGACATTTGTTTAGTGAGTTCCCCCCCCCTCTTTTACGACCTTTCTTGCCACAGGTGGTTAAGTGAATTGCTGCAGTTGTTCAGTTAATAACACATTTGTTAAGTGAGCCTGGCTTCCCCATTGACTTTGCTGGTCAGAAGGTCGCAAAAGAGATGACGTGACCCTGGGACTCTGCGACTATCAGAAATCTGCCTCAATTGCCAAATGTCCGAATTTTGATCACGTGACCATGGGGATGCTGCAATAGTCGTGTGAGAAGTGGTCACTTATTTCAGTGCCGTTGTATCTACTGTAAATTGAGGATTACCTGCATTTGATAATTTCAATAAGAACTTTTTTTACACACACACACACATTATATACATAATTATATAATTATACGTATGTATGTATGTATGTATTATATATTATATTATATAAGGTTGCCGTGTGGCTTCCTCTTACCCAGGAGGTGATAATGAGGGAGCTTGCATTATTTATTGTGCCTTGAGTCTATCCACCCCAGAAGCGGGATCGAAACTTTGGCTTCTCTCCAGAAGGGTGTGATTTTTCACCCAGCTCTTTCTGCCTTTCTGTTTTCTTTTTTCTGAATGGACATTTTCCCACACCCTGCCCGCTTTGTCTTACTTTTTCACACAGGAGGCGCCATGTTATAGTGACAGCCCTGCCCTGCCCCACCCCCTACCTCGGCTCGTGATGGCGGCACCAATCTAGTGTTTATTTTGGGGCGTAAAAGAAAATAAGGCTGGGCCTTATTTTCGGAGAAACACCGTGCGTGTGTGTGTATATATATATGTATACATACCCTATTTCCCCAAAAATAAGACATCCCCTGATAATAAACCCAATTGGGCTTTTGAGCGAATGCGCTAAAATAAGTCTCCCCCCGAAAATAAGCCCTCCCTGAAAATATTTAAACACAGAGCTGGAAATCAGGTAAGATGGCAAGAGGAGCCCCATCTTGCTCCACGCGCCCCAAAATAATAAGACCTCCCCGAAAATAAGGCCAAGTGCTTATTTCAAGGTTCAAAAAAATATAAGACAGTGTCTTATTTTTGGGTATACACATACACACAAACACACGTACTGAAGGCACAATAAATAATGGAAGCTCCCTCATTATCATCTCCTGGGCAAGAGGAAGCCAAAGAATTGGGCCAAACCTTCCCACTGGGACCTTTGATCAGCAGACTTCAAATGCCTGCTGGCTCCGGAAAGATTAACGGAGAGAATCCAATGGGAGCAACGATCCATTCCATCTTCAGAGGCTCTGGCACCAGGGGGACCCAGCTGCTGGGGATGAATGCAGTTTCTATTCTGCAGGCATAGCTCAGTGCTCTGCGTCCTGATCTGTCTAAAAGCTGAAAAGTTAACATCAGAGAGAGAGAGAGAGAGAGAGAGAGAGAGAGAGAGAGAGAGAAGCGCACAGGGACACAGTACAAAGGATGGGTGCTTACCAGCTCAATTCCAGCCACTCTTTGCTGGGTGTTAGGCAGGCAGCCAATCCAACGGATAGTCCCTGTTACAGCCTGCCCCTTGTCTAAGTTGATCTGGACCACAGAGTTGACATCCAGAGAGCCCGTCTTGTCTTCCAAATTCTCTGCACTTTCGCTTCTCTTACGCTTGAAATATTCCTGGAGCCCAGAATCCTGGTCTGTATCAAACACAGAAAAGCCAGGGCTGTCTATTTATTTCTGCTGAACCCTTTCATTCTGATTTGATGTTTTGCTTTCCTCATTGCTAAAAGCTCATATAAGACAAGGTGTCACATTCTGTTCCGGTATATTTGACTACAGGTGGTCCTCGACTTATGACCACCATTGAGCCCCAAATTTCTGTTATTGTGAGGCATTTGCTAAGTGAGTTTTGCCTCATCTTACGACCTTCCTTGCTCCGATTGTTAAGTGAATTGCTGCAGTTGATAAGTTAGTAATAAGGTTATTAAGTGAATCTGGCTTTCCCATTGATTTTGCTCGTCAGAAAGTTGGAAAAGAGGATTGCGTGACCTAGGGACACAGCAGTGGTCATAAGTCCATTGCCGAGCACCTGAATTTTGATCACACGATCGTGGGGATGCTACGAAGGTCTTAAGTATGAAAAATGGTCATAAGTCACTTTTTTCAGTGCTGTTGTACCTTTGAACATTCATTAAACAAATGGTTGTAACTTGAGAACCACCTGTATACTTGTTTTTCAGTCACCCTCCCAAAATCAGGATAATAAAAACTCCAGGCTGTCCAGAAAGCCATTTACCTAAGGAGAGCAGCTCCTCCTTCACCACTGAATCCAGAGGGATGTCTCGGAAAACGTCTGCTGAGCCCTCTTCCTCCTAAAATAAAGGAAAGAAAGAAGACTTAACTGGATTTTAGGATCTAAGCATGAGGGATGGTTGTGGATGGAGTGAGTCTCCTCCTTTTTTCCGACATATAACAGGTGTTGGAATTCTACAAAAACATCGTTCACCTGCCCAGAGTCTTCTGAACTGCAAGATGAGAAATAAATTTGATAAATAGTTCGTTTTGATGTCCCAAATGTGTTTTTTTCTCAAAAGGCAATTAGACTTTCTTTGGCGGGGGGGGGGGGTTGGCTTCTCAAAACTGAAGAAGCTTCTTGGATGAAAAGCAAAATGTTTTCAAAAGAAAATAAACAAGACGGTCTAATTACCTTTTGGGAAAAGCACCCTTGGGACAATCATGACCTGGATGATTGAGAATATCCACAGGCAAATTCATGTTGATGAATTTACACTAGAAAAAATGCAGGCAATCTGTTGTCTTCCTTACATAATTGGATTCCAAATCAATTTAGCCAAGGGCAAAATACAATGAGAGTTTCAGCCCAATCTTTGTCCAACTCCAGAGAATTGGTTTTAAAATGTCAGCTGTCAGGAAGGCATTTTTCTATGCAGTATATTATGTAGTAAAGTAGTAGTATGGAATAGTAAAAACAGATCATCCTGTACTTATGAGAAATGAAGTTCTCTTTACCCTAAAGGGAGTTTGGATAACACCTGCCTCTGTATTTTATTTGTAGGTAATTTAAGATAACTATATGTAGGTGATTTAAGATAACTCTCTAATTTTAAAATAGTATTAGTTGAAGGAAAAAGGTTTCCTTTCAGAAGAAGGCAAGTACGTATGCAGAGACCAAAGTCCTGTACATAACAAAAAATCCAGGGGAATTATTAGGTGCCACACTCAGTTCACAAGGGTGCTAACAACAGCTGCTGAGAACCTAATCTTATGAAAAGATTGGTGGTAACTTATCTGTAAACCACCCAGAGTCACTTGGAAAGTGAGATAGGCAAACTAGACAGACAGACAGACAGACAAATAGATAGATAGGGATGGATGGATGAACAGACAGTAATAAGTAATAAGTAAATCAATCAATAAATAAATAACATTTTGAAGAACACTGCAGAACGTTAATTGGCAACACACAAGTGGAGCCCCTCAATCGCATTTACAGAAACCCCTCACTAAATCAGCAATCCCCAAGAAATACCAATGTTTCTTTGCCAATGTTCTCAGGGATCAGATGGTGAGAATCTCAGGAAATCTGGCAACCCCGGGCAACTTTATCTCTATCTATCTATGACCGTATCCTTATAAAAAGTAAAAGGATGCCCCAATACACAAAGAACTGTCTATACCGTTTTACAAATTGAGCCTGCTGTGATGAGGAAAACAGGCGCTTTCTACCATGCTCTTGAGTTCACTTAACAAATGCTTTCCTCCTATCATTCAGCAATGACTATTCTGTTCTATTTCTTTCTGCTCTTAAATAGGCATCTGACTGGGTCTTCCTCATGTTCTTTAACTTTCTCCTCTTTTTTATATGCCTTATATAGTATGGAATCCCAAGACCTTTCTCTCCAGGTGAGCAAAACACTTTATTTGCTGTTTTCGGTATGTGCTTAAGATTGGTTCTATGCCTATTCTTTCTCATTTGATCTCATTCCTGATTTTATCTTTTCTGCTCATTCCAGCAACTTTCCTCAAAGATCTCATTTCCGTGGTGACTTAACTTTTGTTTACGTTTTACTGTAAGCGTCCATGTTTGGCACTGGTAACGTATGTCCCCTGCAGAGACATCGGACTCCTGCAAGCTAATTAGTTTCCAATTTCCTTCTACCTTCCTCAAAGCAAGTATTACAAGCTTTTACAAAACTTTATTTCCTTTCCCATCTAAGAAGCAAAGAAACAAATGGGTTTAAGGAAGTGGAGATTTTCTGAAAGAGAGCACTGTGTCACATTTGTCTCTCTCAAAATAAGAAGGCCATTATTGCTGGTAACTGTTCCCAGCGCCATCTGTTCTCCAGGTGAGTCACAAAAGGCATGAACAGAAAGAATCCTATGGACCCCAACCTCCTACAATGCAGCCAGCTCAATGTGTGTGTTTGTTTAGAGGATTTGTATGGCCACTCACTCAGTGACTCTGGGTGGCTTACAATCAGGACAACTCCCCCAAATTTTGTTAGGACTACAGCTCCCCCAATTCTCAGCAATCCAGCCAATACAGAAGAGGCTGTTTTGCATCACTTTATCCTATCACAAAGGGCGATATGATAGCAGCCTTCCAGCACTTGAGGGGCTATCACAGAGAAGAGGGAGTCATCTTATTCTCCAAAGCACTTGAGGGCAGGACAAGAAGTAAAGGGTAGAAAATAATTAAAGAGAGATCCTACCTAGACCTAAGGAGAAATTTCCTGACAGTGAGAACAATCAGCTAGTGAAACGTCTTGCCTTTTAGAAATTGTGGGTGCTCCATCACTCAAGGCTTTCAGGAAGAGACTGGACAGCCATTTGTCTGATATGGTATAGGATCTCCTGCTTGAGCAGGGGCTGGTCTAGAAGACCTCCAAGGTCCCTTCCAATCCTATTATTGTAGGAGATGACCAGGCCGAGCCCGAGGGAGGGAGGGAGGGGAGAGATCAAACACATCATCAGTTTAGAGTCCCTTCCTGCCCACAAGAGATCTAAGTCAGGCCCTCCTTGAATTCTGTTGACTCTTATTTGTTTAATATGTTTTAAATTGTTTTTTAAACTTTATATTGTATGTGTTTTATCTTTGGCTGTTCACCGCCCTGAGTCCTTCGGGAGAAGGGCGGTATATAAATCCAAATAAACCTTAAACCTTATCTATTGCCAATTTGCCTTGGCTGTTAGTAGTCCGGATTCTTGTTTAGAGGTAGCATGAAATAAACTTCTATTAATTTTGGACCTAACTCTATCTCCCAATTCCTTGCACCTGATAATTATTCTATGTTCTAAGGCTGATGAAGCAGCTTTCTGGAGCTTCAAGCAGAGGCCCTGATCCGCTACAATAGTCAGTCAAGTATTTCACTGGTGAAGCAAAAGGTTAGTTCAGTCAAGTTGCCCACTTAGAATGTCATTCTACTTCCCCGGATAAAAGCTGCCACATGAAGGGACCACCTAAGCTGCTGTCCCATCCTTTAACATGGAAGTATCGACATTTGGACCTTCTCTCTGCCAAATGCACCTCACAGGGTTGTTGTTGTGGGGAAAAGAGAAGGAGGAAAGAGTATTAGGTATGTTCCATCATCTTAAATTATTCATGAAAATAACAAAGGATAGAAATAAGTGTCATGTTGATGGAGATTCTCAGTCATCCAGATCACGGTTGTCCCAAAAGTGCTTTTCAAAAGGCAACTGGTTTTTGGTTTTCCTTTAAAGTGAAGATTAAGTGTGGTTGTTTATTTGCAGACGTTTCATTACTTAGATAGGTAACATCATCAGTGCTGGTGAATGTGGGGTTTGCTCTCTTTATATTCAGTTGCCTATCCTAGCAATGTTGGTGGGGAAATGGTTTTCTACTTGATAATTCCTTGATTAGGATAATGTTTTCTGCTAGAATTGTCTGTCTGGTATTAATCCCTGCTTATCTGGATGTTAGTTGCTTGCTTCCTTCTTAGCTTTTTCATCATCAGTTTTGAATGGTGTGCAAATAAGGTTTATTTCTATGGGTCTATTGATGGATGGTTTGTCTGTATGCCAAACTTCCAGGAATTCCTTAGGAACAACCATACCCCCCACCAAGACCAGCAGGGGGGCTACTGTATTTAAATATAGAGGAAACCCCACACCAAGGACTCCGAAACAAAGGTGAGCTTGAAATCAAAGGAAATCTCTTGAAATCTCAGTGCCTTGAGCACTGAGAATACATCATTTTCACAAGTGGGAAACCAAAAGCTAATTCACAGACCAAATTAATTGGTGACACTTTTCTGTGGAGTCCTTGGTGCTCACTGAGCTTGTCTGCTACTTGCAGACATTTTCCCAAAGGTGTTTTTCCAAAAGGCAACTGGACTTCGTTTTTTCTTCTTCTTTGAAAACGTTTTGCTTCTCATCCAAGAACTGAAGAACTGAACTGAGGAAGTTTCTTGTATGAGAAGCAAAACATTTTCAAAAAGAAAAAGAAAAGTCCAGTTGCCTTTTGAAAAGCACCTTTGAGACGAGAGAAAAAAAGCAAATAAAACCGACAAATAAATTTCAGGAATTAATTTTCTCTTGGAGACCTGCTTACCGGACATACTTTCACCATCCACTTATTTCCCTTCTGATACACTTCCAGGACTATCCCTCGTGTGAAGGCATCATCTAAATAAAAACCGACGGGGTCACCCATTTTCACCGGCACGATCCCATCAGCGTTCTGCCTTTTCTCCTCCATCTGGTTGGTCTCTGACGCTGGCAGAAACTGCAGCTTGTTGAATGGCAGGAAAAGGCCGCACTTGGGTTTACACTTGAAGTATTCTGCCCCATGGTCGCTGCCAGCACAGCGGCCTCTGCCTTCACCATCACCCTGGAGAAGTAGCAGACAGAGGTCATGATTGAGGGGCCTCCACAGCACAGCCTTAGCCCAGGGGTGCCCAACCTTGGCAGCTTTTAAGATTTGTGGACTTCAACTACCAGAATTCCTCAGCATATCCACATATCTGCATATCTGGTTAGGGTTAAAGCAAGTCAAAACTCTTTCCCCAAGAAGATAATATCTCTTAGATTTGGGGCAGAGGTTGAATTTTTCTGGGTGCATTGCACTAATTCGGTATTTCACTAAACAAATTGTTGTACGTCGAGGACTATCTCTATTTTAAATTCCCATCCTTCCAAACGAAAAAAAATTCTATATTAAAAACTCACCTTATAAACCAGTGATCAGAAAACAGATCTGCATACAACAGGTGTAAACTGACTACATGTAGTCCTCGACTTACAACCACAATTGAGCCCAACATTTCATTTGTTAAGTGAGTTTTGCCCCATGTTACGACCTTACTTGCCGAAGTTGTTAAGAGAATCCCTGCAGTTGATAAGTTAGTCACACGATTGTTAAGTGAATCTGGCTTCCCCATTGACTTTGCATGTCAGAAGGTCACAAAAGGGGATCACGTGACCATGGGACAGTGCAATCGTCATAAGTATGAGTCAGTTGCCAAGCAGGTGAATTTTGATCATATGACCATGGGGATGCTGCAAAGGTCCTAACTGTGAAAAATGGTCCTATGTCACATTTTTCAGTGCTGCGCTGTAACTTTGAACGGTCACTAAATGAACTGTCGTAAGTCGAGCACTACCTGTACTCTGTCACAGTCCGGCACAAAAATAAGAGCCCCTTTTTTAAATCCGTCTTACCTGCAATTCCACTCCAAAATAAATTGGATAGACCCCTGATGGTAAAGGGCTCTTGTGAAGTTTCCCAATATAGCGGATGGTAGCGGGGAAAAATTGATCATCCAGATCGACCAAGACCTGCTGACCTAGTTCAGCCATCATGGCAGCATCTAGAACCTGCCTGTCTAGAAAACAGTTCAAGCGTTCCTGAGCGTTGCCAATGGCCAGAAGGAAGTCGGCCATCTTCTCATTCACCGGCTGCAGGCTTTCCACGTCCACAGTAGCCACGGAACCATCCTGTTCCATGATAAACCGCCACATGCGAGTAGACGTTCTGCTAATATGCTGCAGGTATATCTGTTCTTTCAGATAACACATACTCCCTGCATGGAAAAGCTTGCTGCCATAATGGAAGTTTTCAGTCAAGATATAATACATGTTTCTGTCCAATTGGGAAGACTGGTAAGAAGAGTGTGAGACGGGGGTGTCCATTTTCGAATTCTTCCGTCCTAAAATAAACAAATGTGCGATCAGTCTCTGATCAAATTTACTTTTTTCAGATACAAAAATAGTCTCATCCAAATATGCACTGAAACTGAAACTGCCAGAGAAGATAAGCCAGCATGTGCACCCTTGATCTCTAAGGATCAGTTATTTATTTAGAGCGAGGATGATGGAAATCGTTTGAAAGCCATCCAAAGCACCTTCACAGGACAATGATAATAAAGAAATCTTCTAGGACCTGTTTTGATGGCATGGTAGAGATGTCCCAAAAAGTTTACAAGTCAACTAGATTTGCTATGCAATACAGTTATACCTGGAATGACAATAGGAGCAGCGTAGTGGCATTCTGTACAGCAGATGTCAACGTCCAAGCAATTGCGGTGACATGCAGACAACAACACGTATGTATACAGGTACCTTGACATACAACAGTTCATCTAGTGACCAAGGTTACAACAGCACTGAAAAAGGGACTTATAACCATTTTTCACAATTAAAACTGTTGCTATAGCCCCATAGTCATGTGATTAAAACTCGGATGCTTGGCAACTGTCATATTTCTGATAGGTGTAGCCTCCAGGGGTCTTGTGATCACCTAGTATCTGTGTGTGAGAGAGAGACAGAGAGGGATGGAGGAGAGGGGGAGAGAGGGAGGGAGGGAGAGGGAAGGAAGAGAGGGAGGGGGAGAGAGGGGGAGGGAGGGAGTAGAATGAGAGGGAGGGAGGGGGGAGAGGGAGAGAGATTCTTCTGGATGAGAAGCAAAATGTCTTGAAAAAGCACCTTTGGGACTTGGGAAAAGGTATTTGTTACTGAGATGTCTATTTCAGAAGACCAGCATTGTCGCAAACCTTGGTATTTCCCAAGACTATCTGAAAGTGAAAGTTGTCAAGAAGCAGGACAGGAAGACTATCCTATTGACACTTTGGGATTAAGGTGTTGAAGACGACTCCTGAGGAGACCATGGAAACCAACCGTCACCAACTGAAGAGAGTATCCATAGCTCAGGGTTGAACTGTGGGGTCCTTGGTGCTCTCTGAGCTCAATTGTTTTCTTTCAGCTCTTTCATTACCCAACTAGGTATCATCATCAGGGCTTAGGGACAAATCATTTGGAAGAAAAATCTACTTAACGCCATTGGTGAGAGACTAACTTTTCAGGTGTATGGGTGGTCCTTGACTTAGTGACCGTCCGAAGTCACAACGGCGCTGAAAAAAATGACTTATGACCATTTTTCACACTTACGACCATTGCAGCATCCCCACGGTCATGTGATTTACATTCGGATACTTGACAACCGATTCATATTTATGACGGTCGCAGCGTCCCGGGCTCATGTGACCCCCCTTTTTTGGGGGGGCGACCTTCTGACCAACAAAGTCCATGGGGGAGGGAGGGGCAAGCCAGATTCGCATTAACGACCGTGTTCCTAACTTATCCACCGCAGTGATTCGCTTAACAACGGGACCAAGAAAAAAAGCCATAAAGCGGGCCAGAACTGACTGAACTACCGTCTCGCTCGGTCACATGAACCCTGGGCTCCGTGGTGGTCGTAAGTCGAGGACTCGGAGGGCAACCGAAAGGCCGGGTTAGCAACGGATCGTGAGGGAGAAAATCTACCTCGGAGGCCTCCGGGAGTCAAAGGAGGCAGGTAACCGACGCTGGGGGAGTCCACACCAGTCGAGGTCCCCTCAGCCGCCCCCGGGCCTTCCCCGCAGCCTTCCGTCGCCCGGTCTCGGCCTTCTCCCAGCGGCGGGGCAACGGCAGCTCCGGGGCCGACCCGTCCGAGGGACTGGGCTGGGGTCTCCTGGGCTCTCCTAGGGGATGGGGACGGAGCGAGAGGCCGGCCCGGTTCAGCCCCGCCACCGCTCGCCCGTCAGTCCGAAAGAGAAGAAGCTTCTGAGGGAAGCTCTGAGGAAACGGCGCTCCCCTCAGTCGGCCGGGCGACGGGCGTGACGTCACCCGGCGACCGGCCAATCGGCAACCGTAACGACAAAGGAGAGCGCCCCCCGCCAAGGGGGTCGCCCAATCACCGACGGCATAGAAGGGAGGAGGGGAGAAGAGGGCAGACGGAGAGTTCTCTTTTCCCGCCCACTCCCCTTGATGGACGCCAAAGCTCGCCCAATCAACGACGGGAATGGAAGGGAGGCGGGGAGAAGAGGGCACACGGAGAGTTCTCTGTTCCCACCCCTCCTTCTTTGATAGACGCTCACGTCTGGCCAATTGGAAGCGCCAGACGAAGGGGGCGGGGCGGGGGAAACCCCCCACGTGGCTCCACCCAGGGATTTTCCCCGCGTTGGGGGGGAGGGAGGGGGAGACGTCATGGGGAGACTCCGAAGCCCATTATCCGCAGCGGCGGTGGCGGATGGGCCCTGTAGTCCGAGGGTTTTGGAGGATTCCTATGAATCACAAGCAGAACTCCAGCTCTTTCTGCCTTTGCTCCGAATTCCTCTTGGGCAGAAGCCAGGCAGAAGTTCAACCGGACGGGTGGGGAGGCCGACCCAAAACCGCAGTTTAAAAAAAAAAATTCCTTCCCAGCTTATCCCACGACCCTGGGATTTCCTCGTGGTCTCCGTTCCCAAGGCTGACCAAACCCCACTGTGCTCACCTGGAGGTGCCTTTTCCTCTGGCTTTCCTAAGCTGACTTTGTATAAATATACAAAAAGTATGAAGGCTATTGCTTAGGACATTGTAAGCCGCCCTGAGTCTCCGGAGAAGGGCGGCATATAAATCAAATAAAAAAATAAATAAAAATAAAATAAAAATAAAAAATAATGACTAAATGTGTCTTCGAGGCCAGCTCATGTCCCTCAAGGTTTCACGGACACCCCTGGATTTCTCCGGCCAAAACTCCCCAAGCATCGTTTTGTTCGGGACACTTTTGAGTATCCCACCCAATGTAACCTACCGCCCGGAGGTTTCCTGGTGGTCTCCCATCCAGGGACTATCCAGATTTCCTTGGTGAACTGAGGCGGGCGCCCTGAACCTGCCGGGCTCCCGAGCCCCTTTGAGAGGCAGCCCCTCGCCTGTCCAGCGATCCAAGGGGCTCCTGCGCCCCCAGGCAGTCCCTCTGACCCTCCCCATCTCTGCTGGGAGAGGGGGTTGCCGTTTCTTTTCAGACGTTGCGGAGGGTTCCAGATCCCGCACCGCCTCTTGCGACTCATTGGACGGGCCTGGCCGAACTTCCGATGGCCGAAAGCTGAAGATGCTCCGCTTTATTTTATTATTTTATTTATATAATTTATGTAATTTATATGCCGCCCTTCTCCCGAAGGACTCAGGGCTGCTTACAAGAAGGAACAAAAAAATTACATAAACATCAAAGTCAATTTAAAATTAAGTTAAAATTAATTAAAAATTTAATCAAAATTTAGCTCCTCCGTCGACCTTCCTCCATCACCCACTGTCCCACGCTCCCCACTCCGCATCCTGGTCCTTAGCAGCGCCCCTCTGCTTCCTTAGGGACCCCCGCAGGCAGCCTCCCCTCCCACCCCTATTAACTCAGACGCAGGCAAAGCCATATTGAGGGAAAACAGCTTTATTTCCCAGGAAATGTGCAGAACCCGTGTCGTGTGAATGCGACAAACCGAGTCTGTTCCCACCCACCCACCCGCTGCTATGTACAGAATGACCCCCGTCCCATCCTCGCTGCTGCGTGACACCCGGGGGAAACGGCTAAACGGAGCACTGGGACGGAACCGCTGATCTCTGCTCGTCCGCCCCGTCCGGCTTCTCGCTTCCCGCGGCGGCCTCGGCCCCTCCGTCGGTTTCGCCGACCTCGCTCGGGTTCCTCTCCATGGTGACCGGGATGGTGCGCTCCAGGCGTGGGGCCTGAACGCGGAGATGCCCGTCGGGGTCGAGGGCGCAGGTGAGGGCTTCCAGGTCGGCGTCGGGGGGCAGCAGCAGCTCCTTGCGCACCTGGCGGGACTCGCGGCACACGCAGCCGTCCTGGCCCGCCGTCTCCTTCTCCTGCTTCCCCAGGACCGTCAGCTTCCTCCCTTCCAGCCTGACCGTCAGTTCCTCCGCCGAGAAGCCCTCCACGTCGAGGGCCAGCTGGTGCCAGCGTTGCCCGCGGAGGAAAAGCGGCTGCGTCCGCCCCTTCGAGCCAAGGCCAGGCTCCTCCAGGGCCAGCAGCGGGCAGGGGTCCAGCAGCACCAGGCGCAGACGGTCCGTCTCGTTTAAATGGCCCGTCAGATGGCTGAAAAGGCTCGGGGCACCGCCGACGGCCCACCGTCGTGCCTCCCCGTCGGGCTGCCGGCCGAAGCTCCACAGCTGCGGCTCCGGCACTACGTGGAGCAGCTGCCTCCGTCCGTAGCCTTGGCTCGCCATCACTCCTCCGCTCGGCAGACCACCGCCAGCACTCACTGCGCAGCCCCGACGGCGGGTGGGCTTTTATCCGGGAAGCCTCCCTCCCCTCCTGGTCGTTTTCGCCCTTCACCCAGCTCTGGGGCTTGGAAAGGGTTGTTGGCGTCTTTTGCAAACAGCTCTGGCAGAAGTCCCTGGTAGTTTCGACAGCTGGTGCTCTGACTGTCCTTCTCTGGACTTCAGCTTCCAGAATTCCCCAGCCAACCGTGGCTGGACAGGATGCAAATCACCCAGGACCCCTGCAATTTGTATAGGTTCTCCTGCTTTTTTTAAAAAAAAAATTTTTGATTTATATGCCGCCCTTCTCTGGAGACTCAGGGCGGCTTTCAGTGCGTTATGCAATAGCCTTCATTCTTTTGTATATTTATACAAAGTCAGCTTATTGCCCCCACAAACTGGGTCCTCATTTCACCTACCTTAGAAAGGATGGAAGGCTGAGTCAACCTTGAGCTTTGGAGAGATTCGATCTTACTTTAATTGCAGGCAGCTGATGTTAATAACAGTGCTTTAGTCTGCTGTGCTACCAGGGCTCTCTTCTCGTTCTTATTCCTATTCTATTCTATTCTATTCTCTATTCTCTTCTGTTCTATTCTCATTTGTATTGTATTGTATTGTATTGTATTGTATTGTATTGTATTGTATTGCATTCTAATTTGGGGTGGGGGGTCCCAGGACTCTTGCTAGAGGAGCAGGTGGCAGCCACGGTGTGTGTGTGTGTGTGTGTGTGCGCACGCGCGCATTTTGCAGATTGCTCTGGTGCACCAATTTGTGCCCTTTCCTGAACTGGCAGGCTTTGCAGTCCCTCATGCCTTGGTTACCTCCTGTCCAGATTACTGCACTGCGCACTACGTGGGGCTGCCCTTGAAGACCATCTAGAAGCTACAACCGGTCCAGAATGTGGCCATGTGTGCAGTGATGGGAGTTTGCCCGTGTTACACCTCTGTTGTATGAGCTGCATTGCTCCCCAGTTTCCTTCCTGGTTCAATTCAAGGTGCTAGTCCTCATCTTTAAAGCCCTCTGTGGCACAGGGCCAGGCTATCTAGTGGACTCTGTTATGCGCCATAATCTGATGCTTGCATTTCTGTGACCAAAGTGTGCAGCTCAACCGTGCAGCGGTCTCATACATGCCTCTTGTGGCAACTGGAATCCTGTAGAAAGTTGGCAATTTGTGATCCTCAGTATATTTTTTTAAATCTAAAAATTTTTAACATCTTTTTCAAATCTAGACAGCACCCTAAAAAGCAGAGACATCACCCTGCCAACAAAAGTGCGTATAGTTAAGGCGATGGTTTTCCCAGTTGCAATGAATGGCTGTGAAAGTTGGGCCATAAGGAAGGCCGAGCACCAAAGAATGGAGGCCTTTGAACTCTGGTGCTGGAGAAGACTCCTGCGAGTCCCTTGGACTGCAAGGCCATCCAACCGGTCAGTCCTAGAGATCAACCCTGACTGCTCTTTAGAAGGCCAGATCCTGAAGAGGAGACTCAAATACTTTGGCCACCTCATGAGAAGGAAGGACTCCCTGGAGAAGAGCCTAAGGCTGGGAACGATGGAGAGCAAAAGAAGAAGGGGACGGCAGAGAAGGAGGTGGCTGGATGGAGTCACTGAAGCAGTCGGCGTGAGCTTCAATGGACTCCAGAGGATGGTAGAGGACAGGAAGGCCTGGAGGAACGTGGTCCATGGGGTCGGACACAACTTATTTGTTTGATTTATATGCCGCCCTTCTCCGGAGACTCAGGGCGGCTTACAATGCTTTTAAGCAATAGCCTTCATACTTTTGTATATACCTGCTTAGTAGGGCTTTCGCCCCCCCCCCCCCAAGCGGTGTTCTTTTTTATACAAAGTCAGCTTATTGCCCCCACAATCTGGGTCCTCATTTTACCTACCTCGGAAGGATGGAAGGCTGAGTCAACCTTGAGCCTGGTGAGAATTGAAGTCGCAGTAATTGCAGGCACCTAAATACTACTTTAATAGTAGTTTAGTCCACTGCACCACCAGGCTCCTTCACAACTTCACAACTAACATCAACAATGCATTTCAGTAACACTTTAGGCAAGAGCAGAATGTTGTGTGTTTATGTACTGGGCTCAGCTCACACGTAGCCGCCTGTGAAAGGACCAAGTTTTAAACCTGCTGGAGAGTAGGTGTGTATCTTCTTTCTGTTTAGTATCTTAAATCAAAACAAGCTAATTGACTCTTGCATATTTTGCACTTAATTGTTTTATTCATGGAGGAAGCCGGGGCTTTGAACTTACACGCCACTGGATCTAGCTGGAGGAATTGAAACTGCTGCACGGTAACAAACTTGGAAGGGACCTTAGCGGTCATCTAGTCCAACCCCCTGCTCACGCAAGAGACCTGTACTAGGGATTCGAACCGCCAAACTGCCAACCTTTCTGATCGGCAAGCTGTGTTTTAGCCACTGAGCCACCTAGTCAGGCTTAGATCCTGGATCTAAGATCTAGATCCCTAGATCCCCCGTCTTACCAACTCTAACCTTCAGATTCCTATAGTATCTGGCCATTTTGCTGGATTCGTGATCAGGGGAGCTGTGAAAGCGTAGGAGGTTGGAGGAAAAGGAACCTGGATGGCCGAGAGAAATCTCTGTTGGCTAGGCAAAAATAATTGGCCTTCAGATGTGGTTAAGCCCAGGCCCAGCCTGCTTCTAAGCAGAGCAAACACCAGGCAGGGAGGATGCCGACAGACAGAGCCTTCCTGGCTGTTTCTATTTACCTTTCTGTGCTGCCATGGCAGCTGCAACTACAGCTTCCACCTCCTCTACCTGTCCCTTCGCTCTCCCTGCACCGCAGGAGCCTCTCACCATTTCACTATTGGGCACTGCACACCAAAACAATGAGACACAAGGACAGTTTTCCCCCCGAATGCCATCACTCTGCTTAACAACTAATTCCCACAACACTTTCAAATAATTTACTAAAACCGGATTACTATTAATCTTCTCTTCCTTACTGGTATCTCTCTCTTCCCACTTATAACTATGACCATGTTGCTTGTATCTTTCAAAATATATTGCTTTTATTTGTTTCCTAGTACGATTTGATAGCTTATTAGTAAGCTTGACTATCACTAAGTGTATCTTTTTATTCTTGATGAATGTATTTAATTCTCCTTATGTACACTGAGAGCATATACACCCAAGACAAATTCCTTGTATGTCCAATCGCACTTGGCCAAAGAATTCTGTTGTTCTGTTCTGTTCTGTTCTGTTCTGTTCTGTTCTGTTCTGTTGTTCTGTTCTGTTCTATTCTATTCTACTCTACTCTACTCTACTCTACTCTATTCCCTCGCATCGTGGACATAAACCATTTCAACTCCTACCCTCAAAACGAGGCTATAGAGCACTGCACACCAGAACAACTAGACACAAGAAGAGTTTTTTCCCCGAACGCCATCACTCTGCTAAACAAATAATTCCCTCAACACGGTCAAACTATTCACTAAGTCTGCATTACTATTAATCTTCTCATCATTCCTATCACCCATCTCCTTCCACTTAGGACTGTATGACTATAACTTTGTTGCTGGTAAACCTTAAGATTTATATTGACTATTTCCCTATGACCATCATTAAGTGTTGTACCTTATGATTCTTAACAAATGTATTTTTTTTTCTTTTATGCACTCCGAGAGCGTATGCACCAAGACAAATTCCTTGTGTGTCCAATCACACTTGGCCAATAAAGAATTTTCTCCTCTCCTCTCCTCTCCTCTCCTCTCCTCTCCTCTCCTCTCCTCTCCTCTCCCCTATCCTATCCTATCCTATCCTATCCTATCCTATCCTATCCTATCCTCAAGTCGGATCCAGAGTCGGAGATGCCAGGTCAGCCAATGCCACGTGTGTGTATGTTGCATCAGTCAAATGTACCACCAATTTCCCTCAGAGCTCAGGGTTGCTCAAGGGGAGATGAACTGCAAATAAACGTAATAATAATTAATAAAAACGCCACCTGGTCCCTTCTAAAGATCTGGATGGCTGTGTGTCCCAAAGAAAGCCAGGCAATGGGACCACGGGCTTGGTGATGCAGCTGCTGGAAGGCAGTGTGGGAAGGGGGTTGGAAAAGGGCCCAGGGGACCTGGATAGGCCCCTGCCCCCCTCCCCATGCAAACCCTCTGCCCCCCCCCCCCCCCAGTGGAAGCTGCAGGAGGCGTCTTTTAAGAAATCCATTAACTTTTATTTGGTGCTCCCCTGAGGTTTCCCCTGCCCCCCCCCAGCCCTCCCCGGGGCCCTCAGCTGTCCTTGGTGGGGAGGCTCTTGGACTCGGTGGCCTTGGCCAGGTTCCCGGCTTCCTTCTTCAGCACGTTCAGCAGCGTCTGCGAGCTTTCCAGGATCTGGGGCAGATGGGAAAGAGGGAGGGGGGGCTGGTCACGGGTGGAGCTGGCTTCTCAGTAACAGTAACAAGAGTTGGAAGGGACCTTGGAGGTCATCTAGTCCAACCCCCACCCACCTCCACCCGCTCACAAGCCAGAGTCCTGGACTAGGGATCTTTCCAACGGCCCAACTCAGTGTCTTAAGCCCCCTTAGCCCCTCTGAGCCTCTGACCTTCATGTAGGCCGCCTCGGTCTCAGCGATGGTCTTGTCGAACTCGTTGCGGGAGGCCATCTTGTGGGCCAGGGTCTCGTTGATGCGGGCCAGGCGCTCGGTCAGCAGGCGGAGGTCGCCCTGCAGCTTCCCCTTCTCCTCCTCCTCCTGCCGGATCTGCCGGCTCAGCTCGTCCCGCTTGGCACACAGCTCCTCAATGCCTACGGGGGGGGGGGGGCGGGGGGGACAGAGAGGGGGAGAAAGGGTGGGGGTCGTGTCTCAGGGGGCTCCAAGGAATGGTGACCCCTCACCCCACCCCACCCCCACCCCTTCTCTTCTCTAGCCCCCTCCCCACCACCCCCTCCCCTCACCCTACCCCTTCCCTTCTCCACCCCCTCCCCTCCCTTCTCTTCTCTTCCCCCAGCCCCCCTCCCCACTGCCCCCTCCCCTCACTCCTACCCCCTTTCCCTTCCCCCAGCCCCACCCCCCCCCCCCATTCTCTTTCTTCTTCCCCCGCCCCCTCCCCACAGCCCCCCTCCCCATCCCTTCCTTTCTCTAGCCCCCTCCCCTCCCCACTTCCCTCCTGTTCCCCAGCCCCCTCTACAGTTCCCTTCTCTTCCCCAGCCCCCTCCCCACAGCCCCCCCTCCCCACCCCTTCCCTTCTCTGGCCCCCTCCCCTCCCCACTTCCCTTCTCTTCCCCAACCCCCTCCCCAACGCCCCCTCCCCCCCACCACCCACTTCCCTTCTATCCTCCAGCCCTCTTCCCCCACCCCTTCCTTTCTGTAGCCTCCTGCACTCCCCACTTCCCTTCTCTTCCCCAGCCCCCTCCCCACCGCCCCCTCCCCCTCCCCCCCCACCCCTTTCCTTCTCTTCTCCAACCCCCTCCCCACCGCCCCTCTCCTACCCCTTCCTTTCTCTAGCCTCCTGCACTCCCCACTTCCCTTCTCTTCCCCAGCCCCCTCCCCAACGCCCCCTCCCCACCCCACTTCCCTTCTGTTCCCCAGCCCCCACCCCCCCTCCCCTTCCCTTCCCCAGCCCCCTCCCCCCTCCCCTTCCTTTCTCTAGCCCCCTCCCCCTCCACCCCCCCCCCCCCTCCCCTTCCCCCAGCCCCCTCCCCCACCCCCCCCCCCAACAGCGGCTTACACTTAACCAGCTCGTTGTTGTAGCTCTGCAGCGCCGCGCCTTGCTGGGTCATCGCCGCCGCCGCCGCTCTGTGTGTGCCCGCCCGCCGCCGGCTCCTCCTCCTCCTCGTCCAACGGCCGGCCGCGCGATGGAGGCGTCGTGGGCCTGGCGCGCCCTGAGCCGGAGCCTGGTGCCGGGGCGGCGCTGGGCCTGGGCTGGGCGCGGAGGGCGCGGCGGAGGGGGTCTCGTCGGGGGAGCCGTCGGGGCCGGAGCTGCGGGCGGCGGCGCGGGCGCTGGAGCGGCGGGGGCTGCTGGCGGAGGTGCCGGAGTGGCTGCTGGAGGTGCTGCAGCGGGACGTGCAGGCGCGGCTGGCGCCCGAGTTCTGGAGCCGGGCGGGCGGGGAGGCGCCGTGCTCGTCGGGCCGCCTGCTGGAAGCCTTCGCGCTGCTCCGCCGCCGCCTGGAGCGCTACCTGCGCGGCCTGGCCCTGCTGGAGGAGTGGCTGCCCGGGAGCCCCCGCCACAGGGCCCAGGCTCTGCTGCGCGCCGGCCTCTTCTGCGCCGCGCCCGCCGCCTTCCGCCACGCCCGTCCGCCGCTTCTACGAGCGCAGCTTCCGCATCCACATGCAGCCGCAGCAGGAGCAGGAGGCCACGGGCTGCGGCTGCGGAGAGGAGCCCTGCGGCTGCCCGCTGGCCACCGAGCAGTTCCAGCAGCTCAACGGCATCCTGTGGGTCCCCAGGGAGGGAGGGAAGGGCGGGGGGTTGGGCTAGATGACCTCCCGGGGTCCCCCTCCCGCCCATGATTCTGATGCTGCGTGTGCGTGTGTCCCCCCATGGCAGCCACGAGCTGAACCTGCTGGAGCGGGTGAGCGCCGACGCCGTCACCCCACGTCCTGCACCGGATGATCGAGGAGCGCGTGGAGCGGCGGTGCCGGGGCGAGTACGAGCGCTCCTTCCTCGGCGAGTTCCAAGAGGTAGGCGGGTGGGAGAAGGAAGCCCCGGGGAAAAGGGGCTCCCCCCGCCCAGCTTTTCTTTCTTTCTTCTCTTTCTCTTCTTTCCTTCCCCCTCCTCCTTCCTCCTTCTCTTCCTTCCTTCTCTCTCTCCTCCTTCTCCTTCCTTCCTTCTTCCTTTCTCTTCCTTCCTTCTTCCTTTCTCTTCCTTCCTTCCTTCTCTTTCTCTTCCTTCTTCTTTCTTCCTTCCCTTTCTCTTCCTTCTTTTCTTTCTTTCCTTCTCTCTCTTCTTCTCTTCTTCTTCCTCCTTCTTCTTCCTTCTCTCCTTCCCTTCCTCTCCTTCCTTCCTTTCTCCCTTTCTCTCCTACCTTCCTTCCTTCCTTCCCTTTCTCTTCCTTCCTTTCTTCCCTCTTTCTCTCCTTCCTTCCTCTTCTCTTCCTTCCTTCCCTCTCTTCCTTCCTTCCTCTCTCTTCCTTCCTTCCTTCCCTTCCTTCTTTCTCTTTTCTTTCTTTCTTTCTTTCTTTCTTTCTTTCTTTCTTTCTTTCTTCTTTCTTTCTTTCTTTCTTTCTTTCTTCTTTATTTATTTATTCATTCATTCATTCAACCAATTAATTAATCGAACATGTACTTAGATCAGGGGTCAGAATTGGTGTAGGTATGGTCTCCTGCTGGGCGAGGGGGGGTGGACTAGACGACCTCCAAAGTCCCTTCCAACTCTTTATTCTAATCAGGGATCTCCAAGCTTGGCCACTTTAAGCCTGGCAGACTTCAACTCCCAGAATTCCCCAGCCAGCTTTGCTTGGGCGGGGGGGGGGTTGGACTAGATGACCTCTAAAGTCCCTTCCAAGTCTTTATTCTAATCAAGGGTCTCCAAGCTTGGCCACTTTAAGCCTGGTGGACTTCAACTCCCAGAATTCCCCAGCCAGCTTTGCTTGGGCAGGGGGGGGGGATGGACTAGATAACCTCCAAGTCCCTTCCCGCTCTTATTCTAATCAGGACTCTCCAAGCTCCAGAATTCTGGGAGTTGAAGTCCGCCAGGCTTAAAGTGGCCAAGCTTGGAGACCCCCGTCCTAGACAACAGGTCCAAGTATAAACATGGAGGTGAACTAGAAATGAGTGCAAGTAAATGGGGACGGTAGGACAGGGACGGCAGGCAGGACGGTGCGCTTATGCCCCATCTCCCAGCCCGCTGACCCTCCTGGCTAAGGATTCTCCGCTCCCTTCTCTGCCCCTGCCGCCCCAGTGGATCGAAAAGGTGATCGGCTGGCTCAGCACAGTCTTTCTGCAAGAAAGCACCGCCACCCTGCCTAGCCCAGCCACCACCACCACCAGCAGCAGCAGCAGCAGCACCTTGAAGCGATGGCGCTGCCACGTCCAGGGCTTCTTCTACCGCCTGTATGCCAGCATGCGCATCGAGGAGCTCTTCAGCATCATCCGCGGTGAGCCAGCCCGGTGTGAGCCTCTCTGGCCGCTAAGCAACCCCCTCCCCACCAAAAAGCCCAGCGCTGGGTGCACTTCCTCACCGTCCCTCCCTCCGGCTGCCCCGGTTTCTGGTACAGATTTCCCGGAGTCGAAGCCTGCCGTGGAAGACTTGAAGTATTGCCTGGAAAGGACCAATCAGCGGCAGCAGCTCTTGACCTCCCTGAAAAGCGCCCTGGAACTCCGGCTCCTCCATCCCGGTGGGTGACCGACCGCGCTTGCTTCTGCCCGGCGTTTCCTCTCGGGCCTCCCTGAGGGAGTCTCGCCTCTTGGTGCCCGCTCCTCCTCCTCCTCTGTTTTCAGGGGTGAACACCGCGGACATCATCACCCTTTACATCTCTGCCATCAAAGCCCTGCGGGAGCTGGACTCTTCCATGGTGATCCTGGAAGTGGCCTGTGAGCCCATCCGGAAATACCTGAGGTGAGAGGGGCCGGGTTGGCATTGGCGTCTCTCTGGCTGACCTGGCTTGCTTTCGATGATGTGACGAGTCGGGATTGCCGCTCTAGTTTTGGTGGTAGATCAAAGGTGAAATCCACTTACCTTCGCTACCGGTTCGGGAACGGGAGCGCGTGGGAGTGGGAGCGCGCCTGTGCTATGCGAGCGCACCTCTTCTTCGTACGCGCAGAACAGTGGTGGGTTCCGCCCGGTTCTGCTGAGAGCCGGTAGCGGTGACGATATGACATCACCGAACCGGTTCTGCCCCCCTCCTGCCCTCACCCCCCCGTTATTCTTACCTTTTATTTGGCCCCACCCCCAATCTATTGCTGCCTCCTGAGTCCCAGCTGATGGGCTATAAAGAAAAACTGTTTAAACTCTTGCCGTGGGGCTTCAAAGGGCCGCCCTACAGCTGATCAGTGGTAAAAGGCAGTTTGGTGGTAGATCGGTGCCTCCAAAAACAAATGAGTAGACTGGTGCCTCCAAAAACAAATGAGTAGACCGGTGCTTGCAAAAATAAATGGGTAGATCAATGCCTCCAAAAATAAATGGGTAGATGAATGCCTGCAAAAATACATGAGTAGACCGGTACAGCTCTGCAAGCAGTTAAAAGCCTGGTAGACCAGTACCTCTGCTAAATCCTAAATAATTGTCACATGACCATCAAGCCACACCCACAAAATAAGCCACAGCCACAGAACCGGTAGTAAAAAAATGTAGACCCCACCCCTGGCACAGAACTTTTTGCACATGTGCACATGGTAAAAAAACAAGACGTAATGACGTCCCGGCGTGTGGGCAGAGTGTCCCACTGTCGGCGCTACCAGTTCGGCGAGCCGGATAGAAACACGGAGATTTCACCGCTGTGGTAGACCCATCAGCCGCTCCCCCCTAGGACCAGGGAGGATACCGTGCGGCAGATTGTGGCAGGACTGACGGGGGATGCTGAAGGATCGGCTGACCTGGCAAATGAGCTCTCCAAAGCTGACCCGGTGACGCTGGAGAATGACCAAGAGAGCGAGGACGATTACTCCGATCCCGAGGACTGGGTGCCCGATCGGTCGATGATGCCGATCCAGGTGAGTTGGGGCTGCGGTTGGAAGGCACTGTGGGGAGACGGGAACCGGGTCTGAGATGCTTCTGGCCTCTGCCCATGTGCCCCCTCCCTCCTACCAGGGAAGTCCAGTTCCAAGCGCCGCTCCTCGGACATCATCAGCCTGCTGGTGAGCATCTATGGCAGCAAAGACCTCTTCATCAATGAGTACCGCACGCTGCTGGCTGACCGCTTGCTGCACAATGCAATTACAGTGCCGAGAGGTGAGGCCCGCAGCTGCGCAAAGTCCCCCGAGGCAGAGCCAGAAGGCCGCCCTTTGCTCTGCTGCGGCCGGGGATAAGGAGGATTGGGGGACAGGTGGAGCTTCTCTGGCACTCCTCTGCAGGGGCTGCCGGTAGAGGGTCTCCTCTGCAGAAAGTGAGCAGCAGAGGCCTCGGCAACAGACCTTCCTTCTCGCTTCAGGGAGATCCGAAATGTGGAACTGCTGAAGCTGCGCTTTGGAGAGGCCCAGATGCACTACTGTGAGGTCATGCTAAAAGTAGGTGCTCCCTTTTTTTTTCCCCAATTTTTTTTTTCAATTTTTTATAAACAAACATACAATACATAATCAATCCATCAGTGTATCATCTCAGTACATCTTTTGTGTACTTCTCCCTACTCAAATCATTTCTCATCTTGATATTTGTCATTTTCTTTGTTATAACATTTCTCCCACCTTCTTTACACTATTACTCTATGTATATCTCTTCTCCAGCCATTAATAAAATTGCCCCCAAATCTGATAATATTCCGATTCTTCTCTTTCTTTTAATTGTCAGTCTATTCATTTCTGCACAATCCAATATTTTCTTAATTATTTCTTCCTCCATAGGAATTTTCTCTGCTTTCCATCTTTGCGCAAATTCTCACTGTAGTTAATACATGTACAGTCAAGTATATATTTTCCTTACCAAATTTCTCTGGTAAGATACCCAATAGGAACAGTTCAGGTTTTAAATCTATATGCTGTTGTATCATTTCTTCTAACCATGTTTTAATTTTCATCCAATAATTACTCGCTTCTGGACATGTCCACCACATATGATGATACGATCCTGGTAACTGATGACATTTTCAACATTTTGCAGATTTATCTTTAAACATTCTTGCCCATTTTTCAGAAGACATGTGTCATCTATAAAACATTTTATATTGATTCTCCTTATATGCTGTGGACATGGTTAATTTATAACTTTATAATAGCTGTTGTCATTTATCTAACTCAATTGAATATCCAAAATTCTTTGCCCAAGCTATCATTGTTTCTTTTACCTGTTCTTCTTAATTTAATACTAAATAAATAATTATATATATATATATATATATATATATATATATATATATATATATATATATATATATATATATATATATATATATATATATATATATATATACACACACACACACACACCGTATTTTCCGGTGTATAAGACGACTGGGCATATAAGACGACCCCCAACTTTTCCTGTTAAAATATAGGGTTTGGGCTATACTCGCCATATAAGACTGCCCCTCTTCCAATGCACACCAAATAAAAATTAAAAAACATCAACTGGCTCACCTACAATGTAAAAGCAGCTGTGCTAGACCCAAAATGGCCCCTGTAACAAGCAGGAACCTCACACAGCCACAAAAAGCCCCCCCCCCCAAAACTTTCACACTCTAAACACACACAACACAACACAACTGGCTCACCCACAATGTAAAAGCAGCTGTGCTAGACCCAAAATGGCCCCTGCAACAAGCAGGAACCTCACACAGCCACAAAAAGTCCAAAAAACCAACTTTTACACTTTACACACACAAAATTCCACATACAGCTTTGTGAGATTTTGTGTGTTTGTGTAGTTGGAGTGAAACACTACAGAAACACACTAAATCTCAGAAAGCTGCACAAATATTGTTTTATTTTATTTTATTTTTATATGAAAGCTAAATTTAAAACTTCCTAAACTTTAAATGGCTAGGTCTAAAAAAGAACAACTAAAAAAAACCCCAATTGACTATTTTTTTTAAAGCTCCCAAAGGGAAAAAAACTTACCCAATAGAATAGGGGTCTCCAACCTTGGCAACTTTAAGACTTGTAGACTTCAACTCCCAGAATTCCTCAGCCAGCTTTGCTTTGATGGCTGAGGAATTCTGGGAGTTGAAGTCCACAACTCCCTGCTTGCTTGATTGCAGGCAGGGAGTTGCTTGCTTGCCTGAATAGATTCAGGCAAGCAAAGCAAGGCAAGCCTTGCGACTAGCAGCTGAGGTAAGCAAGCTGGAAGGGGAAAACTTGTTCCCTTTTACATGGCTCTGGCCATCCCAGCTGAGTTGCAGGGAACTCATCTGGGATCGTCAGAGCTGGGAACCTCAGAGTAAAAGGTAAAAAACTTTTTTCCTTTTACGTGGTTTCTGGCGATCCCAGCTGAGTTGCAGGGAACTCATCTGGGATCGTCAGAGCTGGGATCCTCAGAGTAAAAGGTAAAAAACTTTTTTCCTTTTACGTGGTTTCTGGCGATCCCAGCTGAGTTGCAGGGAACTCAGCTGGGATCGTCAGAGCTGGGATCGCCAGAGCTGGGATCGCCAGAGCCATTTAAGGCTCGTCAGAGCCTTTCGGGCTGGTCTGCCTGGTTACAGGAGAACTACACCCGGCGTATAAGACGACCCCTGACTTTTGAGAAGATTTTCATGTGTTAAAAAGTCGTCTTATACGCCGGAAAATACGGGGTGTGTGTGTGTGTGTGTGTGTGTGTGTGTGTGTGTGTGTGTATATATATATATATATATATATATATATATATATATATATATATATATATATATATATATATATATATATATAATTTATGTGTTCATCTGTTCCTGTATCTTATCCAGTTCTATCATTCCTCATAAAAACCATATAATTTAGCATCTTTTTCATATCTTGTTTGAATTTGCATATGTGTATACCAATCCAACTCAATCCCTTTTTTCTTTTTTTTAAAGAATTTTTTTTATTTTCAAACAAAAGCAACATAAAAACATCATCCTTTCAAACAATTACAGTGTTTCGGTTGGTTAAAATCCTTTCATGCTCCCAAAATCTTCAAAATATCAATATATGACAAATTTTCTTTTCCCCTAAAAGAAAACAAGTGTTTATACATTTTATCTTAATTTCATTTCATATATCATATTTCATCTCCATGTTTTATTGTCTATCCATTGATAAAATAACTCCCATATCAAATAATATTGTTTATCTTCCTGTTCTCTTATTTCAAATGTAAGTTTACTCATTTCAGCACAGTTCAGCATTTTCTTAATAATTTCTTCATCAGTCTCTTCTCTCCTTTCCAATTTTTAGCAAATACAATTCTAGCCGCTGTTAAAATATTCACAATTAACTATTGCAATTCTTTATTGAATGTTTATGGTAAGATCCCTAATAAAAATGTCTCTGGTTTAAAATCAATATTTCTCTATCATTTTTTCCAACCACATGTGTATTTTAGTCCAATATCTCCTTGCTTCTATGCATGTCCACCACATGTGGTAATAGGATCCTGGGGTCTGATGACACTTCCAACATTTCTCCGATTTATTCTTGAACATTCTGGCTATTCTCGTCGGGGGTAGATGCCACCTGTAAAACATCTTATACAAATTCTCCTTATATGCTGTAGACATTGTCATTTTATAATTATGTGACCACAATTTTCCCAACTCAATCCCTTGTTCTCCCTATAGAGACATTGCCAGATCACTCTGGTCCCTCCGAAGGGTGATTTTACTCGGCTGGAGGGGCCCGCAAAAAGGCCCCATTGTGGCCTGTCCAGCTGAGCTCGGACGTCTCTTCCATCTTTCCGTCCCTTCCATCTCTCCCACGCAGGACATGGCGGACTCTCGGCGCATCAATGCAAACATTCGTGACGAGGAGCAGAAGCTGCCTGAGCAGGAGAGGCCTCCCTTCAGTCTTGAGGCCACCATCCTCTCCAGTGAGTTCTGGCCCCCGTTGAAGGAGGAGAAGCTGGAGCTCCCAGGGCAGATCAAGGAGGCCATGGAGGCCTACGCTAAGAAGTACGAAAAGCTGAAGGTAGGCGAGTCCTCTGTCTGCAGGAAGCGCAGCCATGGGCCTGTTCCGCAGCTGGCAGCCAACAATGACGGAGGCCTTCTGTTTCTCCTCCGGGTGCAGCCTAGCTCCCTTCTAGGATTCGGCTGTTCCTTTCTTGCCATCTTCCTCTTCCTTCGTCCAGGGCATCCTGCTCCTCTGCGGAACAGACGTGTGGCTGGGCCACCAGCCAGGAGCTTCCGGTCTGTTCTGACCTTGTCTTCCTGAGTCAATAAAACACACGAGTAGTCCCAATAACCTATTTATTTTAACAGCTGTAAATTCTGGTCATTCACAGATGAGTCCCAAATCGTTGTAAAGAGTCCTTCGGGTTAAGGCTGATAGTCACCCACCTTTATCTCCCTTGACACGCTGCCAAAGACCTAATTGGCAAAGCCACACGGAGTCCAGAATCAAACAGAGCTTCAGGCTTTAAACTGCACAGAATTAACAACGTTGCTTCCTGCAAAGGCCCACGTGCCTTTGCTCCTCTTTTAAGCCTTATGGGAGGGGCCAATCATCTCCAAGCACTACTCCCGAGTCGTCCCTTTTGTTTTAACTGTTCTTGCCTTCTGGCAGCTCTGCGCATGCATGCACTGGGAACAGGCTCCCCCTGTTCCTCTGCCTCGCTGAGGTCCGACTCTGGAGGCTCCGGAGGCAGCACGTACCTCCCAGATGGCCCTTTCTCTGCCTCCGATGCAGAGCCCTTGTCCAAGCCTTCCCTAGACTCCAGGACTGGCCCGTGTTCCTCCCCAGCCTCCTCACTGTCTGCTGCCAGCTGTGCAGGCTGCCAGCGGACCACAACATGGTCCTTCAGCTGAGTGATCATAATTCTCCCTGGTGGCTTCTTCGCAGGCCATGAGGACCTTGAACTGGAAGCATCACCTGGGCTTGGTGGACCTGGAGTTGGAGTTGGCGGATCGTACGATCTCCCTGTCTGTGTCACCGGTGCACGCAGCTGTCATCCTGCACTTCCAGGAGAAAAGTAGGTCTCCCGGCTCCATGAAAGCCTCCAGCTTCTGCCCTTCTCCCACAAAGGGAGCTCCCAGTCTTCCAGGGAAGGGCCCGCAGACATGTATGCGTACATGCACAGATGTGGGTCATATGAGCCAACCATGGGGGAGGGACATATTTGGCAGTGTCAAGGTAGATGGAGGGAAGGTTTCCTACCAGGAGATCCTTCTTGGGCCTCTCTACGCGAAGTGCTGCCTTGGCCTCAAAGTCTTGGGTCCCTCCTTGGGGACCCTTCCTTAGGCGGCACTGCTGGGCTCGAGATGAGGCCCTAAGCAGGGTGGGTGCCTCCTTTGCAGGCACGTGGACCTTGGAGGAGCTGAGTGAAGCTGTGAAGGTGCCTGCGGCCTCCCTGCGGCGCAAGATGACCCTCTGGCTGCAGCAAGGGGTGCTGCGGGAGGAGCCCCCTGGGACCTTCACGGTGATCGAGGAGGAGCTGAAGGACCAGGCCGAGAAGGTGGTGCTGATCGATAGCGATGAGGAGGGGGATTCAGCCATGGCCTCCCAGGCGGACCAGAAGGAGGAGGAACTGCAGGTGCTCATCTTGGGAAGGAGGGAGGAGGCTTCCCTCCGTGGACCAGGCTAAGTCCTGGCTAAGGAAGGAAAGCCAGAGAGCAGCCGAGGTCTCAGCACTGGCCCTTGATTGAGTGACCCACCCTTGTCCGGGCACAACAGTAGCCTTCCAGCTCAGGGCTGGCTGGATCCCAGAAGCACCTGAGCCAGAGCTCTGCAGTGTTCAGTGCCACCGCCGCCACTCAAATGTTCTGATCTCTGCCTCGGCCTTCTTTCTGTGTCCTTGTGCCCCCTTTGTAGCTCTTCTGGACCTACATCCAGGCGATGCTGACCAACCTGGAGTGTCTCTCCCTGGAGCGCATCCACAGCATGCTGAAGATCTTCGTGATGACGGGCCCCATGGTCACCGAGATCGACATCCAGGAGCTGCAGGTCTTTCTCCAGAAGAAGGTCCGGGACCAGCAGCTCAGCTACTCGGGGGGCGTCTACCGCTTGCCCAAAAGCTGCAACTGATCTCCTCCGCTCCTGAGGGCAGCGCCTGATGGACTGACAGGTGTGGGTCACCCTGAGACTCTGGCCTGGGGTGCTGCCTTGCGTCGCCTTGGTGCGTGCGGCCACGGGGTGTGGGTGTGGGTGTGTGTGGGTGGGTGTGTGCGCACAGCCCAAGGAACTGGTAGCAAAATATTTGTTTTGATGGATTTCTTGGTTCATAATAAAAGTGGTTTCCCTCTGAGCCATCGGGACTGTGGTGTATTTTTTCTCCGTGAATCGAGCTGGCTGGCTTGCTCCCTCTTTCAACTCGGTTCCTTGCCAACATTTCCCTCCAGCCCCTCTGCAGAATATCGGGAGAGACACGGCTGGGGTGGTTGGCCGGATGGTTCCCTCTTTCTTCTAAAGGGCCTTCCTTGCCCACCTGCGGTATGTTTCTTATCACATACAGTCAGAGTTTGTTGCAAAAATCGCATCCAGAAGGCACACACGGATAACTGATGCAGCAGGCTTCATTAACTTCTCTTTACATATAATAAAACACATGAAAATAAATATACAATACCAATGTGGTAGAGAAATTGGTTTCAGTTTTGATTCAGAGAGCAGACAAGACCACACTTGTTTCAGTTCTCAGCACAGCACTTGGGAGCTAAGCCACGCCCAGACTCCAAACTCTTTCAGCTCCCATTGGCTGACTTAGTTGCTATGCCTATTCATTGGCTGACCTTGTTACCATGTCTTCCCAGTCATGAATATTCTGACACATACTTCTTGCCAATGAGTACAGCCTCTTAATTGACAGGATACCGGAGAGGTGGGGAAAGGAACGAAGCTCTGGGGAGCTCCCTTTGCCAAGATCCGTGGTCTCCCCCTCCCTGTCTCTGGGGAATCCCAGGAGCTAGGATGTGGTCCTCAAGAGGCCTTTGGCTCTGGGAAATGTTAAGGTCCCAGAAGTTTCCCCGAAAGCCACTGACATGCCAAAGAGTGAGACTCGAGACGAGGCTTGCAAAAAAAACCCCCCGTTTTTTATTCTTTGGCCAAAGTAAAAAGTCTGGCGATACTATTTCCAAAACACAGACAAAATGCATGTAAGGAATAGCCACACCCTGCACGAGTGGCTCTTATATGCATTTTACGCCGATAGAAACAAAGTTCATCCCAATCAACAGACAAAGATTCGTCACCAACGTGATTTTTCAGGCCAATCTCTGTCCATGTTTTGCTATCTTAGGCAGCCCCCCACCCAATCTATGGAGCAGGATGTTCCTGGGAACTGTCTCCAAGGATGTGCCTAGCTCTGAAGCAAATGACAGAAGCGAGAAAACCAGATAGAAAAGCATACAATTATTTTACAGAATGGATTCCTAACAAATGATTCATAACGCGGGTGGTTATGGGGGCGACGTGGCGCTCCCATGTAACACCTCTCCTGCGCGAGCTGCACTGGCTCCCGGCGGTCTTCCAGGTGCGTTTCGAGGTATTGGTTACCACCTTTAGAGCGCTCCATGGCTTAGGACCCGGGTACTTGCGGGACAGCCTACTACCACCAATAGCCTCCCACCGACCAGTACGCTCCCACAGAGAGGGCCTCCACAGGGTGCCGTCGGCCAGATAATGTCGACTGGCGGCCCCCAGGGGGAGAGCCTTCTCTGTGGGGGCACCTACCCTCTGGAATGAGTTGCCCCCAGAGATACGGCGGATCCCTGACCTTCGTGCTTTCCGAACTGCCCTAAAGACGTTTTTGTTTCATCAAGCCGGGCTGGCCTGACCTATTCTTTTTAAAAAACAATTGTTTTAAAAAATTAGGGGTTTTAATATAGGGTTTTTAACTATGGGCCAAATTGATTTAATTGGATTTTAATATTGTTTTAAATTTTGTATCTGTGTATTTTATTTGCTGGCTGTTCACCATCCCGGGTCCCTCGGGAGAGGAGGTGGTATATAAATATAATAAACTAACTAACTAACTAACTAACTAACTAACTATGGCAAATAGTACAAGGAACTTCTTTAACAGAAGCAAAGAGCAAAGGTTAGATTGATTCTTATCAATATGTCCTTTCATTTTCCTCCCTTTTGTTATGATAGGATGCTTCCTGTCAAAGGTGGACTAAGGACCGTGAATTTTGCTGATCTAACGGGGGGGGGGGTGTCAGTGGATACTGAGGAGGCTAAGACACCCATCCCAGTGATGGGAGACGTACGCTGGATCAGAGGGATGAAACTGGAGGAGAAGGAGATCTCCAAAGGCTAAAAGCACTAGAAATCCAATCCTTTTCCAGTGGGAGAAGATACTGCCAAACCAGTTGTAAGTCAACTGCCCCAGTCCAAGTCTGCACTGGGATGTGGGCAGTTCTCCCCATCCTGGCAGTAATCTCCTCCATAACTTTTTCTGGACCATCTATCTGTAAACAACAATTTGTGAGATAAAAATTTTCAACACACACACCGCCTGTTTCTGACAAAAAGTGTAAAGCAAGTTATAATGATATATATAGCTGTTTTAAACGGAGTCTGCTATTTAGCCATTAAAGTTAAAGATGGGGGGAGAGAGAAAGAGATGAAAGACAGAATGAGAGAGAGAGAGAAAGAGAGATGAGACAGCGAGAGAGAGAGAGATGAGAGATAGACAAAGACGAGAGAAGATGAGCGAGAAAGAGATAAGAGACAGATAGACAGAAAGAGGGGGGAGAGATGAGAGAAAGATGAGACAGACAGACAAAGAGGGGGAGAGAGAGAGAGAGACAGAGACAGAAGGGGGAGAGATGAGAGAGAGAGAGACAAAGGGGGGAGAGAGAAAGAGAGGGGGGGACAGAGATGAGAGATTCTAGTGCAGTGATGGCTAACCTTTTTGTTGTCGTGTGCCAAAAGCGGGGGCAGCACAGTGGGGTCGTGTGTGCGCGTGCCCACACCCATAATTCAATGCACTCAATGCACATGTGACACCCCCCCACTCCCCCTGCTTTTGGCACACGATGGCACTGTGGGCCCGGTAGGCCTGATTTTCACCCTCGCGAGGCTCCAGAGGCTTTCTTGGAGCCTGGGGAGGGCAAAAACAGCCTTCCCCATATCCCCGGAGGCCCTTCGGAGGTCAGAAACAGCCTGTTTCCCGACTTCTGGTGGGACCAGAAGGCCCAAAAATCAGCTAGCTGGCATGCACATGCGCGCTGGAGCTGAGCTAGAGCAATACTCGTGTGCCCACAGATATGGCTCCACGTGCCACTTGTGGCACCCGTGCCATAGGTTCGCCATCACGGTTCTAGTGTTTTGTTTTCTGTAGGAAACAGGTCCAAAGTGAGTGTTTAAGGTTGCAGAAACAGGCAGCCAAGCTAAGTGCCTGAAGGACTCCATCCCGTCACTGGGAGTCCAGGCGTTTCAACGAGCGGCACGCTGGATTCGTATTAGTGGTCCGCGGGATTTAAAATTATGAATTTAGTGGTCCCTGAGGTCCAAAAGGTTGGTGACCCCTGATCCAGAACAATTAAATCAGTGGAATGGCTTTTCTCCAGAAATGGTGCGTGCTCCATCACTGGAGGCCTTTAAGAGATTGGACAGCCCCGTGTCTGAAATGGTTGTAGGATCTCCTACTTCAGCAGGGGGTTGGACTAGATGACCTCCAAGGTCCCTTCCAATTTTGTTACCCTGTTAAATCTGCAGGGCATCTTTGTCGACACTGAAGATGACCTATACGTAGCCATATTTTATTGTAGTCTTTGTACGCTTTTTCTATTAGCTATTAGGAAGATGGATGCCTTGGACTTTATTTTTGGGGACGTGATACTTGGAGGTTTGACAATTTTTCCCTAAGGATATCTACCCGCCCTACCAACTCAGTTAGGGTGGGCGCCCTCCTAGGCCCTTCCCCTAAATATTGCCATCTGGTAGTGATGGGCTGTATGCTAAAATAAAGCCAGGTCATGCCACACACTTGAAAGTAAATCAGGAAGCCTGTAATTGCGGAGTGTGTCTGGCAAGAACAAAGAATGCTTTTCTACAGGAAATATGCACGTGTATATCTTGTAATAATTCTGGGTAGTTAGACAACTGATAAAAGTAACAAGAGTTAGACAACTTGCAGGCCTCAGCTAAAAATTAGGAATACAGATGGTCTGCAGCCAATAAAATGTATTAGATTTCAGATAACTCCTGGGGCATTCATTAGCCAAGGTTTAGGAATAGGGACAGCTAGAGACCAATAGAACAAATTGTAAAATTATTACTAAAATGTTTATTAGATGATATTTCTTATTATCTCGCCTTGTTCCGCCTTCTCTTTTAGTGAAAATGTATAAAGTTTACTTAATCCCTTGTTCATGTTTTTGGCATTTTGGCCAGGAACCCTTTTCCTTGGAGTACTCCAATAAAAAGCAAACAGAAAATCTGCACCTCGTGTCTGGTGTCCATTATTGGCTTCGGCACCAGGATCAGACCCGAATTGGGGACAACAATAGGAGCTGGGAAGGAGGTTTTTTCTGTGACCGGCCGTGCCGTATGGAACACTTGGTGCCGCTGAAGTTAGGCAGGTAACTCTGAAGAGCGCTTAAAATCTAGATTTCCTCCCCAGCTGGTACTATAGGGTGAGATGAGATGGGTTTGTGCATTATAGTAAAAACACTATATGTGGCTTTTTAATAGGTCATATGTTAAGTTCCAATTAAACCTATTGTTCAAAGTTACAATGGCACTGAAAAAAGTGACTTATGACCATTTTTCACTCTTATGACCGTTGCAGCATCCCCATGGTCGCGTGATCGAAATACAGCCGCTTTGGCAACGGATTCATATTTATGACGGTTGCAATGTCCCGGGGTCACGTGATCCCCTTTTGGAACTTTCTGACCACGCGTGAGCTAGATTCACTTAACGACTGTGTGACTAAATCAACAAATGCAGTTGATTCACTTAACAACGGTGGCAAGAAAGGTTACTGTAAAATGGGGCCAAACTCACATAACAAATGTTTCACTTAAGCAACGTAAATTTTTGGGCTCAGTTGTGGTCGTAACTGGAGGCCTACCTGTATTTTGGTAATGCAAGAGGGATGATCCATTTGTCACTAAGTAGGTCAAAGGTCTTCAAACTTGGCAGCTTTAAGACTTGTGGACTTCAACTCCCAGAATTCTCCAGCCAGCGTAACTACGCTGGCTGGAGAATTCTGGGAGTTGAAGTCCACAAGTCTTAAAGCTGCCAAGTTTGAAGACCTTTGAAGTAGGTTGTGAATCTAGGCAGATTTCTCTTTTG